TCTGTCACCTCCTGTTGTGCACTTTCCAACTATTGATCAGTGCACGACTGCTCTAAGTCCCCTCCACACATCTGACAGATCATTTCCCTCCAGGTTACAGATCCAAAGAATACGGGAACCTCCCTCCAGCAACGGTGTACAGTATCTCACCAAGATCCAGTGAGGGTGACTCAATTAGGGCTCCCCAGCCTGATGATGCAAGTGTGGATGAGCTAGATTCAGCCCTATAAGCATGTCGCAATTAGCGCGCCTATATTCCTTGCCACCTGACAGAGATAATCCTTGGAAGAGTGCATTTCCGCACTCGATCTGAGAAATCCACCATGCCCTGAGATCAGCGCGCGAAGACTTCCCTGGAAACCAGCCCCCGCCCGTCTCACCGAAGTCTCCGCGCAAGGCGCAGTATTAGCTATTCTCACAACCCTACGATCCAAGCGTCAGGTCTAAGCTCCTGTAGGATCCTTCAACCAGTGAGAAGACGCGGCGAGAGGCTGCCATAAAAACCCCACTCAGCCCTAAGAGAACTGATCGACTGCGAATTGCAGGAAGCGGTCTATAATGAGGTCAATTGACCCGCCAATCTGTACAATATACTCCACATTTGGTCTCCGATAGGCAAGAGAAAGATGCAGCCTAGAGGGGTGCCCCATATTTCATCCCAGCTCTCGGCAGGGATGCTGGGGATCCCTGACGCAAGTCGCAGCCCCGGGAGGAGGATCTTCAAACCGAAAGGGGTGTTTTTGATACTACGGATCAATATCAAAGGTTGACAATGAAGTTTCAAGAAGTAGCAAGCCATGCAAAGAAAGTTGCAAGAGTATAAAAGAGCGGAGGAAAGAGGACCCGCCTCAGCCCTGTGGCCCCTTGCTGATTAATCACACCCGATGGGGAATGAAATCAACTAAGAACACGTTGTGCCTCCGCTGGCTCCGCAGTCCGCGATCTGAGGGAGAAAGACAAGTTTCTTCTCTGCTTGTCCTTGACCTTCGTTGGCTGTTATCTCTCGTTCCTCTCATTTAGCCACCCCTTGGCACCCATGTATCTCATCTAACCCGCCTCCCCATTCCGTTTCTTTTTCCCACTCTAGCTCCTCGTCTCCCCGGTTTATCTCAAATCGCATATCTGACCGGAGAAGGCCACACTTCCACAATGGAGAACTCCTTCTTATACACCCCGGCGGATGCGCTGGATCATTTCAATGTCTCGGAGCCCAAGGGTCTGTCTCAAGACGCGGTGCAGAAGTCCCGTCAGAAGCACGGTCCTAATGGTCAGTAAACACCTGCGGAGAACATCGCCGATGGATGCTAACGCGATTTGAAGCCCTTGCTGAGGAACCCCCGACCCCCATGTGGGAAATGATTTTGGAACAATTCAAGGACCAGCTGGTTCTCATTCTTCTGGCTTCGGCTGCCCTGTCCTTCGTGCTCGCTTTGTTTGAAGAAGGCGATGACTGGACTGCTTTCGTCGACCCGGCTGTGGTAAGTTGATTCTTTCGTCCACCGTGTGCCTAGCATAGTTCTCATATCATCTTCACCTGCAGATCCTCACCATTCTTATCCTTAACGCGGTCGTCGGGGTGACGCAAGAAAGCAGTGCGGAGAAGGCGATTGCGGCTCTCCAGGAATACTCGGCCAATGAGGCAAAGGTCGTCCGCAATGGAAAGACTCAGCGTATCAAAGCTGAGCATTTGGTCCCTGGCGATGTGATCCAGATTGCTGTCGGTGACCGTGTCCCTGCTGATTGTCGTGTGCTCTCGATCCACAGCAACAGCTTCCGTATTGACCAGGCTATTCTGACTGGTGAAAGTGAGAGTGTCGCAAAGGACACTAAGGCTATCAAGGACCGTCAAGCTGTCAAGCAAGACCAGACTAACATGCTTTTCTCCGGAACTACTGTCGTCAATGGCCACGCCACTGCCTTGGTTGTGTTGACGGGCGCTTCCACCGCCATTGGTGATATCCACGAGAGCATCACTTCGCAAATTTCCGAGCCCACTCCCTTGAAGCAGAAGCTCAATGACTTCGGTGATGTGCTCGCAAAGGTTATTACTGTTATCTGTGTCTTGGTTTGGCTTATCAACATTGAGCACTTCAACGATCCCTCTTTCGGTAGCTGGACCAAGGGTGCTATTTACTACTTGAAGATTGCCGTGTCTCTCGGTGTCGCCGCTATTCCCGAAGGTCTGGCCGTCGTCATTACGACTTGCTTAGCTCTCGGAACCCGCAAGATGGCACAGAAGAACGCCGTTGTCCGCTCCCTACCTTCGGTGGAGACCCTGGGTAGCTGCAGCGTGATCTGCTCTGACAAGACCGGAACTCTGACCACCAACCAGATGAGCGTCGAGAAGATTGTTTACCTCAACAGCTCCGGAACGGGCCTCGAGGAGATCGATATCGAAGGTACAACTTTTGCCCCCACAGGCCAGCTGTCTCGCAACGGCAAGGCCGTCGACAATGTCGCTGTTTCTTCGTCTACTGTCGCCCAACTGGCCGAGGTCACCGCCATCTGTAACGCTGCAACTCTCTCGCACGATCCCAAGACCGGTGTTTTCTCCAACATTGGTGAGCCTACCGAGGCTGCCCTCCGCGCCTTGACCGAGAAGATCGGTACCACCGATGCCTCCATGAACCAGAAGCTCTTCAGCCTGCCTACCTCCGAGAGGCTCCACACCGCTAGTGCTCACTACGAATCCCGTCTTCCTCTCCAGGCTACCTACGAATTCTCGCGTGATCGCAAGAGCATGTCCGTTCTTGTCGGAAAGGGCAAGGAACAGAAGCTGCTGGTCAAGGGTGCTCCTGAATCTATTCTCGAGCGCTGCTCTCACGTTTTGCAGGGTGCCGACGGCTCCCGTGTGCCTCTATCCAAGGACCACGCCAAGCTTCTCGCCGAGGAGGTTGTCGAATATGGTAACCGTGGACTGCGTGTTATGGCTCTTGCCAGCGTCAGCGATGTATCTGGAAACCCCTTGTTGAAGAATGCCCAGAGCTCCGAGGATTACACCAAGCTCGAGCAGAATATGACTCTCATCGGTCTTGTTGGTATGCTGGATCCTCCTCGCCCTGAGGTTGCTGGCGCTATCAAGACGTGCCATGAGGCTGGTATCCGCGTCATTGTCATCACCGGTGATAACCCCTACACTGCTGAGTCTATCTGTCGCCAGATCGGCATTTTCGGACCCAACGAGGATCTCACTGGAAAGAGCTACACCGGTCGCGAGTTTGACAGCCTGAGTGAAGCCGACAAGTTGAAGGCCGTCCAGACCGCATCCCTGTTCTCCCGTACCGAGCCCAGCCATAAGTCCAAGCTGGTCGACCTGCTCCAATCCCTGAATCACGTCGTTGCCATGACCGGTGACGGTGTCAACGACGCTCCCGCTCTGAAGAAGTCCGACATTGGTGTTGCTATGGGTACTGGTACTGACGTCGCCAAGTTGGCCGCCGACATGGTTCTGGCGGATGACAACTTTGCTACTATCACCGTCGCTGTTGAGGAGGGTCGCTCCATCTATAGCAATACCCAGCAGTTCATTCGTTACCTGATCTCGTCCAACATTGGTGAAGTCGTCTCTATCTTCATTACCGCTGCTCTTGGTATGCCCGAGGCTCTTGTTCCCGTTCAGCTTCTGTGGGTCAATCTGGTTACCGACGGTCTCCCCGCCACTGCTTTGTCTTTCAACCCTCCGGATCACGATGTCATGCGCCGTGCTCCTCGCCGCCGTGACGAGGCTCTTGTTGGGGGCTGGTTGTTCTTCCGCTACATGGTTATTGGTATCTACGTCGGTGGTGCCACTGTCTTTGGCTACGTCTGGTGGTTCTTGTACAACTCCGAGGGCCCCCAGATCACCTTCTGGCAGTTGGTAAGTCTTGACCTGTCTCTGATCCAAAATTTATATACTAACGGCTATTTCAGTCTCACTTCCACCGTTGCTCTGCTCAGTTCCCTGAGATCGGCTGCGAGATGTTCTCCAACGACATGTCCAAGTCCGCTTCGACCGTGTCTCTTTCCATTCTCGTGGTGATTGAGATGCTGAACGCCATGAATGCTCTGTCGTCAAGCGAGTCTCTTCTGACTTTCTTCCTCCACAACAACCCCATGCTGATCTACGCCATCACCTTGTCCATGGCTCTCCACTTCGCTATCCTCTACATTCCTTTCCTCCAGAACCTGTTCGCGATCCTGCCCCTGGACTGGAACGAATGGCAGGCAGTGTTGGTCATCAGTGCTCCTGTGATGTAAGCTTCCCATTTCAGCAAACCCTGTGACCATTACTAATATGCAAATAGCTTGATCGACGAAATTCTCAAGTTCTTCGAGCGCCAGCTGTATACCAACAATGTAGCCGCTATCCCCATCGTCCAGAACGGCGTCGCTGGCAAGCCCAAGCGGGCTTAAAGAATCACAAATTGATCCAATGACTACAGGATAACTGGGGGTAGTATTTTCTCCTGAATAGAATAGATCTTCCTGTGGAGTCATACTTCCTTGTACCTTTTGGAAGGGGTTCATTATATCACGATGTTAGATGAAGAGTGCAAATGAATCGTTGCTCGTATGTTCAGACCTATTCTTTGTATAGATTATCGGCTCCCCCCCCTTGGTCCTCACGCCGGCTATCAATATCCCTAGACGCTCTCCCCATGCCAAGAACCGTATAGCCTAAATTTCAGCAACCCAAGGCCACTGACTCCAATTCTTTGTCCCGTGTCGTGTCCAACCCCGCGCCATCGCAAGAACTAAGTTACGCGGATCCTCGGCGCCCACCGGGTGTGGCACCTGGTTGGCTCCCTGGATGCCGATGCGCTTCAACTGGGGGATCGCCGTCTCTCTACCCCGGATTTGTGGGGTAACCGAGTGTCGGGGGTGACCTTCTACTGCGACCCTGTGTTTTGCGGTTCAAATAGCCCTGCATTCCCTCACTTTCCTTTATGTATTTATTGATTTATTTCTTCCAATCTCCTCCTTCCAGCATACTCTCTATACAGGTACCTGAACCCGTCAAGATGGGATTCAAAGAATTCCTCAACCAACGCTCCGGCCTGCGCGTTGACAATCGCAAGACTACCTCGGCCGCGACTTTAACTCTGCGACAGAGCCTGTGGCCGTTGAGCCTAGTGACAATCTTATTCTTCCTATGGGTACGAAACACCCCAAAGACCCATGAACAACCAAGCTCACCCATATTACCCTAGGGCTTCGCATATGGACTCCTAGATACGCTCAACAAGCATTTCCAGAACACGTTACACATAGACCGAACTCGGTCCGCTGGTCTGCAGGCTGCGTATTTTGGGTACGACTCTGTTATCTAAATGAAAGACAAGTCCAAGGAATGTGGAACACTAACACCGTTCAGCGCATACCCTCTCGCCTCTCTTGGCTATGCGAATTGGATATTGCGGCATTTCGGGTATAAGGCTGTTTTTATCTTCGGGTTGACTCTTTATGGTATTGGCGCATTGTGTATGTGGCCTGCTGGTCTAAATCAGTCCTTTGGTGGGTTCTGTGGTGCTACGTTTGTCATTGGGTCGGGACTTGGCTCGCTTGAGACAGCGGCGAATCCTTATTTGACTGGTATGTTCTGCTCTCTTTTGTCTCGGTTAGTTAGACTGTGCTCATTTACGGATTAGTTTGTGGTCCACCCCGTTATTCGGAGATCCGGATCAATTTTGCGCAGGCTTTTAATGCAATTGGAACCGTTGTCGGGCCTGTGTTGGGCTCTTATGCTTTCTTCACTGAGACCGCTGATGATGTTGCGGCGCTTCAGCGTGTGCAGTGGGTTTATCTAGCTATTGGCATTTTCGTCTTTTGTCTTGCGGTTGTTTTTTTCTTTTCTGATATTCCAGAGGTCACGGATGAGGATATGGCGTTCCAGATATCTACCACCCATGTCGATGAACAGGATAAGCCGTTTTGGAAACAGTATAAGCTTTTCCATGCTACGTTGGCTCAGTTTACATATACTGGAGCCCAAGGTATGTTCTTTCTCTTCCCTTCCCTCTTGGTACTAACAAGAATAGTCGCCATTGCGGGCTACTTCATCAACTACGCCGTCGACACATGGCCTGGCACTGACAGCGCCAAAGGTGCAAAGCTCCTAGCTGGCGCACAAGGCGCTTTTGCAGTTGGGCGGTTCCTGGGCTCTGGAATAATGAAGTATACAAAAGCTCGCTACGTCTTCATCGTATATCTATCATGCTGTGTGGCTTTTCTAGCTGCGGCAGTGACTCAGAGGAATCAGATTGGTATAGGTAAGTCTTGTCTAAACGTTCAAAACAAATTCGAAAGTTATGGTTCTGACAAATGCAGCGATGCTTTTCATGACTCTGTTCTTCGAATCCGTGTGCTTCCCCACCATCGTCGCACTGGGCATTCGCGGTCTTGGTCGCCATTATAAGCGTGGCTCGGGGTTTATCGTTGGTGGTGTATGTGGTGGTGCCGTTGTGCCACCTATTCTGGGCCATGTTGCTGATATGCGGGATGATACGGGCTTTGCGATGATCGTTCCTACTATGGTATGTCACTCGGTTCCTTCTGCAATTGGCTGTTTCTAACAAGTCTTCAGTTTATGGTTATTGCTTGGACTTATGCTGTTGCTGTGAACTTTGTTCCTTCATACACGAGGACAGTGGATAAGGTGGGCGAGAGCACGGTTGGACTTCAGAATGAGAGTGGCAAGGACGAGGAGGCGGTTGTTGGGACGAAAACGGAGAAAGAGGAGGCTTCGGCTCATTATGATTGATGAAATATCGCGGATTCGTAGTTTTATGGAGTTCTTTGAATGTCATGGATTTGTTACGCTGGGAGGTGAGGTGATAAACAAGATGTCATTATGCGGGCGTGTGCCCCAAGAAAGCAGTAGTCTATGGTAATAATGCAGCAAAAATGCAATCTGAAAATAGGTATCTGGGGTCCATAATCAAAACAGGAGATGATGAATCATAGGAAATTTGGAAGCAGAGCGTTTCATGTAGTGTGGTTGGGCAGGAAAAGAGAAAAGAAAAGGAAGAAGAGTAGTGGCAGAGACATTCAACCCATTATAGTTGCGATGTCTCGTGAGCTGCCAGGTAACATGCATAGGAAACGCAGTAAAAAGAACGCATGCTGTGTATGACACCACAAACAGGGGGGTATAAAAAAAAACACAAAACAGCTCTATCGTCTAACTAATTGCAGGAATGAGATCGTGGAATGAACGCAGAAAAGCCTGCGTCCAATGCAAAAACAACCATTATTTTGTAGTGGCTGGCTCGGCGGCATCGTCAGTATGTTCGATCGCAGCGGCAACCTGTGGATTGGGCCCAGTGGATTCAGTCACTGCAGAAATTGTCACATCTGCCTTTGAGGAAGGGGAGCGCAGCGAGGACGAACGAGGGGGAAGCCTTGAGCTTGTCTCCAGTTCTAGAGCAGGTTCGAGCACAGAGCCCGCGGTGTCTTTCTTAGGAACGTCAGGGCCAGCGTCCTCGGGACCATCAAAGTCGTCGACCTCTTCAATTTCCTCATCATCTTCCTCTTCCTCAATGATCTGACTCTTCCGCGCCACAGGACGGCCCATAGAAACACTGGGTTCACCATCAGGTTGACCGGGAAGAGGAGAGTGTAAGGTTCCCTGGGGTGTCATCAAGTTCGAGGTGTGGATCATGGGGCCTTTGAACGCGGATCGCTTTCGTCGTGCAAACACCAAGCTCGACGAAGGAGAGTACAGGATTGGCCCAGGCGACGCCTCATTGAAACCTGACGGTCCGGCAATCTCGTTAATACCCCTGTGTCCTCCACTGGGACCACGTACCAGTCGAATGTTGCTTGGAAAATGAGCCGAGGCGCCTGGGGTGGTAGGCAAGACCTTGATCGATGAGTGGGGGGATTTGGAGATCCTCGCTGTTGGAGTCGCAACAGTGTCGACACTATTGGATGAAATGGATGATGCCTTGGAGTGAGCACGTGTGTGGTGAATGCTGCGTATGGACGAGACAGAAGAGGATGTTGACTTGCGGCCACGCAAACCAGCAGAGGAGCGTCTGTACGATCCACGGGGAGTAATAGGCGAAGGTGATAGCGAGTTCCGATTGCCAGCGTGGCTGGTGTTTAAGGTTCGAGGCTGACGAGGATAGGAGTGCCGATTTTGACGGTAGGAGGCACTGCTGGGCGCTAAGCTGCTGGTGGCAGAAATACGCTTGGACTGAGTAGGTGTGACCACCTCCTCTGATAGATCGCCTGCAGGAGATGACGAAGGGGGCTTTTTCCCACTATCCTGGCTCTTGGCAGGACTGAATTTCTCCGAAAGGAATTTCCGTGAACTAGTTGACTTGGCGTTCGGAGATCGGGCTCGTTTGGCTGACTCAACAAACCAATGCTTCAAGGACGCTAGCTGGCTGATGATAGGATTATGTCGCCGGCTAGTGCGACGATGGAAGATGCCACGATGCTGCGCCAACTCAGGCTGTGACGCACTCACATGCAACATACTGGGCCGTGATCGTCGCTTGTCTTTTGGCGGAGGAATGGGACGTCGTCGGACGGAAGCCGATGTATTCGAGCGAATGGACTCCTTGTCAAAGGGTGGAAGATTTGTGGTCAAATCGGGCGTGTGTACAGGTAGAGGTTCAGGAAGTGCAGGAAGTTCTGGAACAGCCAGCTGGGAGGGCAGGCTTCGCCTGTCGCGACGCCCGCGATCTGACAGCTGAGAAGCTGGATGTACCTGGCCTTCTTCATCGACCTCCAGCAAGGCGGAAGACAATTTCTCGAGTCGGCTGCTAGCAGCACTTAGACGACGGATGTTCTTTGCCTCAACCTCTCGCTCTCGACGCTTGCGCTCTCGCTTCTGTTCCTTTCGTTGCTCTTTCTCAATCAAAAGTGCCCACCACCCGGCCAATGGATCGCATCGCTGAGCCAGAACATTCTCAATGACTTCGTCGATATTGACCCCTGCGCTTTTCATTCGTTGTAATGTGGTCTTCTCCAAAGGCGTGGTGAAAGGAGATGGTCGAGGAATTTTGAGAATAGCAAGCTGCTCAGGAGCATGCTCCGCAAGGAACGGATGCGCGAGGATCTCTTCCAGGCTCGGTCGAATCAAGGGCCGCTTGGACAGAAGAAGGTTGATCAATGCCTTGGCCTCATCTGTGAACTTGTCGTTGTAGATCGGTTCCTCCAAGAGAATCCGGTTCTTGGTGACTTGGTCGTCATCGTCGTCGTAGGGTAGCTCGCCTGCTAGAAGCGCATACAGAATGATTCCCAAACTCCAGACATCCACTTTCTCACCGGCATATTTCTCTCCCTTGAGCATTTCGGGGGCACTGTAGCAAATCGTCCCGCAGAAAGTCTGCAGATAGCTTGCCTTTCCTTCATACTCGCGCGTGAATCCGAAATCGCAGAGCTTCACGTTCTCGTGTTTGTCCAGCAGTATGTTCTCCAATTTCAGATCCCGATGTACACATGACTTGCTATGAACGTAGGCCACAGCTCCTACCAGTTGAGTGAATATCCGTTTCACTTTCTCGACCGGTAGCGGACCGTGGCGAAGGAGGTAGTTATATAATTCGTCACCTAGAGAAAGCACGCACATCAGTCAATGGTCCCGCGAGACGCTTTTGTCCATCAACCTACCAGGACAGAATTCCAGGGCCAGCCAAACCAAGCTCTCCGTCACGATAACCTCGTACAGTCGCGCAATATGGGGATGTAGGAATTGGCGGTGGTGGTGGATCTCGCGCGCGAGGTTTGTGTCATCCTTGCTAGAGGACTTGAGCACCACCTATATTGCCCGTTAGCCCGTCCCTCCGATTGAACCAAGCATTCGTACCTTGGAACCATTGGTCAGCTTGTGCGACGCGAGGTAGACCTTGCCAAACGAGCCCTTCCCAATCAACCTCCCTAGAGAGTAATTTCCGACGCTCCGAAGATCCTTCGACGAAAATTCCCTAGAAGGCGACGCGTTAGCCATGTCCCATGTAGCAAAAGAGCGAGTTGACGTACTCGAGTAATTCATTGTAGGAATTGGCAAGCTGTAATCACACGCGACCACGACAGGTCTCTCAGTTAGCCACACGTCCTGCGCAATCTGAAAGGATCCCAAGGGAGCGCAGCAGAGAGCTTAGAGACCGAGAATCCGCAAAGCCCGCCGCTCGCCGCCTATGATCCAAACCCCTCCAACTCGTCGACACGCACCTTTTCCTTCTGTTTCTGGCTTTGAACCCCCGCTCTCGTCCTGGGCGGCATGTGTTATGATCGATCCCCGTGAGTGCCGACGCCGGAGATCCTTGCGCGAGTCGAGTAGGGGGAAAGGAGTGGTGGGCAAGTTTGCCATTCAAAGAGTGAGGTGTGAAGGAGTGACGGGGGTTGCTAAGGCGGAGGGAAGGAGGAATGTGCATACAAGTCAAGAAAGACGTCAACGGGAACGTGGTGGACCGATGTGGAGACTTCGGCTGTGGACTCGAACGGCTTGATTTTTATTATATCAACCCCTGAGTTTACGTTTGAGTGGGGATTAACGCCTTGGACTCCGTGGGCGGAGGTCCGTTCATTGTATGACATCTTCCATTTCTCCTTCTAGTGCCAGGGTAGTGATGCTAAATGCTGAACTACACGTCCACTAGTAACCAATACGGGATCAACGCCTGCAAGCCCTGCCTCATGTTGAAAGGCCAAGGATACCATTCCGAAATATGAGTGGAGGAGATCTGGATTTTGAGTCAGCAAGTTGCATGTTGTGTAGGTTGCCATTTGCCATTGCCACGTTGACGCCTTACCGGGGGGATCCCCGACTGCCTTGCCAAAGCCACCGATGAGGTGTTGCGTCTTCTCCAACAGATATCGGCGGTTTCGCTCCTCGTCAATCACCGAATATCGATCTAGCATCTACGTTGGTGAGCGGGATACATACTTGTGTCTACTACGGAGAGACTTACCAGTAGTGTTGCCCCGTTCCAAAACGAGTAACAGGTGTCTGCCACCTTGTTGCACCGGCCATTGAATCCAGCGCAGGCGATTGTGTCGCCCGCGATCTCCGTTAGACCGGGCAGTGCAAGCACTCGTTCCTCGACTGAGCCGGTCTCTGTATCTGCCTCTTGTTCATCACTGGTCTTGGTCTCGTCCTCGTCCTTGTCCTCCTCGTCCTCGTCCTCGTCTTCGTCCTCTCCACCAAGGTTGTCCGTCTGTCGCGATGCCAACCAGTTCACCAGACCCTCGAACTTCGCCGACCTCGGCGACAGCAGATCCGCCTGCAGTTTGTCACTTGTTCCCCGACGCAGAAATTCTAGAGATCCGACTGCGCAATATGTATGACCACCTGGGACGTTATGTTAGGAGAACGGTTCGTAGAAAGGAAGTAGAAGATACGGACTATGCGACTCGCGGAAAGGAGACTCAGCCATCCCCCCGTCGTATGTCTGATTCAAGCAACCGTTAGCATGGCCATATCCATATCAAGAGAATAAAACTTGTTTACCTGACACTTCTCGATAAACGATATTAACCCGGGCACGTCGATGTCCCGCACATCCTCTGCGCCTTTGGCATCTTTACCTCGTAGAATGTATCGTGTGCCAGCGGCGCAACAACAATATCTCAGATCACGGTTTCCCTCGACCTTCCCATTAGGGCCGAGAATCTCTCCAAAGCTCCCATCGTCGCGCTGCAACTTGGGTAGCCATTGGAGACATTCCCTTCGCTTGACCCGGGACAGGTCGTCGCCTAGAATGAGCAAGTTCACCAGTGCAAAGAATGTCGCCGGTACATTCGCTGGATCCCAGACTTCATTATCTTTCGTCCGCTTCTCCGCGCCGAAATCCGTCCCTGAAAATCCGCGGAATCCGCCCGTTTGCACTTGGCAGTGGTAGAGCCAGTCGATGTACCCCTGTCGCTCCTCCGGAGTTGTTTTGCTATGTAGTACTCCGAGCACGTCCAAACCAGAGAGTGTGAGGTAGGCGAGGAGCATGCGATTGGAATCATTGGAGATATAGGCCGATGGGAGGAAGGTCTTGAGGCATCGGAGGTAATATTTGACATGTCGCTCCCTATTGAAGCTGGGCCCGACCATTCTGTCGACAGCGCTGCAATATTCGGCAGCGTTATTGTGCACTCCTCGCAGCTATTCCGTCCGACTTGCGTTGGTGAAGTCGGTGGTGGGGGATTCTGATCGGAGAAGCTGCCTTCCCCACATGCTTCACAACACTTGGCCCAGCCCTTTCGTCCCAAAGCCACTTTTCGTCTTCACCACCACAACACCACCCATCGCCAAAATGGTTCTGATTTCGTCCAAAACCTTCATCCAGGCGCACGCTGTGCTCCTGATTGTTGTTGCCGGGTACCTGATTAAAAGCCCGGAGGTTATCACTGACTCCGACATGGTGTTCATGATGGGAGAAGCCTTGCAAATTGTACAAACCATCCGGTCCTATCCGCATCAATTGGATCTTATTAACTAACGGTGGCACAGAACTTCCCCGCCGTGACGAGTTCCGTTCAGTCTCCTTTCGCCTACTGCGCCATTCCACTACTCGGTGAAGCCCTCATCGATCTCGTGCTCCTGTCTACCATCCCCTTTCACGAAGCTTTGGATGAAGCTCTACCCTATATCCGGCCTCTACGAAACGGAAACCTTCCCGCTGAGGACCTCCACATCCTGGCCAAGCTTCCCGAGTACATCACCAAGTCCCTGACAATTTACTGGAATGTCTGGACTACCATCGCCGGGTTCCGATTCGCCGCGTACGGCGCGCTCTCTCTATTTATCTACCTGGGTCGGGGCGCATCCTACTCTTCTGCTGCTGCAGTCACGGGATTGAGCCTGTTGAAGCACCGTGTGGTCTTCATGTACGCGTTTATGGAGATGATGACGTGGTTCTGGGTTCGTACAACCCCCTTTCATTTCAGCATGATCGAACTAACATCTAGTCACAGGCATTCTCTACCCTCCGTCAGGAGCGACAGGAGCGATTGACCAAGCTGCTGGAGGATGCCCGCGAGGACTAAGCTTTCGTTTTCTTTTTACGACGAAAGCCGGCTCGCGCCACAGCGTGTAATACTAGAATAAATATGCTTGTTTCATCTGCTAAAAATTGTCACCACTATTACATACATAGCATTTCATCATCAGAGCACATTCTTCATTCTCAAAAGGACTCTTCTCGTCCAAAATATCTCCATCGAGGACATATTGCGATATCACCACAGTTGGAGCACGGAAATCTTGGGCAAAGCCAGGCTTAAACGAGCATTGCAAAAGCGGCAGCAACTCCTGCGGCAGCCAGCAGAGAGGAATCCTTGGTCTGACCGAGCATGGCAGCGCCTGTGGTGGCAGCGGCAGAGGAAGCCGCCGAAGAGGACGAGCCAGCGGTCGACGCAGACGCTCCAGTAGTGGTAGCTGCAGTGGTAGCTGCAGTGGCCGAGGTCGAGGTCATAGAGTCGCTGAGAGTAGTGTCGGTTGCAGTCTTGTTAGTCGCAGTGGCGGCGGTACCGGTTGTGGTAGTGGTGGTGGTACCGGTTGTGGCAGTTCCAGCACTTGAGCTTGAGCAAACAACGGCACTGGGAAGATCGGTCACTCCGCCACGGGCGCAGATCTTCTTGGCCACCTCGAGGGTAGCTGCAATGCAGAGAGAATCAAGATCAGCAAATGAACAAACCGGCGGTGGTTGGAAGACATACTCTCCTGCTCAGCCTGGCTGCACTTGCCAGCCACGCAGCAAGCAATATCGCTCAGGAAGGTATCACTCTTGCAAATGCAGGCCACATCAATGCCACAGTTCGAGGGGATTGAGCTGGTTGCGCAGCTTTTCTACACGGTCCAATTCGTCAGTACGCTATTCTCAGGCCTGGAGACAGGCAACAACAAACCGCGCAATCGGGCAAATCACCCAGGCCTTGAGCAGCGGCAGTAGACAGCAGAGCGGCCAGAGCCAGAGTTATCTGAGTTAGCTTCATGGTGATGAATCGTACAGTTGAAGTTGGGTGAAGAGAGGAAAGGCAAAGTCCAACGCTCCCCGCTTTTCGTAGAAGCTGCGCAACTGAACATTTGCATTTGGAGGCAGGGGCTCACAGATCCAATGACTACCTCGCCTCTGTATACCCCGGCATCTGCACTATTGGGCGTCGTGCAATCATGGCCTAGTCCGTATTCATGTGGTTCGGTCATGTACGGTGAATTACAGTATGGGGCCGTGTTTGGTGCCCTTCTGACCCGTGGCAATTACGTGTCGTCGGACTTCACGCCCGACATCTTGGACTAAATTTGTATCGCTTGGGGGTATATAATGTTTCCAAAGCTATATCCCTCTCATCTAACGGTTGAATATATATACATTTAATCCTATTTACAGCTCTCGACTTTTAAATCTAATCTTCACGGTATCTGATAAGCCAACCCATGGATATCCAAAGCTTGAGCCGAATCTACTTCCAGGGACAGACACTCAGAGCAATCTAGTCAAGTGAGGGAAAATCAACTGTATTCATATATTCATATTTTCCTTTCCTCTTCTTCCTGGTTCTCTGCTTTTACAAGCTACCTTTTTACGACTTCTGTGGAGAGTGACTACTCCCTAGATCCCAATACTTGGTAACCTTCCAGCACCTTTCGGTTTCAAGAAATGAGGACCCAACCCAACAAGACATCTAAGTAGGGCGAGAAGCCTATTCTCAGGCTGAGCGAGATCCTTTTGGAAAACTTTCTCGCCTCACTGTCTATATCAAGTGGCTTATTTATACTGAGCGGTATAAACTATTTGCTTTGCTTACGAATTTCAGCTGCGCAATGGACAATCCCAGGCCCTTCGGAGTATACGAGAACTACAGCGAGCACCAGGCCAAGGCCAAGGTGCTGCCTTTTGTAGAAATCATGAGGTACGCCTCTTTGCTCCTCCTCAAACGGCTGGAAATTGATGGGGGCCAGAGCCTTCAACGCCGAAGATATGAGAATCGTCTTTGACTAATAGGATAATAGCGATCTCTTTTAGCGCTGTACTAACAATGCCAACTCTCTTTAGAAACCCCACACCGCGTCATTCCTTCCCTCGGGTATCAAAGGATGCTACGACAGCCAGAAGCAAATATAATGTTCCTCCGATAGCCAAAGAGACCGGTGCATCAGTCGAGCACCTATCAATCTGGACTTGGGAATGATGACAACTAGTAACATGCGACTTGAAGTCTTCTTCCACCTGCTATTGCAGCAACCTAGTTACTGGAGTCAATTCTACCGACGGATAGCAAATAAAGTGAACTAATCAATCTTGAACAGGAGACTATGGACACGGAATAATACTAATACCGTACCGAATGATACATGGGCGGAACCAAACTAAGGTTGCGCTCAGGGCGTCTCTGACTCCACCAGGGACCCAGACCCTTTTTTTCCCGCAGTTTGGCTCGTTCCTGGGGCTCAGCTTTGTGTTGGATCACTCCCAACATTATGAATTAAAATGTACAGATACATGGCTCATTGTAGACTTCCTAGTCTCTAGAGGACCGGGGTAGGTACCCGGGGCACTGTGCACACAGGAAGACGAGCAAAGTTTAGAAACGCTCAGAAAATGTGATACCTCGGCGCCAGGGCTGATCGGCTCTACGTACCCTTATTCAAGGAAGAACACAAAAAGTGCGGAGTACTCTGCAGCACGATCTGCCCCCACTGTCACGTTCAATTTCCCCGAAAGCCAATCATGCCGACCTCGAGGACGCACCGCAGTAGCCCAAGGCGGTTGGCCTTACACTGCAGGCAGAAGGCGTTCCATTGGAGTTCCAACCGGGGCTGGATATTCTTGTGAAGCTATTCAGACCATCTCAACCTGACCTACTTTCTTCATTTTACCGCTATCTGGCAGGGGTGCTGGTCGCGGCTTTTCAATTTCTCGCCGAGTTGTGGTATAAGCTATGTCCGATCACTCTTGAGCTCTTTCCCCTCTCTTTCTTTCCTTTTGCTCTCCGCAGCCACCTTCCAAGCAAATTACTCTTGATCATGGGTCTGGGAGTGCTGGATACGAAGACCGAGCAGGTGCCTGGTAAGATCTTGGTTTCTGGTGTTACCGACATGGACTTGGCTGATATTCTGCATCCTAAGGTACCTCCAACATCTACGAGCAAGACCACGGTTCAAGCGATCAGGTGCCCCGTATTTCGCATCTCAAGTATGACCGCACCGGTAAAGTGCCGACTATTCTCGTGCCACAACCGAGCGATGATCCCAACGACCCACTGGTATGTCGAGTCCAGATACAATCCACTTGGAGCGCAAAAGACTGATGATTTCGGTGGTACTAGAATTGGCCATTATGGAGGCGCGACCTCATTCTGGGCATTCTGTCCTTCGTGACAGTGCTCTGCACTACGCTCAGCTCCATCATGGCTGCCAATACCGTCACTATCGCAGACTATGAGAATATTACATTCGAAGCGGCTGCACTGTTGACCGGGTATCACCTGTGCGGCGTGGGTGTTGCCGGGATTCTTATCGTTCCTACAGCGCGTGTCTGGGGCAAGCGTCACCTTTTCCTTCTCGGGCACGTCTTGATGATTGTGAGTTGTATATGGGCTGGTGCCAGTGGGACAAATGAGGCTAGCCTTTTGTGGGCTCGTGTCTTCCAGGGAGTCGCTCTGGCGCCATTTGAAGCACTAGTCAATGCCTGTGTCGGTGATCTATACTTTGTCCATGTGAGTGCATCGTCATACCAAAATCTCGGGAAAGGCTGACCAGTTTCCAGGAGCGAGGAAAGCGGATGGCAGTGTCCAACGTGGCTCTGTTCGGCGCTGCCTTTTTGACCCCGGTCTTCGTCGGAAAAATCAGCAAGTCTCTCGGCTGGCAGTGGTCCTTCTATTTCGTGGCAATATTCCTTGCAGCCTCGCTTCCGCTTATGATTGTGTTCGTGCCGGAGACTGCGTACCGGCGCCCGGACTATCTCAACACGGACTTCAAACATAAGCGGGACCATGCCGAGTCGACAAACTCGGATATACCATCTGATTACAACCCCAATGAAGAATCTAAAGCATTCGTCCCAGGAGTCGGAGAGCATGGGACTTCTCGAACTGAAGTTTCTGCGGAAACCATTCCAGAGAAAGACTCTCTTATGAAATCTATGAGGCTCTTCAATGGACGAAAGACAGATGAGAACTTCTTCAAGCTGCTTTTGCGCCCGTTTCCTCTCTTTTTCTTCCATCCAGGAATCATGTTTGTATGTAAGATTCGTGCCTGGTCTGTTCTCAGTGCTAACCTCATGACTCAGGCTTGTTTGATCCAAGGTGTCGTTATTGGCTGGGCCGTGTTTATCGGTGTCGTTTTAGCAATTGTCTTCCTCGGTCCGCCACTATGGTTCGAAGAAGACAAGACAGGATATCTGTATACTGGAGCTTTTATAGGGGCTATGATCGGCCTGGTGCTCTCGGCTGTTCTCACTGACTTCATGACCAAGACCATGATCAGACTTAACCGCGGCAAATATGAGCCAGAGTTCCGCCTGCTATTGGTGGCGTTCCAACTCATCTTTGCCTGTATGGGTCTTTACGGGTTCGGTTGGACAGCCAGTGATGTGACAAAATATCACTGGCTACTGCCTGATGTGTTCTTTGCGTTTTTGATCATCGGCATGGTGATGGGCGCAGTCGCTGCCTCGCTTTATATCGTCGATGCCCATCGTGAGATCGCCGTTGAGGCATTTACTTGCCTACTTGTTTTCAAGAACATGTTCAGCTTTATTCTGACCTTTTATGCCTACGACTGGTTTGCTCATGGCGGTATCAAACACACCATGATAGTCATCGGCAGCATTCAAGTTGGCATCTGTGCCTTGAGTGTTCCTATGTGTGAGCATCCCCGAAAAGAAAATCATTGTGTCGTACCACCCAAACTAACTGATTCTCAGATGTCTTCGGAAAGTGGAATAGGCTGCTCGTTGCACGGTATGATATTCTCGAAATCCTGCACCTCTGGTGATGAGGTCTCTGGGGACTTGATTTCCAATATTATTTTTACAATTCCTTCGCGAAATCTTAATGGGTATGGTATGATCATAAGATATAGATATATGTCCGTTTCATTGAATGTACACGAATGGAATGGACAGTTCGGTACGTCATAGCGTCTCGAAGGCTTTGTTATTGAATTCAAACCTCATGTTTCATCACTGCGGTCCCCCGCGGGCTCTTTCAACCGGATATTTCTCTAAGCTCTCGTACCACTGTATCGTAGACCCGATCATGAAAGCCCAAGATCCCCAGAAGGTAGCAAGTGTCGCCTGATACTCTACGCCGGAATTCATAGTCGCTGGTCCCAGTGCACCGCAAAGGGTGAAGCCGATACCTCCGATAAAGTTCCATGCTCCGATATGCCATCCGAGAACATGAAACGCAGGTTTGTACCACTTCTCCTGTGTCTCAAGGGTGAATAAGAGACCACTTAGGATGAAGCCGAATCCGCCAACAATCTGTGGTACCCAGTAGACTCCATCTGTCAGGTTCTGACTCATATGGTCGGAAATTCCAGGCAAGCCCGTGAAGCCCGCGATCCAGAAGACTGTCGCAGCAATGAATTGGACCAGTGACGCCAAAAATCCAAGCTCATGCAGGTAATGCGTCCGCAACTCGGTCAGAGAAGGCATCCAGCGGAATGAACCTCCCTCCGGCAGCTCGGTAACATAGCCAGTCGTCGCATCATGAGACTTTCGATGAGCCCCGTGCCTCCCAGCACCAACCAGATTCTTCTTGTTGGCATGATGATGCACGCAGTCATCCTTGTTCGGCGTCATCTTAGTAGTCGCATGAGCCGTCTCAACCTTCCCAAGCTCCGTCTCAAGAGCCCAGCCAAAACAACCAGTCTGATTCGCATTGACAGCCTCAAGAAGTAGCAAAACACTGCCGATCTCAAAAACAGTCGCGCCGATGAAACCGCTCACGCCCCCGCCCACCAAAGACTCTGACGGGAACTCACTCGCCGGATCTTCAAGCGGTAACCACACAAAGAACGCATTGATAATCCAAATAATCGACCCAAGCGTAAACGTCGCCGCAACAAGGTATGACACGTCCCAATATGGCACACATGTAACCATCCTCCATATTCCCCTGGCTACAGCCCCGAACCCTGTCGTCGGCGGGGGCGTGGGTCCTGCCTGCGGCGCCTGGTAATCGACTTGCAGCGCATGGCGACCTTTTCGATTGTCCCGCGATCGCCAGAGACGTTCAATGTGTTCTGGGGGTGTGGGGGATCCTGTTTTCAATGCTTGATCTGGTGCCCGGTGGGTCGGCGCGTATCGAGCCCAGGTGGGATTTAGGAAGGAGAATGGGCCCGAGACGTGGCTTCGGCGGAGTTGTAGGCTAGGATGGTGGGATAGAGGTTCCCGGCCTGGTTGGAAGTTTGCGTTTCGAGACATCGATATGTACAGGCTTGTTGCAGGCCGAAAGGGCCAAGCTTTGTGTTCCACTTGGGTTGAGATGCACGGACGCGCGGGTGGGTTTGTGTTCTGGTAAGTGCCCTGTTTACGGGTCCGGTTGCGTCAATGGCTTGATTCTGAGGATTCTCTATTCCAAATTGGGGATGGGTTTCTCCATTGCTATGGAAGATGTTCGGCTCTTGGTGTATTGGGTGATTGTGTTATTGAGAAACGTTACTGAAGACATCGCCAAATAACTTCTTACATATGCCACATGACAGCATGCTTCAGACGGTACGGTTCAAGTATATGTTCGAGCTGGAGATCCTTGATTCGATAGTTTCGTTGATCTGGATGATACATAGCTCGGATATATATTTCCTGTACTTGAGATGGAACCTAGCCATCTCCTAGTTGACAATTCCAACGACCCGACCGCCTCTGACAAGATCGTCACCATGGCCAATTATCCCACACGAGGCGAGTCGATGCCTTCCATTCAACTCAGATGGCCGATTGCCGCGGGGCATAGCGCTGCAAGGGGAAACTTGGATAGCCAGATAAAAGACCAAGGCATGCATGCAGCAATGTTCACACTCTGTGCGCAGAAACACCCTGTAAAAGCATTCATGTGCCTATTCTGTCTCGGATTCTGTTACAATCGTGGGCTGATTCACATTGGACTTGGCCGGTACATAATCTATCAGAGGTTGAGTAGCTTCACATACGCATAAGGCTTATGCACCTTGAAAATTAGACGCCAGGAGCAAGAGTTTCTTAGGTGGAGTCTTCTTTTTGGATGATGCTTGGCATGGGCTGGGCTGGGCTGGGCTGAAAATTGCGGTGCCGATCCTGACAGAGTTTCTGGACAGGCAACAATCGTCCATGTCAGGAAACGTGCGCCTGAACGTGGAGGAGTTCGCATGGAAAATATCCATGGATATATCTGACACATCACATTTCTGCCGGGTACCTTGGTTTGGCCTAGATGTACCTCATAGCGGGTTTGGGGGCTGTCATGGGGCTATGGCGTGGAATGATTTCTTTCAAGCTCGATTATCATGCCAAGATTCATCTTTTCTGGAGACCTTTCTCATAGTGGCCACTGCCACATCTCCTTATGAAATCTATCTGTAGCGCTGGTGAACCAAAGAATAGCTATGGTGGGGTTTCCCGCGGAGCAGTTGTCCGATCGTCAGCAGATCATGAGAAGGGGGAAGAACCATGACCGGCTTAGAGTGTGTCACACATGATGCAAGGTAGTAGGACCTGCCCACTTCGTGTGTGATGGCTAGATGGCTATTACATAGGTACCCAAGGAAGAAGACCTAGAGTAGGGCCAGGGGCTAGGCACCTCGATACAGGGCGAAAGTAAAGTCATGACAATCATCACTAGGTACGGAGACTCAGATCCAGATGAGCATCTCGATTTACCGGCATCCCGGGTGTAACCTTGCACAGGAAGCAAGTCGAAAAAATGGAACAAATCGAAAAAGTCCCCACGTCACTCGAAGAGGTCGCGGGTATCGAAAGCGGAAATAGGGTAGCTCCCCGCAAGGGCAGCGGCTCTCATTGATTCATCGCTCGATTTGACTCGGGCGCGATGATGCAATGGGCTTTCTCCCACCTCCACTCTTTTACCCACTTTCTGAGCTTTGGCCGATCATCGATCATCCGTGGCAGCCGACGACGTCACGGTGTTCAAAGAAGCTTCCGGCCTTCCATCCCATCCACTCTCCCATTTGACTGCGTCCCTCCCCCCAATTTCCTTGGGATCGTGAAGGAATGCAGATTTCTCTTCTCGCGAAGTTTCTCCACCATGGCTACTGCTGAGATGCCCTCGGGGCCTAGGTCCGCTCGTCTCGCTGATGACGGTAAGGAACTGATCGCCGATCCACTATGCGAACCCCATCATGCGAGCGCATTGATCGCTGACTTTCCCTTGTGCCTGAAACAGCTGCCACTGCTGCGCTATATGCCGTGCAACCTCGACGCAAGGCGTCCGTTCGTGATAAGCCTGCGCCCGATTCACTTAACTCGAGTGAGTGCGCCCTTGCCCGCGGGGCTAGATCCCCTCGTACTAATTCGCGATGCTTCTCGTGCCAGATCAACGAGTGATCGTCCCGAATCTTAGCCATGCCTCAGCTGCATCCGCTCTCGCCCATGCCAACCATAAGCCCATCGAAGTATGGCGCCCCGGACGATATACTGAGGCCGAAAAGGCCGCCCTTTGCGTAAAAGACTTCTCTCCGCCCGAGTTCCCTCAGCCTAGCACAGGCTACAGCGCAGAGGGACTTGGCGCCGCAATTCTCGCCGTGCGCGAGCAGAGATCGACACAGGCCGCCCGAGAGAAAGAAATCGAAGTCGAGCAAAATCGTGCGCGAGAGAAGGAACGGCAATCGAAGGCGCTTAAAGCGGCCACTGGGGCTTACGCGACACGTAAGAAAGCTGATGCGGTTGCTAGTGAGCCAGTGATTACGTCTGAGCCCCGTTATGCTCGCACTGCGGCTGGAGCATCCCGCCATATCTCAAGTGAGGAAGAAGCGCAGCCACTTAACCACCTCGACGATGCGATGGAGGCCAGCCGAATTACGCATGCCGCCAACCAAAATGCCAAGCTCTATACCTCGTCCCCTCCTAATGCTACCGACGTCCAGGAGCGTAACCGAAGAAACTCACTCCACGCTGCGGCACTCGTTATGGCAAGGGATATGTACGATGTCAGCCCCACCGAATCCAAGGGAGCCACAAACGTCGACCCTGCGCTCTCTGCAGCCCAGAAAGGTCACGGTCAGGCCATGGCTCGATCCCGAAATACCGTCAGTGGAACAGTTGGCACTACCGGCCGAAATGCATTAACTTTGCAAGAGGCCGCGCAGAAGCGCGCTTCCGAGAAACTGGCACGTTTGAGAAACGAGCAGGCAGAGATGCAAGCCTACTACGGAACTGCACCTCAGCCACAGCGATCGCGCTTGACCACTCGCCGAAAGAGAGCTTCCAGTGACGCAGATGCGACACAGACCGATGCCGAACAGTCAAGGCACATTCGTCATCAGATGACAAGCCTGCGATCAAGAGTCAATCGAGTAGATGAGAAAAGACAGCATGACCGCGATTTTCTCATGGAAGCAGCACGGCGCAATGTCGATCAGACTATGCAGGATATGGACATGAAGCTGTGGGCCGATAGTGGTCGCGCCCCTCCATCCAGACAGAAGGAGTGGGACGATGCCGCCGAGGCTCGCGTTCGCAGAGAAGCCGAAACCTCGGAGGCGAGCAGTGTCAATGCGAATGCGAACGCAACTGTGGAGCGTGTGAATATCGGCGGCAACCAGTATATGGACATGGCCGATGTGGAGGCTGTCGCTCGCTCACGTCTCCAGCCCACTTTTGATGGGATTACAGACCAAGCTGAACAGCAACGGGCCCACGAGCTGGAGGAACGACTGGATGCAGAGGAGCAGGAAAGACAAGCCGCCATTGAGGAGGAGCGCGAGGCCGATATGAGGGCTGCAACAAAGCAAAAGAAAGGTCAGTATCGCAGATGTGAAAAAGAGAGACAAGGCTAATATCTGAAACAGATTCCAGCAAGCGTGAATCGAAGGGAATTAATTTCTTCCAGTTGTTGAGGCGCAAGAGCAGACGAGTGCCTGACGAGAAGACGGAGGCAGAGAAAGAAACAGCCGACAAAGAGGCCACTGCGTTGCCCACAGGCGAGGACTCACAAGCCGCTGAAGGGCCTGCTGTTGCTACAGGAGCCGCCGCCGTCACAGGAGCCGCCACTACTGCAGAGACTGTCCCTGCAGTGGAGATTACTCCGACTCCGGAGGCTTCAAATGCCCCAGAAGTTGCGCCTACGATAGAATCTGCCCGTGCTGAGGAGGATGCTTCTACCAGGGAGATTAGAAATATTTCTCCACCTGGAGAGACTATTCCTCCTGTGGAGACTGTGGCTTCCGTTCCCGAAGATGCCGCCGCCAAGGATGCCTCCGCTACGGAAGCTCAGGCGCCACTGGGATCCTCAAGGCTGTCCGGGGAAGAGGCCGCTGCCCCAGAATCCGTCGAGGAGCCCGAAACGCCTGGTGCGGCAACTGTTTTTGCCGCTGGCCCCGTTGCAGCCCCTGTGAAATTGGTCAATGATCCTGTCTCATTGGACGAAACCACCGGTACGCTGAGATACCATCCCGAACCACGGGATGCTGCTGCCGTTGGCGGCGTGTCTCCTATGCATACCGTGCAGCCTATCATAAGTCCTCGAGCAGACTCAAAGCTGAAGACGTGGTTCCGCGACCGATTGGTTCGCCGCTCTAGCGGACCGGTCCCCGTGTATCCCCACCAGCCCGGGCCAGATTTCAATACCGACAGCGAGATTGGCTTTTCGGGCGGAGCTACCCTGAGAGAGCAAAGCGGGTCTCGCAGTGCGGCGCTAAGCTCACACCCCGTCACCAGCGACGAGTTCGATCAGAGGTCAAACAGTGGCGCTGAAGTGAGCAAAATGTCAACTTACGACTCAGCTTCAAGTGGGCAAGTCGAACACAGTTCCAGCAGCAAAAGACAGCGTCTGCGGAGTAGCTTTATGAAGACTGTGGGCCGCTCTAATCAAGATTCCAAGACAAACGGCGTCAGCTCGCATTCTCGAAACACATCTGGAGCTATTCCCGAATCCAAGGATACCGATCCCGGCATCCAGAACTTGCGAAATAGTGCCATCGAGCAGGGTCTTCCCGTCCCGCCTGCTCTCGGGGACAATGCCAGTGCTACAGGACGAGAGTCGAGGTTCTCCGAGGATCTGTGATTTTCATCTACTTGTCATTTATAAGATAGTACGGAGTATACTTTAGGGTTGGCGTTTCTGGCTTTCTGTGGATTTATTGATGATTTGAACGGCGCCTTGAAAAGGTTACTGATATCATGGGCGCGTTACGACTAATTTGTACATACACGACGAATCTGTTTGAATATCAAGTTATCAAAATTTATTGAAATAAGTGGTTGACCCAGATCTTGATTTTCTACATAGCTTCCCAAGGTTCATAGCTCGTATAGTTCGCCTGCGTCGCCACTCACGCCGGCCATTTCCAAAGTTTTGCTTTGGGGGGCCCGCCCCCGCAACGTATCATGCCCACATCTTCTAACCCATCCGAATTCAACCCCAACCATCCCCGCAAAAATGACCGCCAAAGGATGCATGGGAAATAAGTCCGTTCAAACCCCGCCATATTCTATGGGCATTCGACCAGAACATATAACCGAGTTTGAAAGACTCCTCTGGATAAAGCCCAAATACGATCCCCGCTCACCAAACGAGTACTGCATCCGATATGATAGCGACGACACTACACTATTTACGGCAACGGGCATGGAATACAGCGCTAAATCTACGCGCGAGTTCCGTGATTCCTCGGGTCTGCCTTTATTCGAGATTCAGAAGGTCTGGTCGCTAGGCTGGAGGCATAAAGCGCCGTGGCGGGTAAGACTGCCCGGGTGCAAGGAGGTGGACTTGGTTGATATTCGGTTCAAGGGCCTGATGCATAATCACTTTGAGGTGCATTTTCGAAATTCTGTCGCGAGGGATACTAAGAATGAAGATGATAGGATGGTGCATCTCGTTGTGCAGCGCGTCTCGCCTGTTTACCGGGTATATGAAGTCAGGGTGGCTGGGATTAAAGTTGTGGATATACGTGAGAGCATGGAGAGGAACAGATCTGTGCCGACGAGACTTTATAATTCGAGTGGAGGGTTGTTACCCCCGAGATTAGAGATGGAGGTCAGGGTGGCCGAGGATTTTGATATGTCTCTAGTAAGTTTGACCCAGTTAGATGAGAGGAAGCTTTTGGCTAATGATGGCAGGCTTTTCTGATCGCGGTCATTGTTTGTGATATTGGATTTAGTGCAATTCCTCCACGCTCCACTAGTCGGATGCATGCTACCTTGAACATTCCGTGAGGCGACGGAATGATCTCAATAACAGGTGCATATACCAGGGAGAGGAAAGCGTCACAGTTAGTTAGAAGCCTTCACTGGACTTTTCCTACAGGTTAGGAGGCTCCGGTTTAGCTCCCTATGTTTCTAGTGCGTACTCGGAAATATTACCCAATACCAGTCTACCTAATAGAAAAGTACCCAACCCAAATGAAGAGATATTCAGCCAGACAAATGGGAATTATGGCCGAATTAGCGCTTCCCCTGCATCGGACATTAATGTTTGTGCTTTGGAATAACGCCAGGAACCCCCCAAATACGACCTCAATATCCGCCCCCGCATCACCCTGGAGAATTGCCCGATACGTCAACGGTGATCGTGAAAACATCCACCAATCCCAGGTTAGCACCGGGCCTTGCTAATGCGAGGCCCGAGATTCAAGATGTAGATTTATACCAGAGAGGATAGACTCCGGAGCTGGTCGAAACCAGTTCGACTCCGATAGGCACCATGCGCTTTCTCGCATATATCTCCCTTTTACTGGGATGCTTGTCGCATTGCTTTGTCTCCGCGACAAGCGATGGTAATTCAACTGAGGTGACCTGGGATAAATACAGCCTTTCAGTCAAAGGCGAGCGGGTCTATGTCTTCTCCGGTGAATTTCATTACCAGCGACTTCCTGTTCCTGAGTTATGGCTTGATGTGTTTCAGAAGTTACGCGCCAATGGGTTTAATGCGGTCTCGAGTAGGTGATAGCCTCAATCTAGGTATTTAGGTTGTTGCTGATTTTCTCTTAGTATACTTCTTCTGGAGCTTCCACTCCGCCTCGGAAGGTACGTTCGATTTCGAGACTGGCGCGCATGATGTCCAACGAGTCTTCAACTATGCCAAACAAGCTGGTCTTTACGTGATTGCTCGTGCGGGCCCCTATGACAACGCCGAGACCTCTGCTGGTGGCTTCGCCTTGTGGGCCTCCAATGGCCAGATGGGCGAAACGCGGACCAGTGCAGAGTCTTACTACGAGCGATGGCTTCCCTGGATTTTGAACATCGGCAAGATTATTGCCGCTAATCAAATTACAAACGGCGGACCCGTCATCTTGAATCAGCATGAGAATGAGCTACAGGAAACAGTGCATTCGGCCACCAATACCCTTGTGGAGTACATGGAGCAAATTGCAGCTGCTTTCAGCGAGGCCGGGGTGGTTGTGCCTAGTACTCACAATGAAAAGGGCATGCGCTCGATGAGCTGGTCGACAGACTATGAAGATGTCGGCGGTGCTGTCAATGTCTACGGCCTGGATTCTTATCCCGGTGGTCTGTCGTGTACCAATCCAGACTCCGGATTCAACCTCGTTCGAACCTACTACCAGTGGTTCCAGAACTACTCATACACTCAGCCTGAGTATCTGGCTGAGTTTGAGGGTGGATGGTTCCAGCCATGGGGTGGATATTTCTATGATCAATGTGCAGCTGAGCAGTCGCCCGAGTTTGCGGATGTCTATTACAAGAACAATGTCGGCTCAAAAGTGACTCTGCAGAGCTTGTACATGAGCTTTGGAGGGACAAACTGGGGCCATAGTGCTGCGCCGGTGGTCTATACTTCATATGACTATGCGGCGCCTCTTCGTGAAACTCGTGAGGTGAGAGATAAACTTAAGCAGACAAAGTTGCTTGGCTTGTTCACTCGCGTCTCGTCGGGTCTTCTTCAGACGGATATGGAAGGCAATGGCACGGGGTACACGAGTGACGATAGTATCTATACCTGGGCTCTCCGCAACCCTGACACCCAAGCGGGATTCTACGTTTTGGCTCATAGCTCAAGTCCCTCTCGCGACGTGACTACGTTCTCATTGAATGTCAATACCACAGCTGGTATGCATACTCACTCCCTACACAAAAGTACAGCTGACTGACCCGTATAAGGTGCAATTACTATCCCAGACATCGAACTGGACGGCCGACAGAGTAAGATTATAGTCACCGATTATCAAGTCGGTAAAGCTTCAAGCTTGCTATACTCATCCGCCGAAGTCTTGACATATGCCACTCTTGACGAAGATGTCATTGTGCTCTATCTGAAAATCGGACAGAAGGGAAGCTTCGCCTTCAAGAACCCGCCCGCTCATTTGACATTCCAGACCTATGGCAATTCGAAAATGACCTCTGCTACATCGGATAACGGGACGCAGTACACCTACACCCAAGGAGAAGGATCGACTGTAGTCAAATTCTCCAATGACGTTCTTTTATATCTTCTTGATCAGGAGACCGCGTGGAACTTCTTCGCTGTGCCTACAACATCCAACCCACATGTCTTGCCCAGCGAGCAAATCCTCGCACTTGGACCATATCTGGTTCGGGAGGCCAGTATTGATAAAAACACCGTCAGTCTCATTGGAGACAATGCGAACACCACGTCGCTTGAGTTAGTATATGTCCCGTACCAAGAGGGTCCTTTACGAGGCGATCTTTGCTAACCCTCTGCATTAGAGTCTACCCGGGCAACTCGAAGGTCACCAAGATCAAATGGAATGGCAAAGCTATCAAAGCTAAAAAGACTGCGTATGGCAGTCTGATCGGCTCAGCCCCAGGCGCAGAAGATGCTAAGATAAGACTGCCTACTTTGACATCGTGGAAATCTCAGGACACATTGCCTGAGATCCAAGCCGACTATGACGATTCCCGTTGGACTATCTGCAATAAGTCTACGACGGTCAACTCCGTTGCTCCTTTGACTCTCCCGGTCCTTTACTCCGGCGACTATGGTTATCACGCTGGGACGAAGATCTATCGCGGTCGCTTCGATGGCCAGAATGCCACGGGGGCCAATATCACCGCGCAGAATGGTGTAGCCGCCGGCTGGGCTGCCTGGTTAAACGGAGCCTATGTCGGCGGTGCCATAGGCGGCCCGGACCTGACATCAACCACGGCAGAGCTCACATTCAACACTTCTGGTCTTCGCGACACCGACAATGTCCTGACGGTTATCATGGACTATACCGGCCACGACGAAGCGAACGTCTCGCCCGCAGGAGCGCAGAACCCCCGCGGGCTTCTAGGCGCTACTCTCTTCGGAGCCAACTTCACCTCATGGCGCATTCAAGGCAACGCCGGCGGCGAAGCTAACATCGACCCGGTGCGCGGACCCATGAATGAAGGCGGTCTCTACGGCGAGCGCATGGGCTGGCATCTACCCGGCTACTCGATTCCAAAGACCGCAGGCAAGGAAAGCCCGCTGGATGGGGTCACGGGTGCTGAAGGCCGATTCTATACGACCACATTCACCTTGAATCTGGACACAGACTTGGACGTTCCGATTGGGCTGCAGCTCGACGCACCGACCAACACGACGGCTGTCGTGCAGATCTTTATGAACGGGTATCAGTTCGGCCACTATCTGCCGCACATCGGGCCCCAGACCCTGTTTCCCTTCCAACCTGGCGTCATCAACAACGGGAAGAACACGCTGTCGATTAGTCTGTGGGCGTTGGACGGGGAGGGGGCCCGTCTGAGTCAGGTGGAGCTAGTCGCGTATGGAGCGTACCGTACGGGGTTCAACTTTGACCACGACTGGGCCTATCTGCAGCCGGGCTGGAAGGATCGGAGTCAATACCAGTAAATCCGTTAAGGTATGTGTCAGAGTAATCGATTAAGCTTGGGTGGATCCTGGGGAAGGGGAAAAAGCTCAGGCCAGAAAACAGGGCGATAGTTTCCTGCCCAACGTTTACCGCCAATTCACGTCTCCACTTGGAACTGGAACCTCTGGGACCTTTTGTATCTTTTGCCAACCTCAAATGTATTCTCCTTAATTCATCATGCCGCGTCAGGGAAGCATCGATTTAGACTCGGCCGATCGGCCTTTTGATAATATCATCAACTTCCGCGATGTCGGTCGTACCGTCAACCACTTCTGTGGTACTCAGTACGTGGGCTCATGCCATGTAACCCCCCTCTACCCCCTAAAAGCCAGGTATCTGACAACAAAACCAGGATTTTGAAAGAGGGCGTGCTCTTCCGCAGTGCCAGGGTAAATACATCCTCGCCTGCAACCATTCATACAAGCCTTACAGAAGACTGACCAAGATCGACTGTATAGCTTGACGATGCCTCAGAACGAGATAAACGCCGACTGGCCGAGGAACTGCACATCGCGACAGTGATCGATCTTCGATCTCAGTGAGTCCCATCCCCGTCGTACCCATTCCAACCTCCAATCTAATCCGCGCGGCCAGAACCGAACACCAGATGGGGACCCGCAAACGCCGCGCCGAAAACGCGGGCGCGAGCGAGGATCCCGCTGATATCGACTTCACGAGATCCCGCGTGCCCCTGGATGCAGATGAACATCTGCTGCAAATCCCAGATTCTCACCGCGCCCTGATCAGCTTGACGGGCAGGGGTTTCGAACGTGCGTTACTGGCTAAACTCGATTGGCCCACTTATCTGTAAGCCACCGCTTGCCCTGGCTGATTGCTCACTGGCACTTCCGATACTGATCATTCCACAGAAAAGTAATCGCCTGGGCTGCGACGGGTTATCGCGCTGATGCCGTCCGCCTTATTGGGGAACAGGTTATGCAGCCGCGAGGTTTAACAGGACTCGCGCAGGATACCCTAGATGCCAGCGCTAGCGAAATTCGCGCTGTCTTTGAGCTCCTTGCGAAGGAGGAGGCGTATCCGCTTATCGTGCATTGTACCCAGGGCAAGGACCGGACTGGTCTGGTCATTCTGATGGCGCTTTTGCTTGCGGGTGAGACTGTGCCGGCGACTGCTGTTGCTGATGATTATACCCGGTCGGAGCTGGAGCTTGTCCCCGAGTTTGAGGAGCGTATGCGCGAAATCCGTGCCCTGGGTTTGGGTGAAGAATACACGCGTTGTCCGCCCGGGTTTGTGGACACGACGACCCAGTATCTGCAGGACAGATACGGTGGTGTGCGCGGGTATTTGGCGGGGATCGGCATCGATGCGGCGATGCAAGAACACATACGACAGAAACTATTGATCTAGTAAATCGGCGTTGGGCTGGGGGGCAACATGCCGGTAGCATTTTTGTACATAACATGGGATATGTGACCACGGTAATCATACAGCAGGCATCGGGCTTTCTTAATGTTAGAATTCAGTTTGAGTTTGATATAAAAATTTTGAGAGTGATTTTGATTATCGTGAATGAAATGATAATTTACAAGAAAAGAGATCTCGGCATCGACCGCCATGTCAACACCCAGAGGGTATAGAAAATAAGAAACGCAGACAAAGCAGGTATATAAAACGTCCAGAAATGCAGCAAAATCACGGACTGGTCATCGCATCTATACGTCAATAACTCAATAAATCAATGATCCCAACTCCAATCACTCGAAATGTGTGGGTTTATGTGCGTTGGCCGCGGTAATAGTTGGGTCCCTGCGAGTCGTACGTCAAGGGCTCCTCCAGCGACACGGTGTGAGACCTGTCATCTCCGTTGGACATCACGTTGCGCTTCTCGCCCTGGGGCACGTGGTTGCGAGTGCGGACAGAGGGTAGCAGGTCAACGACAAAGGAGAGGATGTATCCGGTGAAGACGAAGGCAATGACCCACTCGAGGATGGCGCCAGGGTTCTTCTTCTTCTTGTCGTTGCTTCCCATGCAAACACCGAAACCGATGGCGAGGCCGACTTCGATGATGATGAAGCAGAGCTTGATGACGAAGCTAATCAACAGAATGCGGTGCTGGGAGCGATAGAAAATACCCAGTCGAAGGTACTCGGCGCAGATCAAGATGGCACTGATGACGTATCCAACACTAGGCAGTTGAATTAGTTGGAGTTCAGACAGACCAGACCTCGCTCTGAAGAGGTAGACTCACATGAACATAGCTAGGAAACCATCGTGTCTCTTCGGGTAGTGCTTGGTATCGAAGATGGATAGCAGAATCAACCCAAGCGCACCAGCAATGGCGAAGAAGATCGAGAAACAAGCACACAGCTTATCGAACCAACCGCGGTTAGGCACAAGCTGGCCAGCGTGACGAAGCCAGCGCTCAGCCAAGAAAGCCAAATCCAAAAACACGACGGTCACAACGCTACCCGCAACGAAGAGCGGTTTCAAGCCCGAGGCACCAATATCGGAAATGTATCTGTGATCGCGTGAGCTGCCGAACCATTAAAGGAAAGGAATCCTGCATACGCAACGGTCTGGCCATCCTCCTCCTCGCTATAGACCGGTTCGCCTTCTCTGGCCCATACGGCGAGCATGGCAACCAACATGCCTAACACATCTGATTAGATCTTGCGGATATAGGAACCGAGGCGTTCTTACCAACCCACACACACGCCGATACAAGAGGGAAGACCCAGAATGAAACGACCCACATCTTGGCCGGGGTAGTGTTTCTACGTGTGTTCGAACGTATGTAGCGCGAGGGGAGATTGCGTCGAGAAAGTGTGCGATAGAAGACTTTTATCAAAGTGATGCGACTCTATTTTCACGGTTAGTATTGCTTCCACGTCCCTGTTCATTGATGGCCGGGGGGAGGGGAGAGAGGGAACGAGAATGGGAAGCACCCGAGAGAAATCGGTCGCACAGGCGCGAACTCACCGATGCTTTATTTATACAGCATTCCACGACGGCAAAGGGCTGAATGAATTAAGATTAAGATGCTTTGGTGGCGCTCGGATGTGGAATCCAGGGCAAAGGACTGCGCTCGGATCGTTCGGAATGGGAGGGATGTGCACTATTGACAATTTGGGAACTCGGCGGCAGAGAAAAAGAAGAGGATGGTGAGAAGAGGAGGATGATGGTATGGGAGAGAAGATACTCAAGGAGTCGTAGTCGCAGTCGTAGTCGTAGACGTAGACGCTGGGGGAAGCAAGGCAGAAACCCATATTAAACGACGCCAGATGGGGCGACGTCATTGCTGCCAAGGCACGAAACTTCAAAGCGGATCCACGATGGCCCGACTGGAACGTAATGCTCGAATGATCGGGATTGTGCGTAATGGGTGCCCCACACACTCCAGTTTCCAGTACTCAAAGAAACTCGGCTCGGTTCTGATTTGCACAAGAATCTTGGTGACTGGTTGTCCTGCCACACGATCTACACCTTCCACATCTGTACATCGGGGACCCGGGTGTGGCGGGGGAGAAAAAAAGTAAAAATATAATATATAAAATATAATATAAAATCAGAATAGAAGATCCTAAGAGAATCATAACCAGAATGTACTGATATTTATGCAAATGCATAGAGCCATCTATGGGTCTACCCGGAACGCCGTTTTTTGCGTAGAGCCGTGCCGAAAGAACAATAGAAAAGAGCAAATATTAATGGGACACTCGGAGAGACACTTCACCCTTTCATCGACTGCGCCGTGGTCGAGGCCGGCCCCCAGACATTTTCCGCCGCTGGAGACCCGTTGGACCCTGACGCTCCACAACCCGCACGATCTGCACTTCATCCTCTTCACTACTTTCCTCGCTGCTCTCCTCACTGGATTCCGACTCCGACTCCGACGGCACCGGGCGGGTTCGCTGTTGCGGTACGCTCACAGATGGTGCAGACTGGCGATGCTGGGCTTGGATAGGAGACATCCCGCTGGGATAGCTCATATGACTCTGGGGCCCGGCCCGAAGGTCACTAGGGAGCTGCGGATGGTATGGGGGCTGCTCTGCGAAAGGACTCATCTGCATGGGATTGTAGTAGGACGGTGCCCATTGCGGATCGTCCGGCAGTGGTCGTGGGTGCATCGGCTGCATCGATTGCGGGCGGCCGTTGGGAGGAAGCCGTTCGGGGAAGACAGGATAGCCCGGTCGAAGCGGAGAGTTGGACTGCTGTGGGCGGAGTGACTGCATGGTTGGGGTTCGGGGGCGATGCGCAGAGGACGAACTAGTAGGCCGCCCAGCTGCACCCGCACCTAGATTCCACCCAGCGTCGGCCCCATAGGCAAACGGGGCGTAGGGCCCCGCGGGTGGTCCTGGTGGTTGCTCTGGCAGGCCCCCGGATTTGCGTCGAGATGAGGGCCGAGTACTGGATGCACTCCCAGTCTGCTTAGGCCGGCGAGCCTCGCTGGGTTTGTCCGTCTGCTGGCGCCTGCGTTCCAGGGCATCCAGCTCGCGCTTAGATAGCCGGACGTTCTTCTTTCCCAGCATCTGCGCACGACGGATGCGCTCCAGCGCCTTGTCCACCAGTTGGTCCTCCTTGTCTCGCATGGCCAGCTGAACCGCGTAGGCCACCGTGCTATCTTCATGATCGTAAAGGTCGTAATCACCCCCGTCAACTACCGACTCGCCATCGTCGGTCAAATCATCATAATCCTGCCGCCTGCGCGGCCCCCGTCCTCCATATTCTAATTGTCGCAAGTACGCCGCACGGCCATTCCGTACCAGCTGCCGACCATACTCATCCTCGTCAGTCTCCACCTCCTCCACTCGTGCCATCTGTTCCTCATATTGCCCACCTCCGCCGTTGTATCTCCCTTTTCGTGCTCCCGGTGGTCTTCCCCATCGGGGCATATCATAAGGAGCTCGCGGCCGACCACCTAGACCGCCTCCTCGGAAAAAGCATTCTCGATTGGCTTATCCATAAAAGCAGCATGACCGAAGACGGTCACACCAGTTGCGCCGATCAACCAAAGGGCCGTCGCGAAGGGCGAAGCCCAGAGACCAAGAGGGACGCCAATGCACAACAAAGCTGTGTAGAGCTGCGAAGTGTTGAAGCGGCGGAAGCCCAAGTCCAGGTCGCGGCCATCCAGTTTACCAATGCCCCAAACACTGGCGGTCGCGAAAATGATGACGAACAGCAGGACGGGGTTGGTCAACAGGCTGTAGATGCTGAGCATAACGAAGACGACGGCATAGTTGCTGGAGAAGTGGCTCAGGTTGTAGTTGACGCGGCTTTGGACCTCACCGAAGTTGGCGGGCTTGGAGACGCGCTTGAGGTCGAGAAACTCGGAGACGGGGCGCAGATTGGCGAAACGGGTGCTCAGCGACTGGCTGCGGAGGGAGCTGAAGCGGTCACCGAAACGCGAGGTGATCGCGTCGATTGGAATTTGGATGGCCATGGCGAGCGTAGGACTGAGAAGTGTAGAAAGAAGAGCGAAGAGCGAAGAGCGAAGAGCGAAGAAAGAAGAGAGAAGAGACAGATACAAGTTTGATCAATGGGGTGCAAATGGAAGGTGCAGAGGGAAAGAACACGGAGTCACTTTTTTTTCCTCCCGAGTTTGGCCTTTGCCCCTTTCGATGTTAGTCCAAACAGCACTGGCCAGATTTGACACCTCGTCACTCCTGAGAAGTGAAATAGGCAGAAGAATAGAAGCCTTGGGTTGAGCGATGAAGGATGAGTAACAAAGATGATGAATTGGCGTCGGCCTCTCTGCCTTGGACAGGGACTAAGAATAGCAGAGACCCATGTTCCCACTGTTTACTGCGTGCGGAAGTCCGTCACCGGATCGGAGCGATCATGGCGATCTGGAGGGGAGAGATGGCTTGAGAACCAGGGCTTCCTTTTTCGGGAATTACTCGTATTATATAGACATACAGACAGCCATCACTAGATCACAGAACCTGAAAGAATCGACTTCCCCTCACACAGAAAAATAAAAGGGTCACGATTGGGCCACGTCGGGGAGTTCTGCAGGTGGATCACAGCCCCGACCGCTTTTTCCCTTTGGCAGAGTGGACTCCTCGACCGTGCATTCGCCTGCTTTCCATTCGTGATTGTGATTCCCATCTTGGTTTGTTTCTCTAAGCGTCGCGGTGTTGACCGCTCCATTTCTTTTGCTATCATGAAGGTCCTTTCCTTCTCCCTCCTGCTCGTCTTTGTGGGCCTGGTCGCTGCTTGGTCCAAAGAAGGTTCGTTGTTGACTCCCCCTGCAACTGTGTACACTACTCACCCTTTTCTTTTTTTTTTCTTTTCTGCCAGACTACGAGATCTTCAATCTGAGGGATGAAGTGGCCCTTTCTGAAGGTGCCAATGTGACTTTCTACGGTACGTCAATCTATAACTATTTACCTGCGATTGGCTTCCCTGGCAGACAGTTGACTCGGCTCTGGCTAGACTTCCTTGAGATCCGTCCGAATGCCAACCAGGAGCAAATCACCAAGGCCTACCGTACCAAGTCGCGTACTCTGCACCCGGACAAGGTCAAGCGTTCCTTCATCGCCAATTACTCCAAGGACAAGGCCAATGCCAAGTCTAAGCAGGGTGTCAATGTCTCCACCGGTCCCTCGAAGCGCCAGATCGATGCTGCTGTCAAGGCTGCTACCGAACGCTCCAGTCGCTTGAACCTCGTCGCCAATGTCCTGCGTGGCCCCGGCCGTGAGCGCTACGACCATTTCCTGAAAAATGGCTTCCCCCTCTGGAAGGGCACCGGATACTACTACTCGCGCTTCCGTCCCGGTCTCGGATCCGTGCTGATGGGCCTGTTCCTTGTCTTCGGTGGTGGTGCCCACTACGGTGCTCTGATTCTGGGCTGGAAGCGCCAGCGCGAGTTCGTCGATCGCTACATTCGACAGGCCCGTCGGGCTGCTTGGGGGGACGATATGGGCATCCCGGGTATCAACGCGGTTGCCGCGGCTCCTGCTCCTGCTCCTGCCCCCGAGGGCGAGGGCGGTGCGGTTGCCATGAATCGTCGTCAGAAGCGGATGATGGACAAGGAAAACCGTAAGGAAAGCCGGAGACCTAAGCCAAGCCCGCGTCCGTCAGGCACCTCCACTCCTACTGATCCTACTGAGCCCGTCACCTCCACTGGGGAGCGGAAGCGTGTCGTTGCCGAGAATGGCAAGATCTTGATTGTGGACTCGATCGGCAACGTCTTCCTGGAAGAAGAAAACGAGGAGGGTGAGAAGCAGGAGTTCCTGCTCGATGTTGACGAAATTCAACCCCCCTCCATTCGTGACACTATGGTGTTTCAGCTCCCTATCTGGTGCTTCAAGAGATCCGTTGGCCGTGTCATGGGCACTTCGGAGGCCCCCGAAGAGGAAGACCAAGGGGTGGAGCCCGTCGACGAGGTTCTCGAGGCGACCGCTACCTCGAAGTCGGGATCGAGCAGAAAACGCAACAAGCGTTCTCAGCGATCTTGATCCGATCCAATGGCAATTTAGATGGCCACAATGTGCATGAATGCTTGTTTGTTGTCCATGTTGGATGTATCAAAAGTATCTATAATAGAATAAAAGAGTTCGGGGTCGTTTCCCCTGTATAACAATTACAGAGTACAGAGTACAGAATAAGGGGTCCTGACTGATCACATGGCCTCCTTCCTAGGTGAGTTACGTCCTATATAGCGATTTGTGGAGTTGTTCAAGCCACGTCAGTGATCCTGCAGGACTACTGCCAGTGAGCACTGGACACACTGCCCCCTAGCCCGATGTAGGGAAGTCCAACGGGGCAATATCCACCGTTGGGTACACATACTTCACCGATACTTGGGTTTAAAAGAGAAAAGTACGCCCCCTCAGGTTCCTCGTGTCTCATCTCATGTTCACTTTGAAATTCTTAAATTCAATTGTCGCTACAAAACCCTTGCTTTTCATGATTGAAATGCATATCGAATCCGAGCGAGCCTCCCAGTACAGGACATAGTATATCGGCAAGAAAAAAGACTAAAAACGAGATGAAGATAAAGGTCGGGCATGAAAGAGAGTTCGGCGAGTATCGTGACGGTCATTAGGCTGAATGTTTTATCTGTTTCTGCACAAAGGTGGCGGCGATGTGGGTATCTCCTCGAGCTTATTGCGCCTAGGCAAACATCTTGGCCAGACTCATCAGACCATTGATGCCCTGTGAGAAGCCTGGGCCCTGGGGCTCGCCGAATCCACTCCGCGCGCCGTGCGAAGCACCACCTCCGAGAGCACTAAGGACTCCCTGGGGCAGGCGCAACCCAACCATGGCGAGCAACTTGACCAGAACTCCACTGGTGACCAACGGCACAATGACCATCATGAAAACTTTCATTGGGTGCTGGCGGGCATAGCGATAGATGTCACGGAAGAGGCGCTTAATGGATCGGATCATGCGCTGAACGAAGCCCTCGCGCGGCCGAGCTCGTCGGGAGGAGGATGAGAAGGATGAGAAGACTGATCTAGTTGGGCTAGATCGGCCGCTCACAGATCGACCGCCGCCCAGTGCACCAAGGTTGAAGAAGGACGGCGCAGAGTGTCGCGAATGGTGCGTCGAATAGCCAGATGACTTGCGTACGGGAGAGCGACGACGCACGTAGTAACCACCAGAGCGCGAATGCGACGAGGACTTGGAGGGACCGTCGAACCAGCCCATTTTGACGGATGTTAAAGTGACCTGAGCGTTTTACCCCCGTGCTTCTGGAGAATTGGTTCAGGCTTGACTGAAGTAGACGGTGATTGTAAACGACTGTGCTGTGGGTGTATGGGAGACAATAGAAAGACAAGGTATCTGTGACAGCCCTTGGAGAACTCTATTGAGAAATCTCTGGCAGCTGTGGCAAGCCAAAGAAAGAAAGAAGACAAATGCAGGTCAGCCGCTAGGAGCTGTAGAGGTGCGCAATCCGAGGTCTAGGCTGCGTACATCTACTCCACCCACAATTCGCTGTGCAGGTGGCAATGGAGTGGAATGCAAGATGCAAGATGCAGGGTGCAGGATCTGGGGCAAACCAACACGACCTTGATTAATTTGCTAGAGACTACTAGGGAGAAATTCAAAATGAGCTCCGCCCCTGACGACAAAATGGGTGGCTGGGAAGCGAATCTGTAGCAAATAACAAGTGAGACTGTTTTAGGGCCGGGGAGGGGGAGCCGGTGCCTTGTGGCCTTGTTGCCTTGTAGCCTGACGGCTTTATGGGCCTGAGGTGGATACTCTCACATGTTGTCGGAATGTTTTATATGCAACCAATCAACGATATCAAAAGCCCTGTCTTTGTATTACCCCTGATTCTGCCAATTTATAGGGGGATTCTAGATTACATAAGTAATAAACATGAAGGATAATTATATCTCCGGTCCACCGCGGTATTCGTATTGACACATGTTGCCTGCCTTGGTGCCTTAAGGGGCGTGACGACGTCACTGGCGTGGTTATACTTGGGTTGTTGGGTCCGCATCAATTTGACAGTTAACTTGTCACCATATCTGCTTCTCTTCTGCGGTCACCATGTCGAGTAAGTTACCTTATATCTTAGCGTCATAGGTGAGCTCAAGCTAACCAGGATTTACAGAGAGCCCTGACTACTGTATGTCTTACCTCCAAATCGCAGCCCATTCATGACTCCTAACTTGACCTGCAGACAAAACCCTCGGCGTGTCCAGTGATGCGACCCAGCAGCAGATTCGCACCGCATACAAGAGGTCAGTTTATGAAAATGCCTGCCAGTACGGAGAACACACCGCAGACTGACCAACGTCATACAGGGAATCGCTAAAGTCCCACCCCGATCGAGTTCCTGCCGATTCACCTGAACGACCAGCGCGGACAGCGAAGTTCCAAGAGATTAACGACGCATACTACACCTTGTCAGACCCCGCGCGACGACGGGAGTACGACCAAGTCCGCGCATACGAAGAGGCTGAAGAAGAAGTCGACGATGAGGTTCCTCAGGGCGGCGCCGGTGGTTTCCCATGGTCCAGCTTTGGATTTGGGAACCGCAGCGAGCGCGATGCCGATCAGTTCGGGTCGGTCTTTGAGGAGATGATGCGTGAAGAAGGACTGGCCGAAGAGAACGACGAGGGCGGCACCCGACGAACCCGCCCAACTTCCCGATTCTGGGCCGTTATTGGCGGCGTTAGTGGAGGCGCTCTGGGATTTATCGTGGGCAATTTCCCTGGTGCGCTGGCTGGCGCTGTGGCGGGTAATCGCCTAGGTGCCGTCCGCGACGCTAAGGGCAAAAGTGTCTATGAGGTTTTCGTGGACCTTCCACAGCCAGATCGGACGCGGCTCCTGAGTGAGCTGGCGGCAAAGGTCTTCCAAACTACCATGGGACGCTAATTCGCCGGAAATGGGGTTTTGCTTGTTGAACCGGCGTTGGGATGGATATAGTGAGATAGGAGGGGCTTGGATGGAATATTGGGATCCCCAAGCATATCTTGTGACATAGTAATCTCTAGCTAGAAATATGTAGATACATAATTCAGAACTATGAATACTACGAAATACCAATCTGTGCTTGTAGAGACCTGCCAAGAGTGTTTTCACATGCTTCAATCCCTTATCGATAACATGACAAGTAGACAATCGGATCGCCAAGTGTCGCTCTTCGGCGGAAAATAAGAGTTCGCAATCGAGATTGGTGCCACGATTCAATTGATCTCAAGTCCAACATTCGAGTCACTAGACCTCGCTTGAAACAGTCCTGGTGGCATTCCATGCCATGCCTGTTCTGGACCGCGCGCTAACGTACACCCCACCTGCTCACCGCTTGCGGTCAAAAAAAGGACCCCCCTCGGTCTGGGAAGTCTATATTTGTCTCCTGTTCCTGTCTTTCTTCGCGATTTTTGCGACTTTCTGGACTTTGATCTCTCCCCAATATGACTACCGCTGCCAGTGTTTACCCCGCCCTGGAGGCCCGTCCTCTCAAGGACACCATCTGCCTGTTCGATGTTGACGAGACCCTCACCAAGGCTAGACGGGTAGGTTGTAATGAATCTCCTGTTCATTGAGTATCGCTAACTTGTGGATTCAACTTACAGACCGTCACGCCAGAGATGCTCGAGCTTCTCTCCCGCTTGCGCCACAAGTGTGCAATTGGCTATGTCCGTCGTCTCCCATCTACTGCCTTTCGTCTCTTCTAACATCCTCCAGGTCGGCGGCTCCAACTTCGTCAAGCAGCAGGAGCAACTTGGATCCAATAACACCGACGTCACCTCTCTGTTCGACTTCTGCTTCCCCGAGAACGGTCTGGTTGCCTACCGCATGGGCGAGCCTCTTTCTAGCAACAGCTTCATCCAGTGGCTTGGAGAGGAAAAGTACCAGCAGCTCGCGGACTTCTGCCTCGGATACATTTCCAAGATCAAGCTTCCCAAGAAGCGTGGTACCTTTGTCGAGTTCCGCAGCGGCATGATCAATATTAGCCCCATTGGCCGTAACGCTAGCGTTGAGGAGCGCGATGAATTTGAGGCGTATGTTTATATCCCCTGGAGCGGACACTTCCACAAACACGAATGACTTACAATCGCAATAGTTATGATAAGATTCACAACATTCGGAGAGACATGGTGGAGGCCCTGAAGAAGGAGTTCCCCGACTGGGGTCTCACGTAAGTGCCCGACAAGCGAGGATATTCACCATGGATTCAGGACACTGACACATGTGAAACACAGCTTCTCCATTGGTGGCCAGATCTCTTTCGATGTCTTCCCCACTGGCTGGGACAAGACCTATTGCCTGCAGCATGTCGCGGCCGAGAAGGGCATCTCCGGAGTGGACTACAAGACCATCCACTTCTTTGGCGACAAGTGTTTCGTCGGCGGCAATGACTATGAGATCTATTCGGACCCTCGCACGATCGGTCACGAGGTCGACGGTCCTGATGACACCATGAAGCAGCTGAAGGAGGTGTTCTCCCTCTAGATAAAGTGCAGGCCAGAAAAAGGAGGGAGTTGCGATAGCGTATGCATGTTGAGCCGGAAATATTTGGTTCCTAATTCACCAGGGACATATTGTCAGACAATAGACACTGATTTAATGCCAAAGTCATGAAGCTCAAGTTCCAAGTCCTTTGTAGATGTTTCCCGGGTTTTTGCGGGGCTCGATCGCGGAACGTCGATCTTTCCGGCGGCGTTGTTAGTCATCCGTACCTTTCTCCTTGGTTCTTCCTGCGTCACTTCTTTCTTACAGCAGCATTTTTTTCGAAACTTCATTCATCTACGCTATGACACCCCCGAAGCATGTCGCGGAGGTACCGCGAAGCATCATTCCCCGCTTGACATGGAACAGCTCCATCTCGCGCCCTCCTATCTCCTATAAGCCCGCCTTCGCGACAAGGCAAAGGCAGCAACACACTCAGGGCTCTGGTCCTCTTAAGCGGCAATTACACTCACCGGATATACAAATACAGGCCTCACGAGGCTATTCAACATCATTCCGAAGCCCTCATCTTGAATCTCTCGTTGCCCGACGTCCTCCGCCCTCTACAACGACCTCATCTGGGCTCCTCGGCAACCCTATTCGACACAATGGCGTCTATGTCGCGACATTCAGGCCTGCGCAGCGAGCTTTCCACGCGACGCCTGTTCGACCCCGTGACCACCACTTTGACACATTGAAGTTCGTGAAGCGACTCCAGGCCGAAGGATTCAGCGAGGAACAGGCTGTGGCTATGATGCGAGTGTTGAATGATATCATTCAAGAGTCTATTCAGAACCTGACGAGAACTATGGTTCTTCGGGAAGGTAAGCAGGTGGCTAATTTATCTATTCGATATTTTGTCTGACAATCACCTAATAGACTCCGAGAGATCTACATACACTCAGAAAGTCGATTTCGCCAAACTGCGGTCCGAACTTTTGAACACAGATTCGACCGAAACTCAACTCACTCGTTCGTCTCATGAGAAGATCGCTGCGGATCTTGCCAAGCTTAACTCACGTATGCGCGATGAGGTTGGGCGAACACAAGCCTCAGTGCGCCTGGACCTGAACCTCGAGAAGGGTCGTATTCGCGAAGAAGCCAATGGTCAAGAAATGCGAATCAAGGAGACCGAAACACGCATTGAGCAAGAAGTAGCTGGTTTGAGGGAACGAGTCGAGGCTGTGAAGTTCTCGACCCTTCAGTGGCTCATGTATGGCTTCCGAACTCCCCTGCCCACATATGGATTGGAACTGACCTGATATTCTTCTAGGGGTGTCTGCACTGGTACCGCTGCTCTGATTCTTGGTGCTTGGCGCTTGTTTATGTGAAGCGTGTTAGCATAAAATTTGTGTGCATTGTTATGGAGTGATTTTTGGTTGGACATACACGAGACAGGAGTCTCTCGCATTATCTTTTCATTCGTAAATCATTCTCTACTCCTCTAGTCGTTTTAGGTCGAGATTGATATAGATAAGCATCATATGCCTGGATTCCAAATCAAATGAAATTACCTTGTCATACTAGAGAATATTCCGTGGCGGAGACCGGCCCGCTTTGGCCAAGCTTTATCGCAATAAACATTGAGTGTTTATATCGCTTGGGTATCCCTCCAATTCGGAGATCCGACTCTTCCAAGCGAAGTCTGGAAGTTGCCTAACTTCGGCATTAGAGGGGCGCACCTTCCCCTTGACGGCCTTATCTTCAGGGGTAGACGCGGCCTCGGCGTGATCTCCCGTGAATGTTGCATCCTTCATGCGGAGAAGTTTTTTAGCGTCCACTAGTCTGACACCGGTGTCCGACGGGCACTACTCACGATGGTAGTATCGCGCGCGTTACTGGACTGGTTGGTTCTCCAACTATCTTATCTCGGCATGTTAAAGACTCTCTTCTCCACTGAGTGCCTTGATGCATTGCCTGTTTTGGCTCTCTTTCTCTGGATAATCGCCATAGTTGTCTTTCCTTTCAAAATTGGACACAGCAATCGGATTGAACAATCGTTGAGTTTCGACATACTTCAAGTCGAAGCTAATATTGTGGAAGAATCTATGAAAGCCGTTGAAATCACCGAATCGAAACCAACCGTGCACAGCAAGGACCGCTCAAAGAAAGATCACAGATTTAACTTGAGGCTCGCCATGACAATGATGCTAGCCATACCTTGTGCATTACTCCTTCTTGGTCATACCAGACTGATCTCTGCACTTCATGGCGGCAGGTGGGCTCCCAAACGATCTACATTAGAGGCTTCCAGCTCGACGGGCCTGCAAGAAGTGTTTGAAGTCTACCAACCAGTCTCATTAACGTCCCACGGTTCCCACGGTTCCCACGGTTGCAATGTTGATATGGTGCTGATGGACCATGTGTTTGCTTACAGCTACGGCACGCCTTTCGTTGGTGAGATTTTAGCGCTCAAGGCTGCTGCTGTTGGTATGGCATTAACATTCAGGTATTTATAGGAATCTACGAGCCACCTAGCTGTGAGTTCGATACTGTTCGGATCAATTTTACAGTCTCCTCCCGTGGTGTGCAGTATGACCGCCTGGCTCTCATGTATCTGGGGGATACAGAAGTCTTCAGGACCTCAACTGCCGAGCCGACGTCAACTGGAATTGTTTGGACCTACGTCAAGGAGATGTCCCAGTACAACGCACTGTGGAAGAACAAACAGAAGTTGATCTTTGACCTTGGCAACATTGTCAACTCCGAATACACCGGGGACTACAATACTACATTGAAAGCACACTTCTCTTACGAAGGCAACGTGAAGACTGCAGACTACATCTTGCCCATCTCTAGCAAGGGCTCAGCTTCAAATTCATCCAGCTCTTTTACGGTTCCTACTGACAATACAACGGTCAAGTACACGATCCCAGATACGGTATCGCGTGCGATCGTTGCAATCTCTGCGTGTGGTCAGTCAGAGGAAGAATTTTGGTGGTCAAACGTATTCTCCCAGGACGAGGAGGACTTCAGTAATACAATTGGCGAGCTTTACGGATACTCACCCTTCCGGGAAATTCAGCTCTATATTGATGGGATGCTTGCTGGCTTCGTTTGGCCTTTCCCTGTCATATTTACTGGAGGCGTCGCCCCTGGTTTCTGGCACCCGATTGTTGGTATCGATGCCTTTGACCTTCGAATGCCCGAGATTGACATATCTCCATTTTTGCCACTTCTTCAAGATGGCGAAGAGCACTCTTTCGAAATTCGAGTCACCGGGTTGACTGTGTCCGCCGACGGAACTGTTACACTTGCAGATACCATAGGTTCATATTGGGTTGTCACCGGAAATATATTCCTCTTCACAGAGGGGAAGGAGGACTCTAAAGAGTTGGTGGCTCGGGGTAGCGCTATTCCCCGTATTGAAGCTCCAGCACCAAAGTTCACGGCCACTCGGAATTTGGTCCAAGGCGAGAGCGAAAACAACACTCTCTCATACTCCATCGTGGCGGAGAGGACGTTCAGTGCATCCTCTGACAAGTTCTCCTGGACACAAAAATTGTCTTTCTCCAATTATGGATACTTGAACCAACAAGGTTACAGTCAGGTCAACAAGCAGCTGACTTCCGGCGTATCGACACTTACAGAGCTCGGAGATAAGTTAGGCTCCTACGAGACTACCTTCAATTATCCTCTGCTAGTTAATGCAACGTATGGGATCACTGCAGGTTCGTTAATTATTGACTCCTGGATGAAACGCGGGCTAGATATCGAGGCTTCTGGGGGTCCAGGCATATCCACGTACACTTTCGCCTCTGGGCCTTCAGAACTACATACCACCCAGTCCGGACAGGCCCAGTACAAGTCTACCACCAACGGTACCACATCTTGGGGCGATACTGCAGATGAATTCCATAGCACAGGAAACGGCGAATCATACTCACGATCCGTCAGAGCTGTAGGTGGCGATGTGGTGTATGATACCAAATCTGCAGCCAAGTCTGTTTCATCTTCTCACGGTACGGATGCCACTGGAAGACAGACCGTGCGAGAAATGCTCGGAAGGGGTCCTGGAAAACCAAGGAGCTAGACTTTCAACAGACAATTGCAAGTGCATTCAGTAAGACATGGCGTCTTTCGACCAGTTTTCTGATAGAATTATCCGAAAGCTTCTTTTCCTCCTGTAATTTAACTTCTGTACCCTGTACATTTGAACTTCTTCCCTTTACATCCCATTCCAGCTACATTGATTTATTTGACTTATGATTTCGAGTGTCAACTGAGTCAACATACATACCTATCTGACTTTCAACTTGTCACTAGCTAATCGCTTCTGATCTCTCCCTCCCTCTCGCGTCACTTTCTCACGTGCTTTTGGTTTTCTCCCTAAACCACCGTTATTATGGGTCCTTTACACGATGTGAACCGAGGGTACTCCGATGGCTGATACTAAACACACTGCCGATGGGGCTGAGAAGCCTTGGGCAGCGCCTTCCCGGCTCTTTAAGTGAGCTCTCTTACATAGTAACTTGCACAGCACTGACAACCCCATTACTTCAACTCGGAGAATTCTATGATATCAGGATTCACACGACTGAGAAGATTTTCAAGGCGCACAGGGTCATTCTCTGCTCAAAGCATGAGTGCTCGGTGCGTAGTCTCGCCGATGCTAATTCACGCCATGGAATGCTAGATGGCAGAAAAAGTACCTAGTTCCCGTGCTCAAGGCTCACGAAGGGAGTAGGCTGTAGCTCTTTCAGAGGCAAGTTGGGACGATGAAGACTTTCCAAGGGTCAGTGTGGAGGTTTTCAGCAACACCGTGCAGAAGGACCGAGGTCTTCCAGACCCAACTTTGACAATCATGGATCACCCCTCACCGATCTGGTGAAGCTTAAGAGCTTCGAAGACTTCAAGGCCGTACTAAAGCAAAATCTGCATTTTGCATCTGACCCCGGCCTTTTCCAACTTTCTCATCTGCCTCAGCTAACCTTTGTTTCAACAAGCGCTAAGGTAACGTTGATAACAGCCAGTGTCTTCAGTTCTATGGCTATGATCGTGGATGACAATGTTTGCGCTTGTGCAACTACTTGTCCGGCAGCGGATGGGGCCGTCAAAATTTAACCTCACTATATTTAGTTACTGTCATCAAGAATCTCTCTAATTTGTTTGTGCTGTTTGCTGTAGATATCACCACGTGATTAGATAAGATAAGAATATCAGCTGTCGCATCGCGCCTCCATCTTCTCGACCCCATCGCAATCGACAGCAAGAGATTTGTACAAGGCAGACCAGCAGGATGGGTGTGGTCGCGGAGCAAGTGCTTATTCCAGGTAATATTTTCCATTCCCCTCGATCAATACTGTTGAATTGAGACTGATTTCTACCCATCCTAGACGCAGTACCTCGGTCACTGATCGCCGCTCTTGCGCAAAGTGACGCATTCAACAACGGCGATCGCCCCACGAAGCGGCGGAAGGTCACCAACTCGGGTCCTTACAGTTTGGCTCAACAGAGAGGCGTATCTACAAGTGGAATCCCTCTGGGTTATATTCCGTTGGCGCGACTGGCGCTGCGCATGGTTAGTATAAAGTGGCATTCGTCCAAGATTGAAATGGCTAATAATTTACCACCTTGTTGATTAGAACTTTTCGGATGCCATTGACTTTAATAATGAGATATCTTCTGATCCAACAGATATCTCTTGTTCTCTTCCTGTCCTAGTGGACCTCAGAAGCTTTGGCGCCAGCCTTGACGACTCGAATGGAAACACAGAACAGGGCCAACCCGGCCACAAATCCTGGTCACTCGAATTAAGGGCGACGGATACGGAAAAATTAGATTTCCTGAAACAACAGTTCAATGATCTTCAACTGTCCAATTTCTTCCAGCAACTTGAGCATGTCACCAGACTGACCTCGGCTGACCGGTATCTCAGCCGCAGTCCCCCGAGAGCTTGCTACCAAGCTTCAATACGCCTTTTACCCGAATACAAGTGTCTCCAACTAGATGTTGTGACCCTTTGGGAAGACTCTCTTCAAATTCCGGACTTTGTTCATTTGCAGGATCCGGTCTTGGAGGTATTCGCAAAATACGCACTGCATGAGTATTATGATTGCCCAAAATCATTGAGTGGCCAACGTGAGCGCCGTGAAAAATTATTGGGCTACTCCCGAGCATGGTCACCTCGTCAATTCTACGAGAGCGTTCATGTTCCATCGGACACCAAAAGCGCATCCGCAGAGATCCACTGTCCCGGACTTGCTTGTCAACTGTTCCCCTTCCAGCGAAGAGCTGTTCGATGGCTTTTGCGGAGAGAAGGCGTGGAGCTTCAGAAAGACGGAAAGGTTACCTTGACAGAGAGATCCCCAAGCGATGGTCTCCCAGCGTCATACAAAAAAATGAAGGACGCTGATGGAAAGACCTGCTACTTCAGTCACCTGTTTATGACGATTACCACCAATATCCATCATTGGTCTGATGCTACAGATCATTTGAGGGGTGGTATCCTCGCAGAAGAGATGGGACTGGGAAAAACTGTGGAAATGATTGCATTAATAAACTTGAATCGACGAGTCGCCAATGAAAATGTGAAATTTGACCCTGATGGTCTCAGGCCTTCCGGCGCTACCTTGATCATCACACCCCCTGCGATCCTAGAACAATGGAAACAAGAAATTGAGCAACATGCTCCTGGTCTGCGCGTGCATCATTATACGGGCATCAAACGAGGGCAAGAAAAGTCCGATGATCTGGTAATTGAAGAGATTGCGGACTTTGATGTCGTCCTTACTACTTACAATGTCATCTCCCGGGAGATTCACTACGCTGGTGCGGCTCCGAAGCGAAGCCTTCGCCATGAAAAGAGATTCGAGCCGCGTAAAACACCGCTGGTTCGCATTTCGTGGTGGCGTGTTTGTCTGGACGAAGCTCAGATGATTGAGAGTGGTGTCAGCAATGCCGCCAAAGTCGCCCGCTTGATTCCGCGAGAGAATGCTTGGGCTGTGACAGGCACGCCTCTTCGCAAAAACATCGATGATCTGTTTGGTCTTTTGCTTTTCCTTCACTACAGACCATTTTCTGACTCGAGTACTTTATGGAAAAGGTTGTTCTCCCGCTTTGGACCTGTGCTCGTGAAAATCATCAATGCAACTGCACTCCGACACAGCAAGGATCGCGTGCGAGATGAGCTTCGCCTACCACCACAGAAGCGCATCGTGATCACCACTCCATTTACTGCGATTGAAGAGCAGCACTATGGACAGCTCTTTGAGGAGATGTGTGAGCAATGTGGTCTTGAGGCATCGGGGGCACCTCTCCGGGATGACTGGAATCCAGAAGATCCAGGGACCGTGGAGAAAATGCGCACATGGTTAACAAGACTCCGCCAGACATGTCTCCATCCAGAGGTCAGTGGGAGCAATCGTCGGGCCTTGGGCGCAGCAAATGGCCCTTTGCGTACTGTCGGTGAAGTTCTTGAGGTGATGGTTGAGAACACTGATACCTCTATTCGCACCGAGGAGCGAACGCTCCTCCTGTCTCAACTTCGCCGAGGCCAGCTCCTAGAGAATGCGAAGCGCCGAAAGGAATCTCTGGCAATTTGGCAGGCTACTTTGCAATATTCCACGGAGTTGGTGGAGGACAGTCGAAAACAATTGCGATTGCAACGCCTCAAAAGCAAAGACGACAATGTCAGTAATCGCGCAGGTTCTACCGATGTTGTTGATCTGAGCGATGAGGATAACGAGGAGGTGGATAAGAACAGCCGCATTGGTCAATGTCGCCTCAGGCTCCGTGCTGCTCTCGAAGTCCAGCATATTGCCGTCTTTTTCACTGCAAACGCGTACTACCAGATCAAATCCGATCCCAATCTCACCCAACCGGACTCTGAAGAGTTCAAAGCACTTGAGAAGAAGGAAGAAGAGGGCTATGAGGCTGCAAAGCTGATTCGTAAGGAGATGTTGACGGACATTTCCCGAAAGGTTGAGCGTTACATGAAGATCATCAAGGAGAAAAAACAACAAAACCAATTCGTGCAGATCCCAAAATTGGAACCCCACCTTTACAACAGGGGACTTGTCTCATATCGTCTGATTAACAAGCTCGAAGATCTTTGTGATGCCTTGAACAAGCACGCTGCGCAGTACAACGAATGGCGAAAAGTCATGGTACAACTTGTCTCTCAATCCCTCATTGACCAAGAAGAGGATGCTGAGCTGGAGGGCAATGAATATGAGCGGTCGACAAAGCATCAAGATGAGATGTATGTCTACATGGAGGCTCTTCGGTCAATGTATGCCGATCGCCACGACGCTCTTACCGGTCAGAAGAATATCTTGATTTCCCACGAAGTCAAACTGGGCATTATCCAGGCACAAAAAGGTGAAGGTCCTTCCCCAGAGCTATTCCTGCGCATCATGAACACCCGTAGTGATCTCATGCCTGACCCTGAGCTGGGATCTCTTCGGGGGATTGTCAGCGAACTCCGCAGTCTAGTGACTTCTCTTGAATGGCAAGCGGGGGAGGGAAGCTCGCGTGCCATTGCTGAGCTCGAGATAGTGGGGATGGTTTTGAAAAATGCTGGGCAGATGATTTCTGAACAGCTCAAAGTGTCCTCCAGCCTGGAAAGAGAGGTAGAAATGTTCCGTGACACCATGAACAACCGCTTGGAGTACTACCGCCATCTACAGCAAATTTCAGATACAGTTGCACCGTACGACGAGGAGAACGCGGGAAAGCCTATGAACGAAGATATCTTTACCTCCAAATTGGAGCAAGAAGAGGCCCTTGAGAAGAAGATCGCGTCTTTGAAGTCCAAGAGGCGCTATCTCATCCATCTGCGAGATGAATCAGGCTCAGAAGATACGTCTAGGATCTGCATCATTTGTCAGTCAAGCTTTGAAGTCGGTAAGTATTAAATCGGTGCATGGATACAGTGTATTACGACTGACAAGCCCCCCCCTTAGGCGTCTTGACCGTATGTGGCCACAAGTACTGCACGGATTGCCTGCGCCTGTGGTGGCGTGCTCATCGAACGTGTCCCATGTGCAAGAAACCTCTAAAACTCAACGACTTCCATCAGATCACATACAAGCCACAGGATCTTGTAGCTCAGGAGGAAGAGCCTCCCACAGATTTTGAACATGAGCGACATTCCCAAAATGCCATCTACAGCGATATCAGCTCTGGGCTTCTGAAGGAGATCAAAACGATTGACCTCAATGGCTCATTTGGCACCAAAATAGATACCCTTGCCAGACATGTCCTGTGGCTGCGAGAGCATGATCCCGGAACCAAGTCGATTGTCTTCTCGCAGTACAAGAACTTTTTGACAGTCCTACAAAGAGCCTTTCAGCGCTTCGGAATTATCAGTAGCAGCGTTGATGCTCCGGGTGGCATTGAGAAGTTCAAGAAGGACCCTGCGGTAAGTATGCAAGCTCGGATATGACTGCGTGTAACACGTGTTTGCTGACAATGTTGATGCAGGTTGAATGCTTCTTGTTGCACGGAAAGGCCCAGTCATCCGGATTGACTTTGATCAATGCTACCCATGTATTCCTATGTGAGCCTTTGATTAACACGGCAATCGAACTTCAAGCAATTGCTCGAGTGCATCGAATTGGCCAGCATCGCCCCACAACTGTTTGGATGTACCTCGTCTCCGGCACCGTGGAAGAGTCAATCTATGAGCTATCAGTCGCCCGTCGGCTTGCTCACATCATAGAGAAGGAGAAACAGGAGAAAAAAGCCCGTCTGAAGATCCCAGTTGATGGTGATGAAACACTGATTGGAGATCTCACGGAAACAGCCATCGATTCCGCCAACTCAATGGAACTACAGGACGCAAGTCTAAATAATCTGATGACTAGTGGCTCTTCTGGTGGAGAAATGGTCAAGAAGGATGATCTTTGGCAGTGCCTGTTTGGAAATTCCACCCAAAAAGACCGGCATGGCCACTCCACCGAGGCAGAAAGAGAGGTTGGCCGATTCTTGCGAGGCGAAGCTGCTGAGCAAAGACGAGAGGAAACTACGTCTTGAGATATGCAAATTGTATGATCTAGCTTCTAAATTAATGAAAGCAAGATGCCGTCTCATCTATCTTTACAATGAATATCTTCATTCGAAATATAATCATCATTTAGACATAGTTTCATAGATCCCTGAACCGGTGGAGCCAGAGATTCGGTGAGTCAGCCACTGACTAATCTCCCCCACGGGCATCGGGAAGCTTCCAAGCTTGAACGGTCAAGCTGACAGTGACGTGCGTGTTGTTGCCTCATCTCGTGTCTTTAAATAAGTTCCAAATTGGGGTCAATGCCAGTTCTGGACTATATTCTTTTCATACAACACTTTCATTATGGCGGACTCACCGAGCCCCGAGGCTCGCGAGTTGAGTCTGATAGGCAAGGTCGAATTCAGGATCGCCATGGCAGATACTGATGAAAAGCTTCAGTCGCTTCTTCAAACTTATCTGTCCCCTTTGTTGCTGAAGCTTTCTTCGGACAGTGTGGCTGTTCGCAACAAAGTTATCTCGGTCTGCCAGCACGTTAGCACCCGTGTTAAGACCCCCTCGATTCAGTTGCCAGTCGCCGCATTGTTAAAGCAGTTCAAAGAGCAAAAATCCCAGCTTGTTCGACATTTTGATTTGATCTACGCCCAGCAGGGAATTGACCGCCTTGGCTCAGATGCCAGGGTCGAGATTCTGTTGCCTTTGCTACAGGGTATCGCCGAGATTGGAACTTCTGCCACTCAGGGAGCTATTGTTTTCAACCTCGTACTGCGATTACTGCCCCTTTTCAAGTTGCCATCGAAGGGAAGTGACGAGGACCAAAAGCTCAAGCAACGCCTGGGCTTGTCCGACGAAGACGCCCGGTTCTTGTCCCTGTGGCTGGGAAAGCTATTACTCCTCTCCCCAGCTGCTGGTGAAGCTCTAACATGCCCGGGATTAATTCCGGAAGAATACGATTTTTTGAACAAAGGCGCCCCAGTCACTGAAACATGGAATCCTTCTTCTCCAGGGGGCCTGAACCTGACAGAGACCAAAGTCGTGGCTCTTCGCTTCCTCGGAAGCGGGGCGTTCTCGGATTCTCAGCGATTCTTACCCTCGCTTATTGCCTCTGCCGATGCCAACTCTCGTCTTGCCGATCTAGGTGATGAGACTTTGAAGCGATTTGCGGTCGATCTCGAAGATCCAATTGTCGTGGAACAGTTGTATGGATTATATTTCGGTGCAGCCGCTGAGGGCGCACCTCCGGTGCGCTCTCCATTGCAAGTGAAGATCCTGGTTTTCTTGGGAAAGTCTATCAAAGCTACGGAAAACACCCAGAGAATCTTCAAGCTTATCGAGGATGGTCTTCTTTCGGATGCTGCAAGGTCAGCTCAGGGCCTGCAGGCATCTAAGCTACGAACACAAATATTCACTTTCACCACCTGGGTTGTCCGCATGGGCTCCCCGTCCGATCTCAAGCAAATCGCCCCTAAGCTGATTGCAGGATTGAGAGACTTTATTCAGTCTCAAGGATGGCCCAGTCCGGGTGCCAGCGGGCAACGGCTGCCTGCAACGGACCTGAGCTTGCGTGGTCTCGCCTATGAAAGTATCGGCATCATGATACCCAAGGTCGACTTCCAGGTGCGTGATGAAACTGGAGAGAACTTCGAGTTTGATCTGGTTCGGTGGCTCTTTACCTCTTTGAGCTCCGATGATTCAAGTACAGAGATCTTCGTCAGTATCGACCAGGCACTAGGAAGCATCCTCAACTCTTCCCTGGACAGTCATAGCAAAGATTTCCAAGACCAGCTGCGTCCATTCCTGGTCAGTCAGATGGGCTTGCACCCAGGCGATGTTAATCCAGATACTGGCTTCAACGTTGTTCGCGGTGTACAGTACGCTGCTGTGCGGTTTGCCAACAGATTCTTGCCCTATAGCGATGTAGTGGCTCGTTGGATCGATCTGATGGCCATTGCAAGAGGCCCGGAGAGACAGCAGGAGATCGTCGAGGAAGGCAAGAAAGGTCTTCACCCCTATTGGTTCCGACTTCTCAATCCCACCAAAGATCAGAAATGGTCTGCTCCGGCGGACCAGGAGCGTGATGAAACCTGGTTCAGCTTTCCAAGCTTTGCTGAGGCAACCAACTTCCTGCTTGGCTCAATGGGTCAAGATGATGTCTCAATGGATGGGACTTTAGCTAGACCCCAGCTTCTGTCAGGTCCGTATAAGAATGCGTTTGTACCGGCTATTGCGTTTCTTCGCAACGCCCTCCTTTGGGAAGCATTTTCGGCAGCGGAAATTTCTACAGAGATGGAGCAAGACTGGGACTACAAACTCGAAGTACTGCTTTCAACCAGTGAAGAAGCGCGGACAGCTGTGAGACAGTATATCCGTAGCTCCGCTAAGGAACCCGTCTTCACTTTCTTGTCTGGTATCTTGGAGGGGCTTGTCAAAGAAAATCTTACCGGCTTACACCAATGCGGTGTTCATTTTATGGAGATCTGTTCATTGGCTCCTAATGACGTGATCGAGAAATTGCTTCCACGAGCTCAATCTTTGACTCAGCCGATCTTCAGTAACAACCAGGAGATACAGGGATTAGCTGCGCGGGCGTTCGGAATCCTTGTCTCTCACCCGACATTTGACGATGACCAATTGAGAAGCTTTGCGACCCAATTGGCTGGTACCATCGAGTCATGGAACACCGCTATCGGCGAGGCGGCTCTTCGGGTCCGAGGAGCGATCTTAGCGCTTTCGTACCTGCTGAGCAGGCTTGCATATCGAGGTCTGCTGAGCAAGGTTCCGGAAGCTCAGGTCAAACACTTTATTGAGACTGTTTTAGACATCACAGATGCATCTCGAGACAACCTCCTCGTGCGAACTGCAGAGGTGGCCCTTGGGCAGCTCAGTCTATCTGGCATTCTGTCTCTTGATACTCTCCCCGAGGATGGCTGGAAAAAGATTCAGAACAAGCTGTTGAGCGACGCCAAGTCTGAAAATGATGTCCCTATCGCATCTTTCGGTCTTTTGACTTTGACGTTTTCGCGGGCTGAGCCAAGGGCTTCTTTGTTCACCGAATACCTAGACTCCCTCTATGCTTTGCATGAAATTAAGAGCCCCGAAGTTCAGTTCACCGTAGGCGAAGCGATCAGCAATGTTGCTGTCGGATGGGACTCCCGAGCTCTGATCCAGGACTTTGACGTTGACGCCGAGTTTCCGCGGTCGGATGTGCCACGCATGGTGTTCGCAAAAATATGTGACAAGATCATCGCTGACTGCGTTGCGCCCAAGCCGTCTCTTCGAAAAGCCTCCGCAATCTGGCTTCTGTCCCTTGTCAAGAACTGTGGACACCTGCAAGAAATGCAGGAACGCCTGCGCAAGTGTCAAGCCACATTCTCTACCCTTCTCAGCAATCGGGATGAGGTGGTGCAGGAAACTGGTGCCCATGGTCTCAGTCTTGTCTACGAGATTGGTGATCAGGCTCTCAAGGATAGTTTGGTGCGTGACCTCGTGGACTCATTTACAGCCACAGGGGCCAATCTCGGGGGTGGCAATGTTAATAAAGATACCCAATTGTTTGAGCCCGGCGCCCTGCCTACGGGTGGAGGAGAGTCAGTCAACACATACAAAGATATTATGAACCTGGCTGCCGAGGCGGGAGACCCCACCCTTGTCTATCGATTCATGTCTTTGGCCTCCAACAATGCCCTCTGGAGCAACCGGGCCGCCTTTGGCCGATTTGGCATTAGTACTATTTTCTCCGATTCCAGTGTGGATGGCTATCTGGCACAGAACCCCAAGATCTACCCCAAGCTCTTCCGCTACCGCTTCGATCCCAACCCGAATGTGCAGCGTTCTATGAATACCATCTGGCAGGCTCTTGTGAGGGATCCTAATGTGGTGGTGGACGCGCACTTTGACCAGATTATGGAAGATTTACTCAAAAACATGCTTGCCGGGCGCGAATGGCGTATGCGACAAGCAAGCTGTGCTGCTGTGGCGGATCTAGTTCAGGGCCGCCGGCCGGAGAAGTACTCGCAATATTTGGATGAAATCTACAGCAAGGCTTTCAAGCTCCTGGATGATATTAAAGAGTCCGTGCGGACGGCAGCCCTCAAGCTCTGCCAGACGATTACAAACTCCGTGATTCGAACGCTGGAGACCAGTGGGACTGAGAAGCGCGCCACCGCTCTGCTTGGGAGCGCCGTCCCCTTCCTCCTGGGTGAGCAGGGACTGGATTCGAGTGTGGAGGAGGTACGCGGATACGCCATTGGTGCGCTCGTCCAGATCATCAAGAAGAGCCCCGGTGTGAAGCTGCGCCCCTTCGTTCCCACTATGCTCGAGAAGTTCCTTAGCTCGCTCAGCTCCCTTGAGCCTCAGGCTGTCAACTATGTCCACCTCAATGCGGACAAGTATGGTCTCACCGGCCAGGAGATCGACAAGATGCGTCTATCGAGTATCCGCACGTCCCCCATGATGGAGGTGATCGAGCGATATCTGATCGATCATCTCGATGAAACCAATCTCGAGGAGCTGGCGCGCAAGTTGGAGGAGGTGCTTCGGTCGGCCGTGGGCCTCCCTTCCAAGGTAGGCTGCAGCCGAGTGCTGGTGCTCCTCAGCATGAAAACTCTCCTGTTCCGGCCGTATGCGGACCGATTCATTCAGCTGCTCAGCAAATACGTGGTAGACCGCAATGAGACCGTAAGTGCATCGTATTGCACTTCGATGGGGTATCTCATGCGACTAGCGTCGGACGATCGGGTTTTGAAAACGATCGATTATGCCAAGAGCCTCTATCTAAACTCCGAAGATGGCTCCACTAGGTCAATCTCCGGTGAAATCCTGTACGCATCAAGCAAGCTTTCCAACGACCGGTTTATGGCATTTGCCACCGCGGCCCTCCCCTTTGTGTTTGTCGGTAAGCATGACGGAGACGACCACGTGAAGGAAGAGTTTGAAAAAACGTGGCAGGACAATGTGGGTGGCAACCGGAGTGTGACGCTTTACATCCGGGAGATCGTGGGGCTCGTGTCCGACAATCTGGACTCGGCTCGGTGGGCCATCAAGCATACGGCCGCCCGCGCGATAGCTCAGGCGGTGGTGTCACTTGAAACCGATATCGACCTCCCCACGGCCCAATTGGTCTGGCCGGTCTTGGAAAAGGCACTATCTGGCAAGACGTGGGAGGGGAAGGAAGTGGTGCTGACGGCACTGGTCAAGTTCGCGCGCTCCGCTCAAGCATTGTGGACAGCGCGACCAGACTTGTATGAGTTGATGAAGGTGGGTTCCCGGACCTGACACGAGGCTAGGAAACACTAAGAGACTAACGGGACTAACCCCGCGTTCAGACCATAGCCGTGCGCGAAGCGAAGCGGACTAATGCATTGTATCGACCACATGGACTCCGGGCCCTGGGGCAAATTGCCCTGGCATGTCAGGTGAACTTCATGCCTGACGCGCTACGAATCGTCCCACCCTTGTTCGACGAGATCATCGCGGATGAAAAAGAGGGGAACGGGATGGAAATCGATTCTGGGAATGGGCGCGACTCGAGCGACACCCTTGCCGCCGGTGTGCAGTGTCTCCTGCAATGTCTGAACCCCGCTACGGCCGATTTGGATGGTGAGTTGGGAAGAAAAAACACCCACTTTTCCCTTTTTGGTCTTTTTTCTTTTTTTTTCCCACACAGACACCCCTTCCCTAATTCCCGTTTCCCGTTTGATTCCCGTTTAATGTTTTTTTTTTTTTTTTTTTTTTTTTTTTTGGTTTGGTTTTGGTTTTTGTTTTTACGATATCCCCCTTCCCTAGCGTCTAGCGTCCGCAGCCGGCTAACCCCGAACCACAGTGTTGGGTAGATATATACGACAGGTGATCGATCCGTTAGACCAAGCCCTGACCCACGGTGGCAGACAGGTCGTTCACACGGTTTACGATGAGATCCAAGCGTTCATCGCTAGGGTGAATGAGTGGGATCAATGGTCAGATCCCGGTGAACAGGTCCTGGCGGCGCCGATGGCGGACCTGGCGCAGCTGCTTACTCGAGAACGCAACAATGTCGAGACGGTTCGCAAGGGACGCGCCGAGGCGATCCTGGCGTTCCTGAAGCTGCGAGCCAGTGTCCGAACGGTGCCCGACAACATGGGGGAAAGTATACGTGTGTGGAGAGCTGGAGAGCGCAGTGTGGTGGTACAACGCATCCTCGACCAGGCACTGGAGCTAGTCACATAAGGCATCGCATTGGCATCGTACAGGGCATCCAGGTTCTCCTGGGCATCCACGGGCACCACGTGGTGGATCGACCACTTGTTGATCCCGGTGGATCATAGGGAGGATAGGCTTTGGAGTCGCACAATCCCTGGGAATAGTACCTCAAAACGAACGTCTAACCATATCTGGAACAAGTGTAGAGAGCCAAAAAAAAATCAAAAAAAATCAAAAAAGAGCGAGTTTCTGCAAGACAAACTAGTCCCAACGCCACTCGCTTAACCCTCGGTCAAGTCCGTGTGGGAGAGAGAATTGGAATTCTGCGAGGTTGTCTCCCCCTTAGTGTGAAATTTAGTGGGAAATATTCCCATCATCCCCCGATGAGGGCCAGACCGGTCTGGCCGGGCCGATCCAGACCCTGAGCAAACCTTTCTTGTTTCTTCCCCAGACGCATTCTCGGCTCCGATCATGCAAGTTCCACGGCCGTCATACTCTTGGGACTCGTCCAAACTAAATCGCACTAGTGTTTACTTTCCATCTCCCCGGTTCCTTGTCCTTCTCAGAGACCTCAGCCAGCCTTAGCTGCATCGGAGGCCGCTCCCCTGATTAGGCAAGAGAGTAAGAATAGCACACCACATGGTTGGCACCTGCATGCCATCTGCATTTTTCCCACTTTTTTGTCCACTTTTTCCACTTTTTTTTCCCTTGTCTTCCCTTTTCTTCCAGTCCTTATTTTCCTTAGTTTCCTGTATCCTTAATTTTTTTTAATTTTCTATTATTATTATCATCATTATTTTTCCCTGTCTAACCCGTTCCGTTCGTCTCCGACGAACCGGATCTTGACTCTTGTTCGCTTTTCCCTTACCGAGTGGTCGTAGTGGTTCTCTTCCAAATCCATCTCTATGACCTGTTCATCCCTTCCCCGGCACTTGAAGCTCTACATCCGAGATTCCTTCAGATTCCCGCCACCTCCAAGCCCCAGGAACAAGGCTGCGCCATCCATGCGTGAACCATGCGGTTCCCGTTCTCCGGTTCCTTTGTAGCTGCATTTCTCTCCCTACATAACTGTCCTTCCTTCCCCATCCTTTCCATCTTTCCATCCTTTTTTTTCGGGTGTCCCACTTTTGACTCAACCTTGCCAACTTTGAACTCTATATAATCTCTCAATTCCCTCGTTCAAATCCCCCACCCTTTCAATTGGTGATCTATTTTCCCCACGGGATCGTGCATCCCCCCCCCAATCTTTGCCACCACACCTCTCGTATGTTGCATTCCCACCCGATCGTACGTCTGTACAACTAATCCCCAGTCCAGCGTTGGCAATCAGCCTTATGACGACCACCAGCCTGGTGATGCAAAACCGCCGAGGCCATGCCTCCGCCAAGCGCCCGCTTCGGCTCCCCATGATCGCTCCCAAGGAGGAGCCCGTTGAGGGTAAAATAGAGAAAGGCTTGATTGTACCTCCGCGCATTCGCTTGCCGCCCAGATCGCGCACCGGTTGCTGGTATGTCTTTCTCCCGTGCATAGCTAACTCGGCAATTGCTAACGCATTCTCTATAGGACGTGTCGGGTAAGTCCCTTGTTTTCCTCCAAAACTCCCCCAAAAAAAAAAAAAGAGGAACGGTTGATTGACTGAGGCTTTTTTGTGTACATTGCAGAGTCGCAAAGGTGAGTTTTCAAATTCCTGCCCTGGGGGGATTCCGTGGCTGACCGACATTCCTCTCCAGTCAAATGTGATGAAGGACACCCGCAATGCAATGTAGGCATTCCTCGGCTATTATGTCTGCTCAATGCACAATTGACTCACCTTCTTTTAGCAATGTACTCGACTTGGGCATATCTGCGACTACCGACCGCGCCTAGCCTTCCGCGATGATACTCCACGGATCATGGGCCGCATGGCAGATGTGAAGACTCAGGGAAACATTGTTTGGGATTGTAAGTTCTGTTCACGTGTGGTCCTGTCTTTTCGACCCTAACTCGTGCGTAGTGTCTTCGCCAACTCCCAGCGAGGAGAAGTCGGATTACTTTTCCTCCCGGGACGCGCTTCCTGCGTTTTCTCTTCTCACATCCGACGAGGAGCGAGAAAGGAAAGCGGAGGCTTCGAGCCCCGGCACGTACCATGTAGTCGTGATTCCGGATAGTTTCTCTGCTCTGCCAGAGTATGTGGACGACATGTCCGAGCGGTCCAGGTCCGAGGCAAGCAGCTCGGTCGTCAACAGTCCCATCAGCAGATTCAAGGCCGAGAGTGAGGTTGGCACTGATCCCAATGTTGTGATCTTGAAGACCTTTGAGGATGTGACTCGGCGGTCATCTTCCAATGGCCGAACTCCCCGAGTATCACCCACATCTGAGATTGCGGATCCTTTTGGATCCCTCTCTTTGGACCCTATCCTGGCGACACTCCCCTCTCCCATCAAATTCGAAGATGACATGTCCTTCCTGGACCCGTACATTGAGCAGCACAGCCAGGACACTGCGCTATTTGCTCATTTCCGTCACGTTGTCTGGAAGCAGCTGTTCCCTCACGATCGAGGTCAGGACGATTCGTTCGGACTCGAGAGCAGTGGCATGACTTTAAGCGCTGATTTCCTCGAGCGTGAGGCCGCTCATTTCCCTCCCGTATGTTTCACTCTCGTTTGGAGATATTCTAGTACTGACGGTTCTTCCAGCTCTCCGATGCCATCATGGCTGTTTCAGCGCTCAGCCTCTCACACAGCGGTAACGGGCAGAATGTCGATGCTCTGCAGTACTACCAGCAGGCTTTCCCTTCCCTTCAGACCAGCCTCCGCAACAGCGATGATCTCGTTTCAGATGGTCTTTTCCTTACTCACTTTTTACTTCTCATCTATGAGGTTGCAGCTGCCGAACCCCACGGATCCAACCTCTGGTCTCACCACATCTCTCGTCTTCTTCACATCGCTTTTCTCCGCCGGTCCAAGTTTGGCCGTGAACCTCATCCCTTCATTCTCTGGTGGATCTGCCACATTGATCTCTACGCTTTACTCAGCGGAGCAGGCACAGGCGAATTTGTACGGGCCGTTATTGATCATCAGATGCTTCCTACATCGGAGTGTCTCTTATACCCCTCCGTGCCTGAAGGCTACAGTATGATCTACCCCGAGGAGCACGACAGCTTGCCGGTGATGATGCGTCTCTACGCCGACAGCTTTACCCTGGCTGCCCAGCTTGGTTTCCTCGCGGCCCAGCTTCGTCAGGATAAACTGTCTCAGCCCTTTGCCGAGTTTAACAAGCGGTCAAAGGAAATTGCCAGCTTGCGACAGGCATTTGCAAGGCTTTGGGAGACTCCTGAAATTACCTACTGGTCTCAGCATCAAGATACTCTTCCTCGCCGATCCAAGGAGATTTTGCAGCAGGTCAGTCATCTCATTCTACTGATTTGAAATTCTAAAACTGACTTGCTCTTATAGTCGGCTACCCTATTTCACGCTTCTCAGCTGTTCTCATTCAGCAGCATGTGGCCTCGTCAACGTCACGAGTCAGAATACACGCCTGACGGTGAGATTGACTACCACGCCGGAGAGATTCTGCGCATTGCCGAACAAACAACGAGCACCCGACGGGCTGACCGACATTTCCTTGTCTTCCCCTTGTTCCTGGCGGGTGCGACGGCCTCAGCTAGCGGCCTCAAGATGATGGCCATGGAGCTGATGACGAGTATGGAGGATGAAGAGGATGGCATGGGCCGCAACGCAGCGACCACACGAGCCATTCTACAGACGGTCTACGAGCGACAGCTTGAGCGCCTGATGAGAGTCGGCCACACTATGGATGTGGATTGGGCTGATCTGATGGCCAAAGAAGGGCTGCAAATGGTAAATTTCGGGTTTTAAAGCAATCTATGGGAGTATGGGATTTTGGCGTTTTTACGGGCATCTGGAGGATCACTATATCTTTGTCTTTTTTTTTTTTTGTATTCCCACAGCATGACTGATGACGGATGTGTATATGTATAGAAACGAATTGAATGTGCCATGCAAGAGTGAACTGTGACCAATCGTAGCTATACATAGCCTAGGCTCCCAAGATCCAAGATAGGAAGCTGAGGTCTATACAAGCGCCGTGACAGGTTCTCGTCACCTGCGGGGTCGGCGACTCGCCCAACGTGGGCGCTTCGAGATAATCACGCGTTTCCTCTTCATCTTCCCCTTTCCTTCTTTTTCTTTTTTTCCTCCAAAAGGTCCGAGATCCTCCTTCAGGGATCCCAGTTTATTTTTATCTCTCGTCCCCCCTATTTCCCGATTCCCCCGCCATCCCCGTTTGGGGTCCAGCTGCCCCTCATCATAACTGATCTGCGCGCCTAACGCTGTAATTGGTACCTGACGCATCTTCAGGTGGCTTCTGCACTTCATCTTTTTCACCGATCGCCTGCATAATGAACCCCGGCGAGAGCCGTGCCCTCCACCCAGAGGGTGAGCTGTTCCTCAACTCTGGCAGAGAGGAAGCGCCCGTGGTTGAACCACTGCGCATCAACAAGAGAGACTCGGCATCTCCGTCCAGCCCACCACCTGCACCTTTGCCCTACCCCGATGACCGACCTCGTCCCCAGATGCGTACCTCCAGTTCCAACGGTGGGCGTCCCACGGATAGCAATCGATATGGTTCGCCGCCGGCTGGTTCCGGTACCGTGAGCCCCGCTGATTATCCCCCGGCTTTGCGACCACGCGATGGGCAGCCTCGAATCGCTACATTGGCGGAAAGGCGAGGTACTGCTCCGAAGCCATTGCCAGAATCGCCTGGCCCTGATGCGCCAGACCGGGAAACTTTGGCGGCCAGGCCGTACCCTCGTCCGCCAGGCGCCTCTGCTCCTATAGAGCCAAATCAACAATATGATTATCGTCAACAATACTACCCGCCTCCACAGAGTTCGGTGTCCCGGCCCCCTTCAACTCTGCAACCCGTGCAGAATAACTCAATAAATCGCATCAGCTCCACTGCGTCCAATGCTACAACTCGGGCTCAGCGTGGATCTCCTCCCCCGCCAGAAACACCCATCATAGGCCCTGGTCAACAGCCCGGCTCGGATATCGAGGCTCGTTATGCTGCGGCTGGTATCGCAGGTACAGGAACGCTTGCCCGCATGCAGTCGCAGAGCTCCGCCGCACAAATTCGGGCTGGGCATTATACAGGACAGCAAGCAACTTACCAACAGCCGCAGGAAGAGTCGCAGCGGCCATGGACTCCCACTGAGCAACCAGGGACTCAGCCTCATGGGCCGCCCACTGTCTACCAGGGCGCAGAAGTTGTGAGTGGGGGCAGCCAGCTGCTCAGCATCTGGCACAGTATAGTAGCCCTCCGCCACAAGCCCAGCAGGCTCCAGCAGTCCTGGAGCAGCAGCAGCAGCAGCAGCAGCCGCCGCCTTCAATGGTCTCTGCCAACGCGTTAGAGCAGGACATGGATCGGGTGCGCCTCAGTTCTTCTCCGCCTCCTGCTTACTCGAGTGTCTCTGGGCCAGGCGCAACAAATGGGTACCCAAATGAAAAGCAGAGTGGCGCCGCTGCGGGAGCTGCAGCTGTTGGACAACACCCAGCAACAGTAAACCAGCCGCACCCTGCGATGGCCGCCGCGGCTGTTGCTTCTGCTGGTACTTCTGCTTCTCCGACACCATCGGCCTCGACTCTTGATCATCCGGCCTTTGCAAATGACCCGCGGCAGCAACAGACCATGAGTCAATCGCCGCAGAATTCCGTGGCTAATGGCCAGCCTGCCTATCCACAGGCAGCGCAAGTAATTTCCCCGGGGCCCTCTGGGCCGCCTCCATCATCTCCTCCGCCTCTTCCAGAGGGTTGGATTGCCCATATGGACCCAAGCTCGGGGCAGTATTACTATATTCACCTACCAACCCAGTCAACACAGTGGGAATTCCCCAAAGGCCCTACGCCACTGAACCTTAATGACACCCCCATGTCGCCGGTAGGAAGTGTTTACAGCAGCCATCCTCTGGCATCACCGGGCCTGTCGGCATTTGGCAAACCGATGGCATCTCCAGGTGTGCCGCTCACCCCGGGATTTGAGAGCCTTCAGTCTCCTATGACCGCAGGGTTCTCGGGACCACCTCCGAGTAGCGGCATGGATCTATACAAGACAGCCCCCACAAACGGTGTCTACTTTGGTCCCTATCTGCGATATACCAACATGGACCTTGAGCGAGGGCTCTGGTTGGGCTCCATTCTTTTGGTGACCGATTCCGCTCAGCCACCTACTATTCACATCCACCAAAGTGTAGACCTATCTCCCAACCCAAGACAATTGAAGGGTGTCAATATTGCAGCTCATCAACGATGGACCTTCTACAAGTATGAAGTTGATCTGCAAATGGATGATACCGGCCCTGCCAAGTGGACATATGCCATTACTTCGCATCTTGGATGTACCCGCTACGAGTTCCTGGTCGCTGGCCGGCACGAGACCAATTGGCGGTTCATCGCAGTCTCAGGAAATGATTTCTCGCTCAATGTCAATGCCAACGAGCGGTCTCGTCTGGGTGGCGTAGGCTTCATGTGGAAGGACATCATGCAAAAGCACAATGAGATCGGAGGGTTCCATACCCAGTTATGTCTGGGAGGACAGATCTACGCAGATCGCATGTGGAAGGAAATTTCCTCTCTGAAACAATGGCTTTGTATCAGTGGAAAGGAAGCCAGGAAGAACGCACCCTGGACAGCCGCAAACCAGCAGGATGTTTCCCATGCCTATTTCCACTACTATACTAGTCACTTTGACCAGCCGCACTTGAGAGAATCTTTTGCGCAAATTCCCTATATCTGTCAGATCGATGACCATGATATGTAAGTCTTTCGACTCTTCTGCATGCTTGAGTGATAGCTAATAATTCCCTAGTTTCGATGGCTTTGGCTCCTATCCCGAGCACATGCAATTCTCAAATATGTTCAAAAACATCGGACGCATCGGCATTGAGATGTATCTCCTCTTCCAGCACCATACCACTCTTGACATTCTCCGCAATGTCAACAATGATACAGACCTCTTCACAATTACCGGCACGGGCTGGCACTTTGTCAAATATCTCGGCCCCGGTGTCGTGGTCGTCGGTCCAGATTGTCGCTCCGAGCGCAACCCCCATCAAGTGATGGCCGGTCCCACATATCAGGGACTTTTCCCGAAGGTCGCGATGCTGCCACCGAGCGTACAGCATTGTCTGTGGATGGTCTCGGTGCCACTTATCTACCCTCGTCTGGAAACAGCAGAACAAATTGCCCAGACCGTTGCCACTGGCAAGCGAGCTGTGACGGGTGCCTACAATGTTCTGGGCAAGGTGACCAGTTCAGTTGCCGGCGTGGTGGGAGCTAAGGACTTTGTAGGTTCTGGCTTCGATTCCGTTAAGCGCGCAGTTGGCAAGTCTGGACTTATGGGTGGCATCTTGAGTCCATTTGGCGAATTCGACCTCATGGATGAGCTGCGGGATCAATGGACGCACGAATCCAAAGATCTTGAACGAACATACCTCATCCGAACTCTGCAGGGAATTGCCCACCAGAAGTCTCTCCGCATGACCTTCCTCTCCGGTGCCGTTAACGTCTGCGGTGCTGGACTTGTTCACGATCCCGCCCAGCCCTCAGACCACAAGACCATGTACCAACTCATCGCTTCTCCGGTTGTCAACACACCACCTCCATCCTATGTTATCAAGCTCCTTCACAGCCACAACAAGCCGTTGTATGTGCCTGCCAATGGCCACCGGTCTAACGGACAACCTACCGACACCAAGGAAGATATGATGGAAATCTTTCAGACCGACGTCACTGGTCAGGCCCGTGAGCACCGCAAGCTGATGGCTCGTCGTAACTACGTTGCTATCGTCGCATATGACCCGGAAGTTGCCACGGCTCCTACTTTTGGGCAACCGATTGTCGGGCAAGGCCAGAGTAAGCTTAGCCTGGCGGCTGATTTCATGGTCCAGGGTGAAGGCGCCTACGCGAGCGTGGTCAAATATGGGCCTGTGATTGTGCCGAGTCTGGAACACGGCCGTTGAGGATTGCCCTAGTCATAAAGTCTTTTTCATTGCATACTCTTCACCTTGGCGTTGTTTTCATATACACAAATTTGATCTTTGGCTGTTCCTGTTGTATAGCTTTTGGACTTCAATATTACCCCGGTCTGTTATTTGAGCGCGTTTAGACATTCAATGCTCGTATGTGTTAGTCGAGTTTCGTGCTTTGTCTCCGTCGCACTCTTGAAATTCAGATACATCGATACCAGCTTCGTTGAGCGTCGACTAGAAGTAGAATTACACATGAGTTATTGAGTTAGTTCTATGGTGGCCTCAATAAATTGCATTATGTACCTTGGTATTCCCCAAACGCCAGAATAGACTGAACAAAAGACTAAGAATAAGCTATCCAGTCGGATCTCCGCCAGGTACACACAATCCAATGCGCCAAAAATAGTCACGGTGGGCATAGAACAGCTCCCAAAGACGATATCTTGCCGGGATCAGGGACCAACTCCAGCGGCGAGCGTATAACGCTCTTGTCTCATCACGAGATACACAGTTTGCAGGCTTCTGCTTCGCTAGCACATCCTGCTCGCCAGGATGAATGACAAGTACATCCTCGGATTCAGGGCAGGGATCCGGGTGTGAGTTAAAGATGTTCAAGGGGATGTTAGCATCCTGAAGCATATTGCTGAGCGTAGAGGGTGTATCTGATCCTGCAATGCATTGAGGGTCCTCGTTACCAACGCAAAGATGAACATCTTCAATTGTAGGAGAAAGATCCGGATTGGAAATGTATACCTCCCCTGAATGGGGCGCATAACCCCATTCTCGGAGTGGAAGAAGAGGTACCGGGTCATCGATATGAGTGACCCTTCGGAATCGCCGGGCCTCAGGGTTTGCTGTGGGCTTGGTGTAGTTCCCTAGTTCGAATTGAGAATCAAGGAAACCCGCAAAATCGGCGTTGCCGACCATCGGCTCTCCGAAGGTGGTAACTTCCGGATTCCAACCTTTGAGGCGCATTTCTAGACCCGCTAGCGCTGCCACGGCACCTCCGAGAGAATGCCCCACCAGAGTCACTTCATAGTCGGGATGCTTATCTCTCGCTTCGAGCAAGTGGGGCAGGACAACGGAACGGGTGTTAATCCATGACTTTAAAAACCCGGCGTGAACGGTGCAATTTTCACATCGTGGCGTAGAAGGGCCTGGGTTGGCGGTCAGACGCTCTTCCCTTTGGTCTCCATCTCCGAAATAGGGCACATAGGATTGTGGAACTGCAGAGAGATCTATGATCGTGTTTGCGATTGAATATGTCCCACGGAACGCAGCGATAATGCGCTTGGGGCCCGGCGAGTGGGATACCGCGATATAGCCACAGGAGTCAGAGAGAAGAATCCCGGTGCTCCATGTCTGCCGGGGTGTGAGAACGTGCTCTCAGAGAGTTTTAGTTGACTCAAGGATACTTACTGTGACCAATTCCAGGTTAGGGAATTCGGCGCAGTGGCTCAGGCACTGAAACGGCTCCTGGATGCCAGTGGTGCTCACACAGTAGGAGATGTCTACTATCCGTGACAACTCCTCCAGTGAGTTGAACAGCTCGCTTGAGATGTGCCCAGTATCATTTCTCCCCATGGCCAATTCAAGCCAGGGTAGAAAATACAAAAGCAACATATGCAAGCGATACATCTTGGAAGGCGTATTAAGGAGAGTTCCCTGATTTCGGTTGCGGAATCCGGGGAACCTGGGGCGATTAGGTAATGATGTCACGCGCCATTGGAGGTCATGCGATAGAATCACGACTGGCCACATGGTGCTTCGATGTCTTTATTGTTTTTATTGTTATTTGTCTTTACAGGTAGATGAGTATGTGACCGCACCCGGTTGGGCCTCTGTTCTTCTCTTCTTCTAACAATTTTAATATCCCGAGCGTTCTTCAAATGGTCCACACCACAACACGGCCATCAACGCCACTCGCTGCATTCCAAGTTAGCATCCGATCAACTGATCAAGTACCAAGATTTACTCACTGCTGAAGGAGCTGACCTGCCCATTAGTCTCGTCAAAGGCGCGGACGGTGTTCACGGTGTTCTGATGGGTAGATTTGAGCTTGGTGTCCACCTGCGTCTGGCCTTTAAGATCCATCTGTCGGAACATGTTGAGCGCAGACTCCTCGCGGGCACCACCGGCACCAGAGTCCTTGTTCTCCAGCGATCCGACAAGTTGCCATCCATTTTCGTCACCACTGAAGCGGAAGGGCTCGCAGTCCTAGAAGCCGGGCGTTAGTACAACTGGGTGATCTACACAGTAGATTGGTGAAACATACATGACCAGCCGCAATGATCTCATTCTCACCATTCCAGATGAGACTGTTGAGCGGCAACAGACGGGTGGAGATGTTCAGCATCGCCCGAGGAGGCTGTTCCGGTGCACTAGGGTAAACGACCGTGACACTGCTGTCGTGTCCAGTGAAAGCAAGAGCGTTTCCACTGGGAGAGAAGGCAACACCCTGGATCCAGCCAGCCGAATCATTCAAGAATTCACCACAGATCGTGTTGAAGGGAAGGCGCTCTCCCCAGGCGCTGGGCTCCGGGCGGGTGTCGATGCCCTTGATGAAACTCGAAAAGACTCGGGCATGAGAGTCAGTGGAGCCAGCAGCCAGCAGAACGGAGTTGGGATGCCAAGCCAGGGTAGTGATGGTGCTTCGAATTGGCTTCTTGAGGTGCTTCGAGATCCACCAGTCGTTCTCCTCCTCAAAGTAACAGACGGAAATCAAGCGAGCTCCGGAACCGACGGCGAACTTCTGTTCGGAGGGTGACCACCGCACAAAAGTAGCAGCACGGTTGATTCGGAGGAGGACGAGCGTAGGCTTCCAGCCAGAGGGAGTCTGCTCCCAGACGTACGCATTGCGGTCTATATAGCGTTGTTTAGTTGGCAAATCAAATTGAGCACTCCCGAAGGCATAACTGACCCTGAGAGCAAGTAACGATGCGTCCACTATTGGGGGCTATATCGACACTGGTAACTGTCTTCTCGTGGCCCTTGAGTTCATCGCTCAGCGTGAACTTGTTGCCCGATGACTGGTACAGCTCCACATTGTTCTCCCGGGCGACAGCAAGGGTTTGTTTGTCTGAGGAGAACGAGTGGTCCGCAATTGGAGAGTGAAAGAGGTGGTGAACTTGAGGAGCGGCCATGGTGAAGGTATAAAATACGACAGGAGGAGCTCTCTACCGTCGATGAGGGGGGAAACATGCGGGAAGCGGAGGGAGCCTAACAACGCGATGACGGCGGTGCTTAGCTAATAGTCACCTGACACTACTGCTTTTCTCGCGATTTGGACATCTGCACGGCCTCACGCATTTGCCGAGCTCTCATCTTGCTTCCCTGCCAGCCCTCTTCATTTTTTTCATTTTTTTCTTTTCATGCGACCACGACAATAACCAGATACCCCATCTAATATCCCACAATATGGCCACCAAGGCAGCTGCACGCCCCGATGCCAAGGCGACGGTCCCCCCCAACCAGACGTGAGCTCACCCTTTGATCGCAATTGACCCAACAATTGGATGCTGACAGCTTTCCAGGCTGTACTGCACCAACCTTCCAGACAAGCTGCGCAAGCATGATCTTCGTTCGTCGCTCTACACCCTTTTCTCTACCTACGGCACCGTCCTCGACGTCGTGGCTATGAAGACGAACAAAATGCGAGGCCAGGCCCATGTGGTCTTCAAGGATGTTCAAGCCAGTACACAAGCCATGCGCTCTCTTCAAGGATTCGACTTTTTCGGCAAGGAAATGGTACGTATTGTCCCCATCTTTGAAATTTCCAGCGCTAATGATATATAGAAAATCGTGTATGCCAAGGGAGCTTCCGGCGTGATCGCCAAACTTCGCGGTACATATGTTGCACCTGCTACCGGCGCCGGGCCAAGTGGTGTGTCGACCGATCTTCAGAAGTCCATCTTCAGCGGCCCTCCTGGCAGTGTGCCCGCGCGACCTGCGACCGGAGCCAACGGAGAGCCGCAAGGAGTGAAGCGAGCTCGCGATGAAAGTGATGAGGAGGATGCACCGATGGAAGAGGACAGTGATGTGCCAATGGAGGCCTCCTCGGACGAGGATTAATTGGATTCCAAGGCCAAATTCATGTTTGGCTCCGTGGCTGGGAAGTGACTCTGAAGCTCTCAATGACTCCTTTGCTCGGCATTTCACTGCATTTTTCGGGTGCCTCAGGATGGGCTGGGACTGTCCGAGGCGACGAGCTCACGTGGGACGTGCAGGTTCACGCAATGCCCGACGAGGCCGAGCCAGATGATGAGATATGTACCGGGGTTGACGCTCCGTGCGTCTGCAATCTGCGCCATGGCATCCGCCGTGTTGCACGGGTGGACAAAGAAGGCCGGAGCGCCAGACTGTGGATGGTACTACGAAAGATGAGCTCTTGCAACGCGATCTTCAGGTTCGAGGGCACACCTACACCAAAGCTGATCCCCCCCATGACCCCCACAGTTTTCAATTCCTTTCTGTACTGCTCCGGGACGACATACTGATAGACGGCATCCAGCCCCAGCGGGCCCTGATAGTGATGCCACCTGAGTGTAAAATACAAGACGGGGACCTGATATGTGGGGGAAAGCACTATATCATAGTCGATCTGTAATCTAGGGCTGAGATCGGTACGAACCAACGCCTCCTGTCAAAACGGTTTAAGAATTAGAGAATTGTCTAATATTTTCCTGAGAGCGTGTATCTGTGCACGAAGGGACTTGCAGACCGGATCCTGGTCTTCCAGCTCCTGCACTTCTAGCTCCGAACCTTCTGTAGCCTCCGGGACATCCACGCATTGAGTGATGGTGAGATGGATACCATTCTAGATTGGGGTTCCCCTACGTCAGCAGCGTTCTCAAGCCTCGAGGTTCATGTAGGCGGGCAGGGGGGTTACCTGTGTGACAAGTCTAGCGGACGGCCAGCCCCCACCGCAGGCTCGATCGGCCAGGTCTCGACAGGCCCAGTCAAAGTCGCCAGCGGTCAAGAAAGGGAAGGCGGACAGCGCATTTACCATGACCCACTAAAAGAACGGAATATCGGACTATCAAAAACCACGCCGTCGCCGGATGCAGCTTCCGCACGGACTCGTGTATCCGTGGTGTTTGAATTTTGGAGGGAAGGGGAAGGGGAAGGGGAAGGGGAAGGGGAAGGGGAAGGGGGGGGGCGAACTGTCGAGCTATGGAGGATCAGCGTGGTAGCGAGTACCTTGAGAAGAGTGTGGTTCAGGCACCTTCTCTAATCAGATGAGCGGATGAATGGTTGCAGTCCCCAGAAAAAGCCGGATACGACAGACACAATGAAGATTGTCGGGTTGCCCATGTCGCATCAGGTCTGATGCACGCCGCACGACGCACGACGATCCCGTTCAGGGTGGGGAAGCGGGTACTTGTGTGCTGGGTGATCATACCATAGTTGACACGAGTACCGATGTACAGTATCTCCCGTCGACCCCAGCCGCAAGCGGCTGACGGCCGAGCCAATCATCTGAGCATTACCCCCGTTCAAGGAACGCGATCGTAGGCAGACCATCAGTCGACACTGGTGGGAAATCATTAACCAGGAAATAGTCATGCTTGTACCTGGCGTTCCCTGTTCCGCTTGCAGCCCACTTCAACGCACGTCCCGAGAGGCCGCGATGGCGCCCCGAGAACAGAGCAGGGTGAAGTGACTCGTGGCAAACTAAACGCTTTCGTCTCCCTCACCTTTTGCTTTTCTTGTATCTAGTGTCCTCTTCCCCTCCGTGGAATCCTAACTTGCTTTCGTGTTGTTTTTTTTTCTGTTTCCCTTTTAATTTCATTTCCTTTTGGGTTCTTTGTGCTTGTTTTCATGTTTCAACCTTGTCCATACCCCGTTGTCTATACTCCCTGTTTCCATGGTTGATCTCCCCTGCACTCTGGAGTAGACGCAAACCCACCCCCTCCCATCCCCCAGTGACCTACCCTCAGTTACCCCCCGGTACCCCAGTATACAGGAAGTACTCAGCTGCTGGGCACACGGGCCCTCGTGGAATCTGAATCTGTGAATACCCTCCTGTTGTAACCTCAATACTCTCGACATCCCCGCCATTCTCGCCTTCTGTGGCTCCGGTCCAACCGATCTCCGGGGTATCTACCAATCTGAAACACGGCTCTCCTCCATCATCTCCGCACGAAGGTCCTGCGACCGCCAATCGTACACCCGATTGAAAACAGGACGAGTGGCACAACTTCGGGCCCGGATCGATCTCTCAGCAATCAAGGCGTGGCTTGACGTCAATTGCCCGGGATTCGATCTAATCTGAAGAGTCCTGCCATTTCAGCGGCCCACTCTTCGACCCCCTCAGTCCCTTGTATATTTACTTTGGCCACTCCATGCCGCGCCGGATCTCTCTTTTAAAGTCGTGGTGATATCGATTTCTTTGCACTTGGTGCCTGCGACACCATGGGCAATCTACAATCGACCTCCGCGAAAGATGAGACCCGCCGTGCCAACCGCCTTTCCAAGCCACTGACCAAGAAGCTTGCCCTGAGCACTTCGCAGCCCTCTCACCTTGAACCCGATCGGCCGGAGCTTCTGACCGGCCTGATTGGATGGCAGAACCCTTGGGTTGGCTCCCAGATCTCCAGAGATATCAGAGCTAGCTACCCGAAAGCTACGGAGATCCCTCCAACCTTGTTCGAAGCTGAGCCGGATTCAGCAGTGCAGAGTCCCACCGAGAGTCCTACTCTATCTCCGACTCAGTCTCTGAAAGAGCCAAGTTTGGAGCCCGTTTCACCTCACTCGGGCTCTTTTTCCAGCAACCCGTCTATGAGAAGAGCTTCGTATCAACCTGGAACATGGAATGAGTATTCTCAAGCGCCACCGGTGCCAGAACGGCCCCGACGGGCCAATTCAACACAAACGACTCTACAGAGACACAGAAGTGTCATTTACGAGAGCCCGATCGAGGATGCCACATCCTCTAACACGGCCTTTTTAGTGGGGAACCAGCGTTTCTCGCTCACCCGCCGTCGGTCCTTGCTGACACGGCCGGGAGTTGCTACCCGACGAACTACTGGTGCCGTTCGGCGCGTGCCTTCACCGATCGGTGAGCCCGAGAGCTCTGATGATCCGATTGAGTCGCAGGGCTTACAATGGCCGTTGCCTCCTCGTGAAAGAATTTCTTTGCCTGTTTCGCTTCCGGCACGGCCAACAAGCCCTGCAGATCCCCGGTATACCCAGCTCGGTGCCCTAAAATTGGGGTCCTTACGAGTGGTCAACGGCTCTGCATCCCCGTGTCCCAGTGACCGTACTCCTGTGGGACAAACCCATGCTACAGCTCCGGGGCTCGGGTTGAAGAATGTCGAGACTGTTGGTAAGAGAGGCTCTACCCTGGAAATACCCTTAGTGTCCGATATGAAGAAATCAGACGATTTACCCGGCAGTCCATTCTCGTTCGAGAAGTCTCCTATTATGGCAGGACCCCGGAGTAAGCCGATCTTCCCCGGTGAGGAGGACGAGGGCATTGCCATGTGCGATGTTCATCTAGGAAAGAGTGCCGTGGACGCCGGAGTCGATCAAAGTACTCTTCGATCCCTCAACAAGTCCGACAGTGGCTACAGCTCTGCGACTTCCGTTCGCTCCCTTCAGCGAAGCCAAACAAGGGCATCCTTTGACTCGCAGACTTCCAGTTATTGCGCCGCGGACAGCACCAAGAGCGTCTTCATCGGAAACGATCAGTTCTGCGTCCCAATCGATAAATTCCAGCACCACTGCAGCCTCCAGGAAGCTCAGACTAGAAACTTCTCGCGGATGCATCTAGCTAACGATCGCTGGTACGATGGCAATGGCCCGGCCACCCAGCCCCTTGCGGGATTGCGGGCACGCCGATCTACACTGTGCGCTCCTCGATACACGGAATACCCTGAACCCCCTGAGCCTTCCCTGGTGGACACACCGTATGCATTTGCTTCCCAGCAAGAGCGGACGATCTACACTGGAAAAGCCCCGCATGACGACCGCTTTTACAGATGTGCGGTGGACGTCGCTTCCAGCGCGGGTTCCTCGACGACTTTAGTGACAATGCCGAGCTATCAGCAGATTGCAAACACCGATATGCGAGGCCAAGCGCACCGGTCTATCTCCGGGCATCGATCGTACGGTAGCCACGAGTGGTTCGACCACTCTCGATCCAGGAGTAGACACAGCGGCCGGGTCTGGAGCCAGAAACCCGGCATTGATGCACCGCCGCTGCCGACGATCTTGTCCCCAGATAATCTCCAAGCCGGGAAAGATCGGGAGTCAGAATTCCCTCTCCCCGAAACGTATCGCGGCCGACCTAGAAGCCGAAGTCATGATTATCACCGCAAATCGACGAAAGAGCGGCCCCAGCCTGAAATGTGCATATAACGACATGTCTCTTTGCTTTGCTTTTTACTACTCCGGATGATGATTCTTTTTTTTTTTTTATCTTGCTTTTGTTATTATTTGTCGGATGGTTTTGGTTGCGTCAATAAAAAGTTCCTGGGGCGTTTTGAGATGGGATCGGAGCTTCTGGTCCATTGGATGGAGTCTGAATGGTATACCCTCGTTTATCTACTTGAGATTTGGCGTTGTACACGGGCGTCCTTGACCCCTGATCAAAAGGTCTTCGTTTCAATCAAGTTCATGATTCAAGACCATTACCGGTCGACTACGTATTTTTTGGGCTTCTGTCAGTCAGGCTGTAGCTCACCCCCAGTGAGAAGCTCGAATCGAGTAAGTTGCCTGGATCAGGAGTCTATCAGGTCGAGTGACATTATTCGTCGAACTGGTTAAGCTCGTACATTTTGCCAGCCTGTCATCTGACCTGCATCCAGGAGACACGTCGAGGAAGCTTTGGTAAAGATCGCAACCACGCGCCGAAGTAAGGAGCTTGCAGCCCATTGCATGCTGGGGTCCGATCTGGCAGAGAACGATTGGAGCGACCTACATATTACATATAACAGATCACAAATAGTAGATTTAGTAGATACGGTGAATGTTAAAGTTTTCATAACAAGTTCATTCGTTACTTCAAATATATGCGAGTTATAACTTGTATCAAACCAAACCCCAGACGCCAAGGTCCCCCGCCCCCAATGCACAGAGAATGCAAGATCAGTCGAAGCGAGCTACTGAATGCGGATCTTCTTCGTCTTAGGTGCAGCCTCCTTGGGCACGATGACGGACAGGATGCCGTTCTTCAGGCTGGCGTGCACTGCATCCTGATCGACACGGGTTGGGAAGGTGAAGGTTCGCTGGAACTCGCCGATAGACCGCTCTGACGCCCAGTAGTGGAAGGATGGCTGGGTCTCGGGCGTCACGGAGTCAGTGTCGATGTTGGTGTCCGAGTCAGCGTCGGTAGCATCGGCCTCTTCATCCTCAACAGTAGGCTGGCGCCACTGGCGAGCGCCACTCTTTGAGTCGGCCTTTTCGGTGTTTTCGTGCTGATAGCTACGTTCTGTGTAGCCCTTGATGACCAGGGTGTGCGGATCACTGAACTCAATATCGATGTTGCTCTGATTCACCCCGGGCAGTTCCCCGTCGAGGTAGTAGCCATCGTTCAGCTCACGGACATCGAAAGCTGGGGTGTAGGACCGAGTGGAGGTAGATGGCGCGGCCCGGGAACGGTGGGTCTCGTAGTCGTCCAGCAGGCGGAACAGAGGCCGGAAGTCGGAGTTGCACAGGAAGGCCATTTGGAGTATTTGGTGGGGGATAAAGATGTTCAGATGTTCAGATATTCAGACGTTCAGACGTTCAGACGTTCAAATTGTTCTGCAGATTGATGATAGAGTCTATGTTCCTGCCAAATCGCAGTATTATATACCTCGTGCTGCTGCTCAATCGATGGTTGGTCAGAAACGTCCAGAAGCGGGTGGCGCGTTCTACCAAGTTCTCCAATCCTCTGTCGCCATCCAGGGTCGACTCGCTACAATAAAATCAATCATCTCGAACATTCCAGTCTCGTATTCACCTCGGTTCGCTGATGACGCGATTTTCTTGAATCATCATGGTTTATCAGCATGGAGTGTCCGGTACATGCGAAAATATATCGTGGCGGTGATCTCGGGAGGCTGTGCATTACCGCCGCTCCGGTAACTATCAAGTACAAGTAACTCATACGTAAGCCATCCTTTCACTTAGCATCTCAAGGCTTGCACTTGTATTGGCACTGTGCCTAAACATGACCAGGGATGAAGAATTATAAGACTCAGAGAATGAGAGTTCGAACCTACCGTGACTCAATGGATAAGAAGATGTTACATATAGAACCGGACCAACCTTGAGAAGGGGATAACCCGAATGAGCCTGTATAGTCGGCGATGGCCTATTTGTCCAGCCGAATCTCAAGCGACAACATCAGGAAAGGAACCAAGCGACGTCTCAAAAGACGTGTAGAGCAATGCCTCGGGGAAGAAGAAAGGGTTCTATCGTTGAATTTTTTTATAATTTGGGATCATACAGAATTATTATATACACAGGTGTTCTTTCAGGAGAAAGAAAAACGCCCATTCCCTTCGATATCATACATGCCCACCACGCGTGTTACTTCCTCAACAGGAAGCCTGTGTCGGGTGAACCCGGGCCCTCACGGTACGTTCGGTGGCATAGCGACTCTACCTCTTGTCATCCAGGAGCTGGTGACCCGGAGATCCAGAAACACGAGAAGCCCACGGAATAGCAAAAGGTCCGGGAGCGCACTCAGCGAATGTTACGAATGCCCGGAGAAGCGTACATCTCGAGCTGGCGGTGGCCCTTGCGCAAGAGATATTCCACTGCGCCAAAGTCCTTTTTATTCACCGAGAGATGTTTTTGGAATTCCGCTCTAGGCCGTCAGCCGGAGTGCAAGAGTTGGGCGCCGAGGGAAAGACACATACCGTGCATAGTTTTTGAAATTGCTTCTTGATTCCTACGAGACCGATCAGCGGGGGACCGGAGGGGAAGGGGGTGGAAAAAAAGTAGCCTACCTGAGGTTTATGACGAATCGCGCGGAGACACTTTCGGTATAGGGACAAGACCTCCCGCTGGAGACCGGAGAGGCGAGCCATGAAGTCAAGATGCAGGGAGCTTAGAAGCTTGGAAGCTTGGAAGCTTGGATCCTGGGGAAGAAGCTCTCCGTTTTCCGCCGGGCCCCCACGTTGGATTTCCCGGCCGAATGGAAATCTACGACGTCTTATCTACTCGGCTTTCCACCTTTTATCTCCTTAATATCTACACCATGGCTGCTTTCACTGTACGTGGGTCTGATTTGTGTGACTTGGTTTGCTTTTGGCTTTGAACCATTCGGGTGGCTAACCATGCTTTCTAGCATCTCGTTCGCTTCCTAGCCAAGGATGGCCACATCTATTACGGAGATGCTATCCTCCCGTCAGGAGTCAGTGACATTTCGCAGACTACCCAGGCAAGAGTCATTCAGGGTGATATCTTTGGTGAGCACCGAGTCACCGAGAAAGTTGCCGATGTGCGCATGCTCCTCGCTCCTCTGGCACGCAAGGACATAGGAACCGTCCGCTGCTTGGGACTGAACTACGAGCAGCACGCGAAGGAGTCAAACCTGCCCATCCCCAAGTACCCAGTACTGTTCTTCAAGCCCGTGACGTCTATCTCCGGCCCAACGGATGATATCCCAATCGCCCAGATTGCTCAGGAAGGCGAAGGCCTAGACTACGAGTGTGAACTCGTCATCGTCATCGGCAAGGAGGCCAAGAATGTCCCCGAAAACAGGGCTCTGGATTACGTTCTGGGTTACGCTGTTGGAAACGATGTCTCTCACCGCGACTGGCAGATCAAGCGTGGTGGAGGGCAGTGGGGACTGGGTAAAGGCTTCGACGGCTGGGCGCCTTTTGGACCAGGCATCGTCTCCTCCAAGATAATTACCGATCCGAATGCTTTGCAGATTTCCACCTCCTTGAATGGGAAAACGGTCCAGTCCTCTTCCACCAAGGATATGATTTTCGGCGTGGCCAAGACCATCGCTTTCCTTTCCCAGGGTGTCACTCTCCTGCCCGGAGACATGATTTTTACTGGAACGTAAGTACCACTCGATCTGTACAATCAATCAACGATGCTGACTGTGATGGAAAAGACCACAGGGTGTCGGCATGGGCCGCAAGCCCGCGCTCTGGCTCAAGGACGGGGACCGAGTCGAGGTCTCGCTGGAAGGGGTGGGGTCTTGTATCAACCGTGTAGTCTACGACAAGCCCAGCTCCAAGCTGTGAGGACCGGCTCGTCTGGGAGCATTGTATATATCAATTTCTCATCAAAGTTCATATCCGATCGTTCCATCGAGTTCTTCGTTCATTTGGGGGACCTCATGTGATCAGATTAACTAGACAAGTCTGAAGATAGGAAAAAAAAAAAAGAAACAAAGGTAACGTCTAGTTTGTCTGAGCCCCGTATCCCTTGATTCTCTCGGCAAAGGCCCAGCTCTGGCCCTCGAGCTGTTCGTTCTCCTTCAAATCGATGCCCTCCTTGGTAATCACGGCTATGGAGTATTTGTCCAGACTCCGTGCATCACGGTAGAACAGAACCTTCAAGCAGTCCTTCAGGGCCGCAACGGCTTGGTCCCGACTGATTTCCTCGATCGGCTTCTCGTCGGGGAACACACGTCGCAGGATCGGAACCGCAAGGTGAGCACCGAATCCAGTCGCCAGGTGAGGAGCAGAGAAAGTCGTTCCCAGAAGATCTGCTGAGCTGAGGAACGGCTCGCCCTCTCCATCGAAGCCTGCGACAAGAACGTGGTTCCACAGCGGGTTAAACTCGGAGCGCCGTTTATAGAAGACCTTGGCGAGGTAGGTGTGCAGGTTCTTGGCGTTGAGCATGTTGCCGTGGGTGGAGTAGTTCTCCCTGATATCGATCGATTCGAGGAGACGGTCAATATATTGCATGTCGGACACATCTCCACCAAATCCGACCACCGCCTTGTCGCCAAAGGAGCGCAGACGCTTCACGTCGGTGAAACGCGCGAGCGATCCGTACGATGCTGCAAGTCAAAGCAATGTCTGTTAGTATTGGGATTTTGGGGCGGGAGAGCGGTGTTGCAGGAGACTTGTGTACCTAGGTTGTCGGTGGCCAAGACGACACCGCCATTAAACTTCACGCCAATGACCGACGTTCCCGTCACGGCCGGCGAAGAGGTATGTGTCTTAGGACCGCTGGTTTGAAGATATGAAGAGTTGTAAGCTCCGTAGACATCGTCCCTGGGCTGCAGGTGGTGTTAGCACGGTAGCAAGCATGGGGTTGGGTTGAACATACTCGGCCCCAGGCTTCAGGGAAGTGATTCATTATGAAGAATGATGGGGTGAAGACAGCTCAACTGTAGATGCGAGAACAGAGAAGAATGAAATGGCGGAGAGTAGGGAATGGTGGGTTTGAACGATGACGATACTCAATGGAGGAAGCTTAGGCAGTCGAGCTGACGGAGCTCCTGCTGACTCATCGTCCTTGGCACCCTGGGACACGCGCGCGCTTAAGACTAGGAGTATTCATCTCATTTCTAGATGTGCACTACATCGTTCTTTCCGGCAATCCCGTATTCGCCTCTCGCCCCGTCCACTGGAATACCAATAAGCGGCGTGATTTGCTCAGCCTCCCTAAAAGCTTCGTATCCGCCGATCGCGTTCAACCTTGGCTCTCTTTTTATTTTTTTCGTATTTTCGTATAAATGGCCCTTGGAGCGCCCCGCCCCTTCGTAGCACAATACAATTTACTCATCATGTCTTCAGCTTCGTCCCGTGCTGGGTCAATCACATCGGCTCACGTCGATATGGACGAACAGGGTCCGTCATGCCTATACCACATCTACAGGAGGCCCTTCCATCGGCGCTATGAGTTCAAATCTCCAGACGACCAAACCGTATACTACGGAGACGTCTCCTTGTGGACCTTCAAAAGGCCCGACATTATTCTACATGCAGGGGACAGCGACAAAGGCCCCGTGGTGGCCGTCAGCAAGTTCCTCAAATTCTCCGGCGACTACAAGTTGTGTCTCGGCAACCCTGACGATGTGAACGCTCAGTGGGAGGACATGACGAAGGAGTCCGCTCTGCATTCGAGACATCGGTTTGAGATGACCGTGCCGAGCCAGACGGGGGACCCCAATATCGAAAGGCGCTCTTTTCTCTGGAAACGAACTCGCCATGTCAAGGTGGATGACTCGACTTCATCCATCTGGGGACTTCGAAATTTTAAGCTGGTTGATGAGCGAACGGATCAACTTATGGCCGTCTTCACCGATGAGAAATCCATATCCAAATGCGGAAAGCTTCAGATCAAGGCAGAATACGGGGGAAGCTTTGATATAATGGTCTTGATCTCATGTGTGAGTCTATATGAGAGGGCAAGACGCCGCAATAGATCAGCAAGTGGAGGTGGTGGGGGAGGAGGTTGAAAGGGATGTTTCTTGTCCTCAGCAAGTGACTTGAATTGCCAAATCCTATACCAGTTGCTTTTGCCTGATTCTTCAAATTCATTCAATAACAGTACTCTATCGTAAGGTCGTCAAGGTGCTGCACAAAAATATTCGACAGATGCTGGTGCAGACTTGGATTCTTTTCAAAATTGAGGCCAGCGATTTGGCACATGGAGTATGGGGAATACCTCATTTCTTCACTCATAACAAGGACGCAAGGTCTTGTTGTGAGTCTGGGTGGATCAAGAGATTTGCTCATCGCAACAGCCACTTTGGGGCTTTCTCATTATTCGAGTTTTGTTCTTCGTGGGCCATTTCAATCCGGGGTCAATCCGTTCTCACGCGTTGGCTTTCCTCTGCGTATCCGAACCGGATACAAAATCAATGGAGGTCCTCTGGCCAGGTGACTTCTTATACTCCATTTGCTGCCGAATATCTTGTTGCGCTCTCAAGAGTTCTTCCTTGAAGCCCCATTTGGGAAGGTTGGAAGTACTCCACAAGTTTTCTGGCAAGGCCATATCGTATTGTGATTGCTCGTCAATGCCCGCGTGTTCCATCATTTTCTTGAGTAAACTGGGATTCTTGAGAGATGATGAGTTGGCTAGCTTTACATTGAAGTGAATGCCTTGGTTTTTGAGAGACAGGAAATGCTCGAATTTGGCGTTCGCCGCGGGATTGGGAGATCCGGGAGGAGATGGTGGAATATCCAGATTGGGGACTGGAGGAAGAGTAAGATCTTGAATCAGAGCTCGCGATGCCGAGAAAGGAGAGGAGCGGTCGAATCCCTCACGGTCATCTGGTGACTGCGCCTGGGCCGCAGGTGTTGGGCCTGTTGCCGGTCCAAGAACAGGGCCACTTGGGACTTCGTGGGAGGCCGTACATGCAGGCTGGGTTGTATGCCCGTCATGAGTAGGTATCTGGTCTAATCTTAGGAATATTAGCCTGGGTTGCATGAGAGACACTTGGGACCTAGCGGGGAACATCACCTCTGGTCTGATATGTCGGTAGGGCCGTGTCTGGGAGCTTTCCGCTGCGCTGTCGTACATGCTATCAGAAATAAATTCATTTCGTGGGAAGTTATCCATACCGTTGATTCAAGAGGTGCCTTGAGCTCGACTTCGTCCTCGTCGCTGCTGTCGTATGAAACAAGACCGAGCATAATGTCGACGGGAGTGGTATCTCACTTCGTTGTCGCAAAATTGAAATAGAATAATTTCACGGCTCTCTAAAGGCGGATTTTTAGCCAGAGACTTGTATTTCACCAAAATCTAGACCGTGAATGCAAGAGGGGAGCTCGGGTCAATTGAAGCAGGAGCTGTTACCTTACATAAGCAAAGGCAGCTACAGCACCGCGTCAGACATCCGGGCATCTTCATTGCTATCATCACCGAACGACCTTCCAATCTCTCTGGCCCATTCCTTCCTCCATTATCGTATTGCCTCAACATATTGCTGAAAATACTCTTTCTCGCCTTCGCCTATTCACGATGACGTCTCTCCTGGATCACTCTCGCGGTGAGACGGTCGGATACTCCTTCTCTCAGTCTACAGCTGCTCCCGTGAGACAGCACGGATTTTACCCGTATGAAACCATTATACTGGAGCTTCAGAGGATTTAAGCTAACAAAATTGATTTAGCTATACCGACAACGGCGGCTCGACTCTGGGCATCACAGGCTCTGATTTCGCGATCCTTGCTGGCGACACCCGTTCTACATCAGGCTACAATATCAACTCTCGCATGGTTCCGAAGGTCTTCAAGATCGGTGGTGAAGATGAGACTGGTGAGGGTGCCCACATCATTCTGTCCGTGGTGGGCTTCGCCGCGGATGGCAATGCCCTCAAGGAACGACTGGATGCCGTGGTGAAGATGTACAAGTACCAACATGGCAAGTCCATGTCCGTCTCAGCCTGTGCGCAGCGACTTTCGACTATTCTTTACGGCAAGCGATTCTTCCCTTACTACGTACACGCCATCTTGGCCGGTCTGGATGAGGAGGGCAAGGGAGCGCTTTACAGCTACGACCCCGTGGGCTCTTACGAGCGAGAGCAATGCCGTGCTGCCGGTGCTGCAGCAAGTTTGATCATGCCTTTCTTGGATAACCAGGTCAACTTCAAGAACCAATACATCCCGGGCAGTGGAGAGGGACATGCGCTTGAGCAGAAGAAGGCGGAACCTCTTCCCCAAGAAACGGTCAAGCAATTGGTACGGGACGCATTTACAAGCGCTGTGGAGCGACACATCGAGGTTGGTGATCACTTGCAAGTGATGATCATCACTTCGAATGGAATCGAGGAGGTGTTCCACCCGCTAAAGAAGGATTAGAGAACGGTGAAATGTCTACTATAGCCTTCTAATGCCAGAATGTTCGAATTTTGAAATTTATATGTTCAAGTAAACGGGATATTTTTTTACCAAGATGACTATCCTGATGTCGTCACGCCTATATATTGAAAGCCCAAAATCGGAATGCTCCCGAACGCCCATACCATGCCGAAACTCGTTTGGAGATTGTGGTCGTTATCTAGAACCGCTCCTTCATTCGTGAAGCAACCGTTCGGAGGTTGCCATAGACCTTGCCCTGCGGAATGGTTAGAGGAGTAAGCAACCTTGTCTCGGAGAGAAACTTACCGGAGGGCTACCCAGGATCAGGCTGACGATGGCCTCACGGGCAATGTGAATGTTCTTGAACCCACCGAGAATGTGGATTTTCTGGTCTGCAAGCACCACACGAGTGCGACTGGCATTCTCAATCGCAAATTTGGTCTTTCCGTCCTTGCCGGCAATGCGGCCGATTGCACGTCCGAGGTGCTCTCCGTTCAATGTCTTGACATCCTTGATTTCGAAGGTTTGAATGTAAAGATCATCAAGTCGCAGAAGAGCAATAGCGTCGTCGATGTCAAAACCAAGAGTGAAAGCCTTGACAAAGTCCGCGCCCTTTTGCAATGCTCCCACGTCGTCAGTAAATTTGGAGGTTCGGAGTTCGACTGCGCGGCTCTTGACGTTCATGCGCACTTGGAGCTTGAGGTGTTCGACGATAGGAGGGCAGATCTTGGTCCAGTTCGCTTTGAGGGGTGTCATGCGGTGAGGCGGGACAGGCACCTTGCGAGTCTCGATGCGATATGCGGCGCTGGTTTCCTTTGCCGGGGTGAAAACGGGGCGACCCTCCTCATCGATGCGCATTTCATTATCTCCCGCAGATTCGGCGACGGGATTGGAAGCATCAGGCTCCGTGGCCTGTGCATCAATCAAGACTTCATCATCGTCTATTTGAAGTGTTAGTTCGTGAAGAGGAAAATAGTTGGAATTTCCTTACCTGTAGCCTGAGGTTGAACCTGGTGGAGCTCGGGCACCGCCTGACGAAGAGCTGTAGGGGCAGCCATGATGTTGACAAGACAGAGAAAATTGGGAGAATCCGTTATCGCAGAATTTATCGGGCGCCCCTCGAAAAAGTGTGGGTTGGATTTTTCGAGTGCAAACAAAACAAACACCCAATGATTTCATTGCCCGGAGCTTCAATCCTGACTGCATCAACCATCATTCCCCTCTTTCACTTACCCTTTCCATGAATCGCAGGATGTAAAGACGATGTCCGCCAACTTTGGACGCCGTCTGTACACCCATCTATGGGGACCGGTGAACTCATTTCGCGGTCGTATAGCAAACCGCGTTTCCGCCCCCGATGCGTCAAAGGCCTTCGACTCGTTTTTCACCGGCAAACGATTCTCAACATCCAGAAAAGCCACTCCTCTCACGAGACAAGTTGCTTCCGGGGGCTTCTTAGTTTTGGGTGTCTCTCCAAGCTCTACTGCAGCTGAAGGTGGTGTAGCTTGCATCGTTCCCTCGACTAAAATAGCCGCTCAATATGTCTGGAAACGAGCTTTACATACATCAGAAGGCAAGCAGTCCGACAAGGGCGCATCCACCAATCCTCCATCCTCCAAGAAAGATGAACTTTTTTATGGCGCCCAAAATCCCGATAAAAATCCCCCTCAAAGCCCTCCTTTGAAACTACCTCAAGGACCGCGGCAGACCACATCTCCTAATCGCCACTTAATGGATCGCTTGCCCCATATGCCACACTTACATCGACCAACAAAGGAGGAACTATTGGCTGCAGCAACTGGCTTTTGGTCGCGCCTTAAGGTGCGATTCAAATGGTTTTCTATCAGGAGTGTGCGGCCCTTCAGCTTGGATGAAATCACGGCGCTTTTCTCATGGGTCCTACTCGGCCACGTTGTCTGGTTCGTCGTGGGAACCACGACGTTTTTCTCACTTTTGATCCTGGCCATCAACACGGTCTTTGCGCAGGGTATGTATTCGAGGCCATTCTAGGCGATACCATTGCTAACCATAGTTAGAAACGCTGGCCGGATGGGTAGGTAACTACCTGACCAAATCATCTGGGGTTAAGGTCGTCTTTGAGTCTGCCATTGTACCGAAATGGAAAAACGGCGTGATCACTTTCAAAAATGTGTTTGTTTCGCGGCGGCCTGGTCAGGGCACTGGGCATGTTAGCAAAGGCTCACCAACGACTGCCGCAGCCGCAGCCGCAGCCGCAGCTCGAGGTGATCCTGGGCCCGAAGACTTATCGCCTGTTATCGAAGAGGAAGATACCAACTACACACAATTCGACCTTTCCATCGAGACCGTCAACGTCACTTTGTCGTTTACGAAGTGGCTCAACGGAAAGGGCCCGCTTCGCGATGTCGAGGTGAAAGGAATTCGAGGTGTTGTTGACCGCCGACAAGTCCATTGGCCAGAAGAAGACCTGGACCCCAAGTCGTATCGACATGAACATCAGCCCGGGGATTTCGAGATTGATTCTTTTAAAATGCATGACGTGCTGGTCACGATCTACCAGCCTGATAACTTCCGACCATTCTCCGTTAGCATCTTCTCATGCGATCTGCCCCAACTACGCAAGCAATGGCTCTTCTATGACTTTTTATCCGCCAACATGATGTCAGGGTCGTTTGACAACTCACTTTTCACCATCCACCCCCGCCAGACACACGGCTTTACTGGACTCCGGGAGGATCAAAACTCCGAAGACAGAAAGCCTAGTCCATGGAAGCAACACAACAGAATACGCGTTGACGGACTAAATATCGATCATTTAAACCGCGGTGTCCATGGCCCTTTTTCATGGATTCATGAAGGGACTGTAGACATTGTGGCCGACATCATGCTGCCTTCCGAGAATGATGAAAGCATCGCAAAGGTGATGGTTGATTTCTACGACCGCCTGGAGGCCACGGTTACGTCAAATCAATCCTCGGAGACTTTACCTCAACAAACCCAGGATGATGTAGAGTCCGCATCCAATACTGACAAACGATTCCTGGTCATGGACCTGCGAGTCCACCTCAACAATGTTCGAGCTGCGGTCCCCATATTCACTCGAGATCTCTCCTATATAAATAACGCCCTTATCCGACCAATTGTGGCTTACATCAATTCAAAACGCACCTTCATTCCTATCAACTGCCGCCTCGTCAAACGTGTCGGCGACTTTGATGGAAGCTGGACCATCTTTGACAGCAGTCTAATGGATGATCTCTCTGCTGCAGTAAGTATAACATGTGACCAAACATGAACCTTTGATTGTGCTAACAAGTTGGCAGACATACGATGCGTTTGCCCGGGATGTTGTGGATGATCAAGCCCGTAAGAGGCGATTCAAGAAGGTTGGATTCTGGTCCCTTCAGCTCGCCGCGCAGGCTATTTTCATGGGCATGGCCGGCAACATCGCATGATCCTGTACCATTTTCTATGATCTATGCCCGGCATCTCCGACAAGGGTTTTTTTTGGCCGGCGTTTTGGTTTTTTTATGTACCATAACCACATTGCATTCGCGGAGTCCGGAGCATTTTCGCTTAACTATTCTCACTTCTTCTGGCGATACATGACTCCCCTCTTCTCCTATTATGTTTCTGGCGTGTATCATAGTTCTCATACATTGTCTTTGCGAGGCTGACGGGAGGTTGGGAGAGCGCTAGTTATGTCTCATGGATTCGAATTTCCGATGTACTCCAGCCCCTTTGCTACCTATCACCCAAAGCATCTAGGTGTATATCTTAGAAATAATACATTACTGCGATCTACCTTGTACTTGGAGAAAGGGAGTGGTTTGTATCCGATCGCTGTGATTCTGAGCTGTCAAGCAGCGATCGTCGGGCTCTACTGAGGAATTCGAGACTAGAGAAACAATCCTCAACATGTCCCCTCCCCCCTTATTTTTCCTTCTCTCTTTCTCCTTCCTTTCCTCCGCTCCAAGGGAAAAAAGCCCGAATTCTGGGGGTATACGATTTCCAGTCGAGACAACCCAAGACCCCCTTTCTCTAAGCTTCCGAGGACCCGCCATCCCGCCCCCTCTCCTTCCTGGGTTCTTTGCCCCCCGAACCCCTCTGATGCGCTGAATCCCTGAACCATGTCGCAGCCGCGCATGGACGACTCGGGTCATACGTCCAGGAACAACTCTGCCCATTCTTTGAATAGTGGTCTCATTCCCCGGGACTATCTTGCGCGATCGGACATCGCGCGTCCCGGATCTGGCTCCCGTCACATCTCACCTTCGCCTCTACAAACCAGCTCGCTCCCACAATCCTATATTCACGACTCGCCTTCATCTCATAGCCCCCTCTCGCTCAGATCAAGTGCCAACGCTTCCCCCTCCCAGAATCGGTCGCCTATCTCCCGTATAGTGAATGCGCCGTTCCCCGTGCCCCCCTCAAGCTCGGCTCACCCTGTCGCCCAAATCCCGGATATGACAAGTACGGACACAGCGGACATGGCAAACATGCCGGGCGATAGCAACTCACCTAAGCCGCCGGGGTTGACCGAGCCTGATCGTTCTGCATCATCCTCCGTGAGCTCTATCCTGTCAGCGCCCGGTGACCGTCCGACGCACCGCATCATGCCTCGCACCTCTTCTATCGATTCGGCCATTTCATCGTTATCTTCCGCCTCTCAAAAATCGGCTTTTGACGCCAATGCTCTAAGCCCAGCCGATATCAGTAATCTCATCAATGCTGCGGGTTCCGCGGAGGCTGTTATTGTGCACCTCCTGAGAGAGAAGCACCAAGCCGCCTCTCAGAACTCACAGCTTTGGAAGCTGGTCGATAAACAGCGCACCCTTATACTAGGTCTCAACAAAGACCTAGAACGTGCTTTCAAGGAGAAGGAAAAATACAAGAAGAAGCTCAAGGATTTACAGGACTCGGCGCCTCCGCTACCAACCACTGATTCATCCGTACCACGATCCATCTTAGCTGATGTAGACCATCAAAGATCGATTCCAGGAGTGAAAAGGGAGAGCGAACGACGTCAAGCTGAACAGCCGTCCATCGTCCCATCCCCCTCGACGTCCGGTACTACTCTTGAAGGCATCTCAGGCCTCAGTCCAAGAACTGAAGCTGCGTCCCCAGTTGCAAGTGAAATACAGCGACTACCTCAGCCGAACCGCAAACCGCCACCTGCACCACTGAATCTACGATCAGGGGACACTCGATTAGAGCCTGCAGAGCCAGATTCGGGATCCGATTATGGCGACACTCAGGACGCAGATGGAAGACCAAGCGTGGACCGTGGAAGGAGACAGACGCGAGAAGAAGACGACCGGGACCGCGAAGCTGACCTGCTTGAAGAAATGAACAACCTTGACGCTACTGAATCGACTGAATTTGGGGCCACATCTCAGAGCTCAACGGATACTGCTACATCTGCAAGTCCGGTGACGGCTCCTCGTGAATTAGCAACGAGGTCACCCCCACCTATAAGCGGATCTGGCCCCTTGGGACCCCTTTTGAACTCTCGAGTCAATCCCTCCAGTTCGATTGGGCGTCAGCACGTTACCATGCCTAAAAGCCCTGGCCTTCCATTAAGCCCAAGGCCCGAAGATCGACCCATCGGCTCGCCTTTGCCCCGGATGCCCAGAGATATATCAGCGGGGTATAATCCCTCGGGACTACCTCTCTCTCCAAAAGCCTCAAATTACCCAGTCCCATTTCAGCCTGGAGATTATCAAGCTATGACCGGAAGGCCTGGAGGCCCAATTCCCTCGATTGATCCAGCTGTCAAGATAGACAGTCCAAGAACACCCGCGTTTACGGAGAGCAGTATATATCAGGGCTTGGTTTCAGAGGAGTATCCTGGTTTGCTTTTGCCTCCTAACGCGCTTCCTGTGATCCAGGTTAGAGTGTCTTCGTCTCGGCTTCGACCTTCCAGAAATAGCTATATGGTATCTAAGCCCCTAGACGAGGAACCCGTGTTTACACTCAGTGTAATCTCCCGATCTGATATGGTTGAGCTTTGGCGGGTCGAGAAGGTCATTGCTTCCCTGCCTCAGCTGGATTATCAAGTGAGACAAATGGCTTCATTTTCTGGCAGGTTGCCTGATCGCAGCATCTTCAGTGGTCACTCGCCTGCCAAAGTGGATGCCCGGCGTGCTGCCTTGAATTCGTACTTTGACAGTCTCTTGGACACGCCTATGGACGAGAATGCTGCAGTTGTTATTTGCCAATTCCTCACAAATGATGCTATTGAGCCTCGAGATGATGAGACAAGCTTACTTAAAGGCCATAGCCTTGGGAAACCGGACATGCTCCGGGGTCCGGACGGGAAACCTCGAAAGGAGGGCTATCTGACCAAGAGAGGCAAAAACTTTGGAGGCTGGAAGGCCCGATATTTTGTCCTTCATGGACCAGATCTGAAATACTTTGAGTCTCCCGGTGGCCCTCACATGGGTACCATTAAGCTTCATCATGCACAGATCGGCAAACAATCACAAAATTCCAGCAGTCAAAGTCAGTCACCCCCGGGTGCTGATGAGGACGCTGACAATCAGTATCGACACGCGTTCCTCGTCCTGGAACCGAAAAAGAAGGATTCATCGGCGCTTGTTCGACATGTCCTTTGCGCCGAAAGTGATGAGGAGCGTGACACATGGGTTGATGCCCTGATGGAATATGTGGAATCCCCTTCCTCGGACAACGAGAGCCGTGGTAATTCTTCTTTAAAAAATCAATCCCAGACTCAGTCGAAAAACACCTCCAACGCCGCCCCAAAGTCCAATGTGCCTTCTAGCAACGGGAGCAAGCGGTCTGGTAGAGGGGTTGAAAGTCCGGATCAAAGTGCCGGGGGATCTGTCCAGGGATTCAGCTTTGACAACACTGTTGCGGCCGAACCTCCTATACTAGGATCCTCTCTCGAGCAGGCCCCTCGCTCTCCGCGTATCCCAGCTGCTCTGTCGATGGACTTCCGAGAGCTGAATCAGTCCCCTGTTGAGACACCGCAGTCCCCTAAGATCATCTCAGCGCCCACGAATGGTGTCGTGATTCAAGATGTGGGAGCTTGGGGCAATAAGCCCACGTCGACAAAGGAAAAGAAGCGCAGCATTTGGGGATTCCGCACGCGATCTTCCTTTGATCTTGCTTCGCAGGCCTCAGTCGAAGTGTCTACAGCGAACGCTAATATTCAAGCCGAGCGACGAGAGCATGTCAAACCGGTATTCGGCATTCCTTTATCTGAAGCTGTGCAGGACTGTGGACCTTACGGGATCGAGGCAGAGTTACCAGCCGTCGTCTATCGCTGCATCGAATACCTTCAGGCCCAAGGCGCAGCATCGGAGGAGGGTATTTTCCGCTTGAGCGGCTCCAATGTTGTGATCAAGGCACTTAAAGAACGCTTCAATACCGAAGGTGACGTGGACTTTTTGGCTGGAGATCAGTACTACGATGTTCATGCTGTTGCTTCTCTCTTCAAGCAGTACCTCCGAGAGCTTCCAACGACGGTTCTGACGCGGGAGCTTCATTTGGATTTCCTCCGTGTTCTTGGTATGTCTGCTTTGTTTTTTTCCCTTCGCCTGCATTAAGTGACATCACTAACTTTATCCAAACAGAACTCGATGATCGCCAGAAGAAGGTCACTGCCTTCAATTCATTGATTCACCGGTTACCGAGGCCAAACCTGGCATTGCTGCGAGCATTGTCGCTCTTCTTGATCGAGATTGTCAACAATTCCGATGTGAACAAGATGACCGTCAGGAACGTCGGCATCGTCTTTGCTCCCACCCTCAACATTCCGGCGCCGGTCTTCTCAATGTTCCTCACCGACTTTGACAGTATTTTCGGCGAAGATTCCGGTCCCGGTCCATCGACTGTGGAGCTGAACGTTGACCACAGTTTGTCACCGGACGATGTTCGTTCTCCACGTCACCAAATGTTCTCGGATATACCGACTCCCTCGTATAATCAGACCTCGTTCCGAGGCTCGGGTGATGCGCCTACGGGCCTCGACCATTCTCGACCCCCCCACGAGGCCGGCTTTACTCCTATGCAACCTTCTTACGACCAGGCGGGGTATAGGCAAGACGTGTACAATCAACCCACGGCAGCCTCGGGCCCATTCTCTTCACTGAATGGCATGCTGTCTCCTAGTTCGGATGACACTCGCTCGGCAAAGGCAAAGAGGCGAGAGAGCTCGATGCTTTTCATGGAACACAGTATGTTTCTTCTTACAACGCTGGCCATCTTATGCTTAATGATAGCTGACTATTTCTGCAGCACCAGAAGATCTCTCCTTCTACCAAGGCAAATAAACAACCGCTCCACCACATCAACATGTGGCAACTTGATTTGGCCGCCTTGTTCTTCTCATGTTCCCCCAATTCTAATCTCCCGACTATCTATGCCCCTTTGAAAGATCACGATTTGCACGCAAGATGACAACCTTACCCACTTGGCACCAGCAGAGTCGCAGGGAATGTTTAATGATAATGGTAATTAGGATGAGGCTGCAATATCAAAGGCTAGTAGGCCTTGGACTATATTGGCTTGGAGGTTTTTCTTGATCTATCGTTATACCCCTTTTATTTTATTTCTTTTCCCGCCGGCGCTGTGTCGCGGCCTCTTTTTCCCTTTCTACTATTTCGAATCTTCTATTTCGAACAGACTTGGTGTCCATCGATATCGTACCATTGTCTTTCTTTATTTTCTTTATTTTTTCAATAGTTCTATTCACTCAATCGGAGCTGCAAATGCTATGTTCTGTCTATATAATATCTTACACTAAAAACGCCTGTTTCGCTCGCCTTTCCAGAATCCCATCAGCTCGCCGTTTTCCTGAGCCCAACCCCGTACGTTATCCACCAATGCCTTCGCCATGCCCTTATTCTTGGCTTTACCACCGGAAGAGTCGCGGCTATGACCCAATCCAGCTGAGGCATGCTCCCCGGTTGCATACTCGGAGCCCATGCTGGGCAAAACATTGTCACCCGCGCTCAAACTCACAAAGAGAGCAAATGGGACCAACCAGACACACAGGCCAAAGTACGAAGCCACCTCAGAGAAGGAGGGAATTTCCTCGTAGTTGACCTGATACGGCTGGCGCCAATTATTCTCGGCTCGTTGAGACGGGGCTGGGGGTTTCGAGAAATGGCGGAACCATAGCCAATGGTTAAGAACCACCAACAGGCACGAGAGCAGAAACAGAGGATCCGATAGTTTCACCATGGGGAACCGACGCAAGTTGCTGGCGTAGACCAGGTGAGAAAGGATGCTGAGAAGAGAGAGCCACACGGGGAAGCGATCGAAGATGACAAGTAACACCTGAACCGCGATGATACAGTATATCAAGCGACTCAGGAGCTTTCGGGCGAGGACGGTATGCTCTTCAACGAGCTCAGATAAGTAGTAGAGCCCCGAGGCTGCATCGGGTGTTAGTCTACAGCCGCGCGAGGGGGGGAGGAACTAACCGATGGCGAGGGTCAGGAAGGCGAACCCGACGACCACCCCTAAATAACCGAGCAAAGGAAGAATCCACATCGCAAAGAGGGCACGTTGGGTGGTGAAAGGAGGATGAGGTGAGTTGGCGCATTCGGAGCTGTCGATTGTTTCCCGCAATGACGCTTTGGGGTGTTTTTGCCTGAGGCTTCCACCCCGCCTCAAAAAAAAGTCTCGATCTGCAAGTTCGCCTCAACAATTCAAACCCAAAGCCCACCATGTCGCGCCCTGAAGATATCCTGTATGTTTCTATGGCCTTCAGGATCTGATCAAACCCGGAAACTAACCAGCTTCGTGAGAATAGCCCGCCTGATCTCTTCTACAATGACAATGAATCCCGCAAATATACAACCTCATCCCGCATTCGGAATATTCAAGCCGACATGACCAATCGAGCCTTGGAGCTCCTCAAACTGACATCTCCGTCCCTCATTCTGGATGTTGGATGTGGTTCGGGTCTTTCTGGTGAGATTTTGTCCCAAGAATCACCCGAAGATGGCGGGCCTCACGTGTGGGTGGGCATGGACATTTCGCCGAGCATGCTGGACGTGGCCCTGCAGCGTGAGGTAGAGGGCGATCTGTTCCTCGCCGACATTGGTCAGGGTGTTCCATTCCGGCCCGGCAGCTTCGACGCTGCGATTAGCATCAGTGCTATTCAGTGGCTATGCAACGCAGAAACCAGCGACGTGAGTCCCGAAGGTCGCCTCAAACGATTCTTCGAGGGCCTTTATGCAAGCCTCCGTCGTGGTGGTAGAGCCGTCTGCCAATTTTACCCCAAAAACGACATTCAGCGAAGCATGATCAGCGGAGCCGCGATCAAGGCAGGATTTGGCGCGGGTATTCTTGAGGATGACCCGGGAACCAAGAACAGCAAGCTATATTTGGTTTTGACAGTCGGTGGTGGTGGTCTACAGGGTGACATTACCGGGGTTGTGAATGGCATGGAGGACGTCAATGTCTTGGATGCAAGGCGAAAGGCTCAGGAATTGAAAGGTGCCCGAGGGCGGAAGGGCGACAAGGCCTGGATCATGAAGAAGAAGGAGCAGATGGAGAGGAAGGGAAAGGTCGTGAAGCAGAACTCCAAATACACCGGCCGCAAGAGGCGTGTGGCCTTTTGATCGCAGATACTCTACATGTCCCCACCCTTAGATACCCTTTCTTCACATCCATCCACAAAATTGTCCTCGAAATTATCCTTGAAAACGATGTGCACGTACAAATATGTTCAAAGACTGGTCTTACTCTGGAATCCAAAAATGTCTATTGCTATAACTTGCTGGGGGCACATTGCGAGCTAAGTAGGAAGAAAGATAATACATGATGGAGGGTTGGTCCAGCTGGCTCATGACCGACAGAGTCCACTGCAGATGAGTTGGCTGGACGAATCCCCGGTCGTAGCAGTGGGACGATGCAAGGTAGCAGGGTTCAAATTTACAGAGCCGCCTCCATCTTGTCCAAGACAGCACGGGTAAATTCGTGAGTGGTAGCCTGACCACCCATGTCGCGAGTGCGAGTCTTGCTAGAGGATCATTAGCGAATGCGGCTAGAGAAAAGAGAACCATTTTCACAGGAATAACTTACCCTTCACCGATCACATCGTAGACAGCCTTGGAAATGCGGTTGGCATGGTCATCAAGGCCGAGGTGGCGGAGCAACATAGACCCGGAGAGGATCATGGCGCTGGGGTTAGCCTGGTCCTTGCCCTTGATATCGAGACCAACATGACGGCAGCCGGGCTCGAAGACGGCAACGTCACGGCCCATGTTGCAGCCGGGAACCAGACCGGGGCCGCCAACGAGGGCAGCACCGACGTTGGAAAGAATACCTCCGTAAAGGTTGGGCATGACCATCACATCGAATTGCTGGGGGCGCGAGACAGCCTGCATGGAAGCATTGTCCACAATCATGTCGTTTACCTCCAGGGTGGGGTAGTTCTCGGCAACCTTGTGGAAAGTGCTACGGAAGAGACCGTCGGCAAGCTTCATGATATTGGCCTTGTGAATACAAGTAACCTTCTTGCGGTTGTTGGCGAGGGCAAAGCTGAAGGCGAACTTGGCGATACGCTCGGACTTGGCACGGGTGATAATTTTAAGGGACTCAACAACGCCCTGGACGGACTGATGCTCGAGGCCAGAGTACTCACCCTCGGTGTTCTCACGGATGATGCAGAGGTCGACACCCTTGTGTCGGGTCTCGTATCCCGGGATGTTCTTGATCAGGGAGATCGAGGCGTAGATGTCCAGCTCCTGGCGCAGGGCGACGTTGAAAGACTGGTGGCCGGAACGCTCGACGGGGGTGAAAAGGATACCCTTCAGACCCAGCTTGTTGCGCTTCAGGGAAGCCAGGGACTCCTTGAACAGCTCCTCGGAGTGCTTGTTACCGGTGTCGACACCGCTGACATCGACCTGTTCCCACTCGATGGGGACATTGTCGGCCTTGAAGATGGTCTTGACCGATTCCGCCACTTCGGCACCAATTCCGTCACCTAATCGAAGAAGAAAAAAACGAAGATCAGCACTCAGTTAATTTAGCGCAAGGCCAAGAAGGGCCGACAATTGGTCGTGGCATACCGGGAATAAGGGTGACAGTGTACTTGCCACCATACTTGGTGGGCTTGAAGATATCCGACTGAACGCTGGCAAAAGCTGGCGCGTCAAATATTAGCGATGAGTTCAAGATTTCAGGTATGCGCGCAAAAGTGAGTCAATGGCATACATCTCGCGGAAACAGAGCGACCGAAGGAGGGAGCCACGGAGGCGCTGCGGAGCAGGGTCTGAACAAGTTAGCCTTGGCGCGCGCAAAGGAGCCAGGGGACAAGCTAACCCGAGCGGGCTGTGCCGTTCTCGAGAACATATTTTCAATGACGAGTTCTTTGACACGAAAAAGGTGGAGGTGGAGGTGGAGGGGAGGAAAGTGAATGGGGGAGAGCCAGACGGGGGGAAAGGGAAGGATCAGACACTAGGGAAAACGGAAAAAAAGGGCCCGGATGGGCTCGGCATCGCGCGACTCTGACTTGCGCCGGCCCGATCTTATCTCAAAGGGACGCTCGACAACTCGACTTCCCTTTACTCTCTTTGAGAACCTATTGAGCCCTTCTTCGGGTTCCGCCTTCTCTTGCAACCTGGTTATACTCTTGGCTCTTCCATTCGGCATTTGCTATTGAGCTACCTTTTGGGTTCCCTTCCATCTCAAGCCTTGACGCCTCCCCCCGAGAGAGCTCACAAAGGCTGCCTCGCGATCACTCACTAGCAATCTACCTATTCGCTCAAACTCCATCCCTCGAGTCATTTTCATAGCGGGTGGCCTGAGAAAGAGGCATGCGCTGGTCTATACCCGCACGTCTCATGATGGAAACAACAAAGTGACTCGTCAAGATCTATAGCCCAACTCGGGACTCAATAAGCTCTTTCAGCAATGATGTATAGCAATAGGGACACGAGAAAAACATGGCTCTCGTGAATATAAAACCTCGCAGTCGCTGCTGGTTTCTTCTCCGCCCACGATCTTCGCTCACTCTCTTGAACGCCGATCAGTCCAATCCAATCCAATCCAATCTTCTTCTTCCACCAGTGCATTCGCACCCATATTTACCATGAAGTACCTCTCCGTCGTCATTGCTCTGCTGGCCGCTTCGACTGTCCAGGCCGCTGCTGTTCCGGAAGCTGTTAAGAAGCCCAGTATCCCCATCTGGTGCAACCACCCCGGCCAGGGCTGCTACATGTACAAGCGTACCGCCGACGTCTCCTCCGAGGTTAAGCGCTCTGCTGAAGCGCTCGCTGAGGCCATTGCTGAGGCCCATCCCCAGGCTCTTCAGATCTGGTGCGACCACCCCGGCCAGGGCTGTGCCAAGGCCAAGCGCGCCGCCGAGGCTGTCGATGAGGTTAAGCGCTCTGCCGATGCTCTTGCCGATGCCATGGCTGCTTTGGATGAAGAGTAAAGTATGTTCGTCTGATCTGGTTCTTGTTCCGAGTTCGTACTAAATATATCGACAGGGTTACTCTTTGATTTGTGTTGACATACCAACTCTTGTTGGTATTCATGCAACCTGCTGTCAAATCAACATAGCAATCCGACAAAGACATACCCAGTGCTATGTTTCGACTACCTTCAACACGATGCCGAAAATCTCTCGGGGAAGCTCAAGTGAAATTTATGATTGAGTAAAGGTTTACCTGTCAATGGCGGACGCTCCTTATGTTACTGGCCATGGCTAACTCATCTTATACCATCAAAGCTAGAGACAATGAAACAATTTACTAAGAATATGTTTTAATTGAAAAAAGATTTAACAAAATACGAAGGTCAAATATTACGTGACTCGGACCAAAAGTTTATATCGCCATGGAACTTACCAATTCCTTGCATTAGCCCTTTTAAACCTCTTCCTATGAATTTTCCCTAGAGGTCTTTGTAGGCATCGCTTGGTCTTCTTTTTACATAATGCTTCCAGGGATCGTTTTCTTGTTCCTTGGAAATGTACCACGTTAAACACCTATTTGAATCCGCCTCGAATAGATAAGTCATGGTCGCTTGTCTAGGCCTGTCTAGGCCTATAATTTTCATTTTCATTTCTCGTGATCTACCTACAGACATGTTTGATCAAACATCAGTTCTGGCACCAGCTTGGTTGAACCACCCCACAAGCCGCATGATACCGGTTCATCTCCTCATATGCTCCGTATTGCGACTCCATCGGTCCCACTTGGGTCAGCTCCCACCACTGTTGCTGCTGGCTTCTGTAGACGGGATCTGTAGACGAAGTATATGGCGCTCCGGTGGATGGTTCCTTAGGCGGAGCAGCCTCATAGCCTGATACCATATAGGGCTCTGCAAGGCCAGCGTGGTCATCTCTGATACTATCTATCTGGTCGTTCATCTCGAGGTCCTCAGCGGGCTTTGCGGGAAAAGATTGTATATTTTGGCAAATTGGTATAACCGTGGCCCGTTCCGACCTCGAGTAGACTTGCCACGTTTGGATCAAACGCTGTTGTTGGTCCACGTCCGCATGCTGGAAGAGTGCCAGCTGACTGGCCGAGAAGGTGTCGGGGTCAAGTCCGTGCTGCCTCAAGACATCATGGACGCTCTGGGTTGTCGGAAAGATCGAAGGCTGCGAAATCGGGGGAGGGACTACGTGGGAAGAATGGTGATAGTGTTGGGAGATATAGGTGATCGGTTCATTCTGGGAGAGAGGCAACTGTGCCACGGTCATCTGTCGGTCGAACAAAGCAACCAGCTCATCCTGCAGCTTGCCATTGCTCTCCGATGCAGACAGGCCACACTAGACTCCGGGTCAGGCACTGCTGCAAATCACGGAGATCAAGTGGAGGCTACCTGGTTACAGTTGGGGTTCTCGATGAAAGCAGCGAGGGAAAGGGAGATATCAGACGCATGCCCACAGGACGGGCATTGATGTAAGATGGAAGAGGACATGGTTCCAGTTTCCAGGTTCCAGGTCTCAGGGAAGATAATAACAATAACAATAAGAAACAGACCGTCGTATAGAGATTTCCAGACGAGCCGAGTGTTTATGTGAAGTCCAAGGGAAGGAAGAGAGTAGAAATAGAAATAGAAATAGAGACTATCAATCTTGTATCCTCCATTTCCCCCACCGAGGCAAATGCCCAAAACTGTAGTTGGGCCGCACTTCGATCGCGCGGCGTAGCCAGGGTCACATGACCCCCAGGCAACCCCGTGACGCAGCTTCGTCGAGCTCATCCACCGGAGCTTCCCTCTATCCTCCATCCGCGTCCTTGTCTCTTCAGCAGCTCCCCATTTACCCTTCCCTCTTTCGACCTCTTTTGTTGTCAAATAGATTGATCTGATTGTTCACTTACACAACCATGGTGGGTTTCACTGTCGCTGCTTACGAGGTTTGTTGCTAACAGGGTAGACGTCAATCGGTACGGGATACGATCTCTCAAACTCAGTCTTCTCGCCAGATGGCCGAAACTTTCAGGTAGGTTTCGCATCTTTCTTCGGTGCATTTGACAGAACGACGCCGTGGGATTTCTGATAGCTAACAATCGAAAAGGTTGAGTACGCCGTGAAGGCTGTTGAGAACGGAGGAACAGCTATCGGCATCCGATGCAAGGACGGTGTGGTGTTGGCAGTAGAAAAGATCATCACTAGCAAACTCCTCAAGCCCGGCGCCAACAAGAGAATCGCGACAGTTGATCGTCATGTCGGCATTGTAAGGACTATCGCCCCCTTCAATAACAACGAAGAAGCTAATCAACATCGTACTATCTAGGTATCGGCGGGTCTCGTTCCCGATGGTCGGCACTTTGTGTCCAGAGCCAGAGATGAAGCATCCTCATGGAGAGGTACATACAAGGGCCCCATACCGACCTCCGCGCTCGCGAACCGCCTCGGTGGCTACGTACAAGCCTACACATTGTACTCTAGTGTACGACCATTTGGTGTGACCTCTATCGTCGGAGGATGGGATAGTGAAGCGGACTTGCCCGTCGATGGCCAGGTCGGTTCAGGGCCAGAGTCAGGCGCCGGTGGGAAAGTCAAAGATGCCCAAGCTGGAGGGCCTGGGCTATACATGATTGAACCTAGCGGGCTTTACTGGGTATGTAACTCGACTTTTTCCTTCTTGAGGTGTGACTCTTGCTAATGGCTGATGTAGGGCTACTACGGTGCCGCCACCGGCAAGGGACGGCAGGCTGCCAAGGCGGAACTGGAGAAGCTGGACCTGACTTCGGGCAATCTATCTCTGGCAGATGGCGTGAAGGAGGCAGCGCGCATCATCTACGTCGCCCACGAAGACAGCAAAGACAAGGAGTTTGAGTTGGAAATGTCATGGATCAGCTCGCTTGACGGTCCGACTAAGGGACGGCACGAAGAAGTGCCCAAGGACATTCGGGAAGAGGCCGAGAAGTTTGCGCGCCGGGTTCTGGAAGGTGAGGATGAGGATGAGGAGGATAAGGGTCAAGCAGAGGGAGAGCAGATGGAAGAATGAACGTGTCAATAGACCTGACAGCGACCCCATTTAATTTGATGCTTCTGTGATGCACTTGTGTCCTTCAAATCAGAATTGAAACAATAAATGTGAAATTTAGACGAAGATAAGGATTCGGACTCGGGAATCTACACAATCGTCCCTTCCGACCACTCTCGCCGCTTCACACCCAACTCCACTGCAGCGCTTCCCCAATCCTCACCGTGGTTGTGCATCCCACTGTTGCCAAGTCCGGCCCGCTCCAGACCTTGTTCCTCGGTCAAAACGGTCAACAGTCCAAAGATCACCGGCACGCCCGTATCCAGCTGAACCCGCATCAGCCCATGGCTGACGGCATCGGCAATGTATTCAAAGTGCATCGTGGCACCCTTGATCAGCACACCGATAGCAATGATGGCATCAAAGGGCTTTTTAGGGCTAGTAGATTGAGACGTAGACTTAAGATCGGTGGTCGAGGATGACAAGAGGTCGGTGGCACTGATGCCTTCGCCGGACGAGCTCGCTTGGACCTGAGAGGCGGCGTAAAGCCTAGGAGGATTAAATTTGTCAGAAGAGCGCGATTATCCGGGGTAGACTCGAAAGACTCGAAGCTTACCGCTGCACGCCGATAGGCAGCTCGTAGCTACCGGGGACCGTCTGGACAGTGATGTTCTCCTCGGTCACGCCGGCTGCCAGCAAGCTCTTCTTAGCTCCGGAAACAAGGGAGTCGATGATTGCGGTGTTCCATCTCGCATGGACAATTGCAATTCGCAACCCAGAGCCTACAGAAGCCATTAGCGGGGGAGCTCATCAGAAGGTGTGCAAGGCGGGGTCGGTCTCTTACCGTCAAGGCTCTGGGCAGCCCCAGGACCTTTGATAGTAGTCATCGTGTATGGCAGGATAGGAAGAAGGATGACAGTGAAGGAAGGACAAGTAAATGGTTATGAATTGCGCGGGAGATGAAAACATCGGTCCCGCAATTGGTGTGGCGGGGAAAGGCGGAATGTCGCGACCGAATACGGCAAAAATAGAACAAGCGCCGCCGTGCTATACACAATTGTACTATACCAATGTTCAAATTATACGATTGCAAAGACGTACATATATCAATGAAGAACTACATTGGAGGACTCAGTGGAGGACTCAGTGGAGGAAAGAAAATATGATTGCATTCTCCCGAGAAAGCTAAGAAACACCTAATAATAAGATCATCGCAGTCGTCTACTTAAGATTTCCATCTGTAGTTCCCCTTTTTACTCGACCGTAACCGACTTGGCTAGGTTGCGGGGGAAGTCAACGTTCAGACCCTCTCCAACGGCAAGCCAGTACGAGACCAACTGCAGAGGAATCACGTTCAGCAGACCCTGGAGACAATCCACGGTCTTCGGCACAACGATCTTCTCAGTCTGCGCAGCCGAAAACTCGGGATCATCCTGGTTGCAGATGACGATAGGGCGGCCACCGCGGGCGATGACTGCATGTTGTGTCAGATGAGAAAATCTAGAGAAATAATTAGGCATAACATACCTTGCTGATAGGCGTTCAGCGACTTGGTGAACAGGTTGTCACGGGTAAGAATCATGATGATAGGCAGGTTTTCGTCAACGAGGGCCAAAACACCATGTTTCAGTTCACCGGACATGACGGCCTCGCAGTGAAGGTATGAAATCTCCTTAATCTTGAGGGCTCCTGTGAAGGGGTGGGAAACAGTTGTTAGCGTGAGACGGACAATAAAAGCGGAGTTTAGGTGTTGGTATACTCACCCTCAAGGGCAGTGGGGAACTGGGCACCACGGCCCAACAAGAGCAGACTCTTCTGGTCCTTGAAGAACTTGGCGCACATGTCCTTGATGGGATCGTTAAGCTTCAAGATCTCCTTGAACTGATCTGAGATCTTGCCGAGGCCCTCCATGATCTCCTCACGTCGCTTTTGCTTCGAGGCACGGTCCTCGCTCAGAGAAAGAGCAAACATGACCATGGCGACGAACTGGGAGGTGTAAGCCTTGGTCGATGCAACACCGATCTCGGGACCGGCGTTGATGTGAACACCGCAGTGGGTGAGAAGAGAAATGGAAGATCCGACGACGTTAACAATACCCACAGTCAGAGCACCGCGCTCCAAGCAGTAGCGAAGAGCCATCAGGGGAGTCGGCAGTCTCACCGGACTGGGAGACAAACACGCAGGTATCATCACGGAACACGGGGGCCTGTCGGTCAAGGAAGTCCGAAGCCAGCTCAACGGCAATAGGGATCTCGGTCAGCTCCTCGAACACACCACGCACGGCCATGCATGAGTGGTAGCTGGTACCGCAGGCGATGAAAATAATGCGGCGGCAGCGACGAATCGTGGAGATGTACTGCCGGAGACCACCCAGTGTGACATTCTTGTTGACAGCATCCAGGCGACCTCTCATGGTGTTGACCACAGACTCGGGCTGCTCAAAGATCTCCTTCTGCATGAAGTGGTCGAACTTGCCCTTCATGATCTCCTGGAGCTCCAGCTCGATGGTCTGAATTGCACGGACGTTGGAGGTACCGTCGTTCTTGGACAGGCGGTGGATGTTCAGCTGGCCTTCATGGATGTGAGCGATGTCATCATCCTCCAAGTAGAGGACCTTCTTGGTGTGCTCGATGATGGCCGAGGGGTCGGAGGACAGGAAGAACTCAGCGGGCTGGGGGATGCCATCGTCGGACAGGAAAGCCCGCGACTGAGAGCGGTGCAGGAGCGACTTGTCCGGGGGAGCCAGGAGGCTAGTGGCGGATTTCTTGAGGGCGACATTCTGGGAGGCCTGCTCCGCAGGAAGAGCACCGTCTTCCGAGAATTCCACATCAACAAAATCTACCTTCATCTTCTTCGAGGTGCGCACACCAACGACAAGGGGCGAACCCTTGCGGGCAGCGATAACCTCATGGGGGTAGTGCACCGACTTGAGCAGCAATCCGAAGGCGCCCTCGAGTTCCTTAATAACAGCCTTGGCCAGGACAGTGAATTCGATGTCGGGGTGCTGGTCGTAAAGGTACTTGGCAAGTTTGGCAATGCACTCGGTATCGGTCTCAGTCTCGAAGCGGAAGCCCTTGGTCTCCAGAAGAGACTTCAATTCCTTGTAGTTGGTGATGATACCATTGTGAACAACGGCGAACTCCCATGTGGAGTCGGATCTGCGGCGGAGAGGAGTTAGCGATCCATTTCTCAGCCTGTGTCATTGATGTGATTTTTTCCCTTCCTTCTTGCAGTCTAGCGAGAGGCCAAGTAGAAATCATGGTGAAGAGAGAAGCGACGTACCGGTGGGGGTGGCAGTTGAGGCGGGAGGGAGTGCCGTGGGTGGCCCAACGAGTGTGAGAGATACCAGCGTGGGACTCAAAGGTCTTGGTCATGTCGGGCTTGGTCTCCGCAATGAGCTCCTTCAATTTGGCCACCTTGCCAACTTCCTTGAATGCGCAGACCTCATTTTTCTTGTCGCCATCCACGGCCATACCGGCTGAGTCGTAGCCACGGTATTCCAGTCGGGACAGGCCTTGCACCAATGTCAACTTCGGTAGAGCTGAAGACCGTGGGGGAAAGACATACCATTGAGAAGGGTGTTAACGATGAACTGGCGGTCACGTTCGACGAGGTAGTTGATATAGCCGAAAATTCCACTGTCACGGGTAAGCCACAATGTCCAAATCCGAGAGGAAGAGCTTCCACGTACCACATGATGGGCGAGAGGAACGAAAGACAGAGCGAATTGGGAGGGGGAGATGAGAATTCGGGGGTGAGGGAAGGGGAGAAGTAGGCTCTAAAGTTTCAGAAGGGGGGAGGGAAGGAGGGGGAGGGGGAGGGGGGGGGGAAATGAGATTGAGATTGAGCAGCAAGGTCAACACAAGGCAGATCGTATTTATAGAGGGGGGAGGAAAGGAAAGGGAGGGGCGAACCGTGAATTATTATTAGCTCCTTCAGGTCCCAGCTTTGGCCAATGCGTCGGCCCCAGTCACTGTGTCTCACTGAGTTTCTGCTCGTCTCCACTCTGCCCATAACAATGAACTTGGAACACGTGGATTCTGGTGTGTATCTTTTGATTAGTTCTACTGTATATGACCTGTTTACCTGGTTACCGACTCGTGGGACAGAGCCAGCAAAATTCACTAATGATTAAAAATGAGTAGTCACAAATCCGAAGTTGACAGTTGACCCAGGTCTAGCTTTCTTGCTTCCCCGATCCTCGGGTCCTTAGTACAGGGGTTAACCAGGGGAATAGATTCCATGTTTATTTTTGCATGGTCCATTCCCGTTCCCACAGGTCTCAGATGCCGATGGGATTCCCAAACGATCGTCTAGCTTCTATTTTTGTACTCTTCAAACTCAGCCCCCTTTGGCCCCTGGAACTTTGATCTAACATCGATCGTGAAGAGCCTCCCTGGGCTGAACTAGTGAATCACGTAGGGTCCCTTTTTAGCGACCCGTCTTTAGGAGGCTTCTTCGGACTATTTAGATCATGACCCGCATATTTTGGTCAATGGTCAAGAGCAATCATATTGTAAATGGCTGGATGATGGTAGACCCTGGTTCAAGAAAGATCTCCGATGTTGTGATCTGGTGAGGTCACTGCAAAGCATCAAAAAGGGGAAAGGAAAAAAAGGAAAAAAGATGGTCAACTCTGTGTCTCCACCGCCCACCCACCGCCTCCCCATTCGGGCGCGTCTCTCCTGCAAAACTCTTTGAATTGGCGCGACGGAGATCACCTGGTGAAACCCCCTTCCACTGCGGATTCTTAATTTTGAGCACCCACATCCTCATCTTCTTCGTTTCAACTCCCGGGATCTCCTACCCGGTTGCGCATGGGTCTATCGTCGTGGTCAAGGATGCTGTCTGGTGATCGCGCGGTCTCGGGTGTGTAGCCACCTCTCACGATGTCACGCGCCTCGGCCGGATTTGCAGATTTCTTCCCTACTGCCCCATCAGTTCTGCAGCAGAAGCGCGTCAAGATTGGGGATTGCCGAGGCAGAGGACCGGATGGTGATGTTGAGACGGGGTCGCTCGCCGCGTCCAGCTCTACCGGCGGGGCTTCGTTTGCACCCGCTGGGGAATCGGTTCACTCATCCTCGACTGTCGCGGACTCAACGGGCCAGGATGTCGATAGAGCTCTTCCACTGGCCATTGCCCACCCTCACCCGCTGCATCTCGACACCTTGACGCCGCTGACCAACGCAGAGTCATCCCCCCCCGGCAAGGCGACCACTCCGTCCAAGACTGCGGAGGGTAATCACCTGGACCATGCTGCTCGTCCTAATCCCGAGTTCTCCAAGTCCACGATGACTCCCATTCACACACCTCCGACTCCTCAGTCTCAAACCCGTGTGGGACATTTGGCCAAGGGCTGCAAGGCAGTGTACGACCCAGACCTTGACAAGCGAGCGTCCAAAGAAAAGCGTCGCAAGCCTGAGTATGTGGATATCTTGGTTAATGGCCAAGTCGGTCCTCCTGACCCACGTCTTTCCATCGCCAACTATACGCGAGGATCGGGTTGCAAGCAAAAGACCAAGTACCGACCAGCTCCTTATGCTCTCAAGCAATGGCCGTATGATGCAGCGACCAGCATCGGCCCCGGGCCCCCGGTTCAGGTAGTCGTCACAGGTTTCGATCCTCTGACCCCAGTCGCTCCCATCAGTGCTCTTTTTTCCAGCTTCGGTGACATTGCAGAAATGAACAACCGCACGGACCCCATCACCGGCCGCTTTCTCGGTATCTGCTCGATCAAATACAAAGATACTTTGTCTTTTCGTGGAATTGGCCCTGTCTCGGCCGCCAGCGCGGCTAGACGAGCCTACTATGAGTGCAGGAAGGAACAACGCATCGGAACTCGCAGAATCAGGGTAGAACTGGATCGCGATGGGGTCGTTTCGGAACGAATGGCCTCAAGAGCCGTCGAGTCCCAAAGATTGGCGTCCAAGGCCGTCGCAGCCGCGGCGGAGACCAAGCCGGATCTTCAGTCGAAGAAGAATGAGCCTCCCCCCACTGCACCGAAAGGACCTTCCGGAAGATCAATTCTACGGCCTGGGCTTGTGGTTCCGGAGGGGCCTCGGGGAAGTCTTCGGTCCCCGACCGTGCAGTCGTTGGTCGAAGAGACGCCTATCCTGAACCAGATCAAGCGCGACCCTTACATCTTCATTGCTCATTGCTATGTGCCCGTGCTCGGTACGACAATTCCACATCTCAGGAAACGACTCAAATTATTCAGCTACAAGGCGATTCGCTGCGATAACACGGGCTACTATATCATTTTCGAGAACTCTAGGCGAGGCGAAGAAGAAACGGAACGATGTTACCGATTGTGCCACATGCAGCCACTCTTTACCTATATCATGAATATGGAGAGCCAGCCCTACGGGAATCCCAATTACGTGCGCAGTCCCAGCCCAGAGCGTCTGCGAGCGGAGCAACGAGAAAAGGCTCAGCGGGAGAGGGCGAGAAAAGAGGCAGAGCTGGATGTCGAAGAGGAAAAGAAACAACGCGCAATTGACCTCGATCCTTCCCGAGAGGTGCTTTCCATCATCATTCGTGACCTTCGAGATAAGCTGCTTGAGGACGTGAAGTCTAGAATTGCCGCGCCGGCGCTTTACGACTATCTTGATCCGATCAAACATGCGGATAGGCGGGAACGATTAGGAATTCCCGGCCCCGAGGGCACGAAACGATCCACTTTTCACATTGAAATAGACAGCACTTTGGGCACTCCGGATTCTCGCTCTGGATTAGATCCGCTTCGATCTTCGAATCTCAATATCCTTGCGCTCCCACGCATTCGCAAAGCCCACGGACTAGATCATGCAGGAGCAGCCTTTGTGGATGAGCGACGTCGCCAGCCATTACGAAAAAGAGAGGTTCGTCCCCTCTATCATCGCCTGCAGCAATTGCACGACGATGAAGATTCGGACGACGAACAACGGACGCCCATCACCCGAGATACTGAGGAGAGAAGCAGCCGCCCGCCAAGTCGTGCATCTGGGTCAATGGAGTCTGATCAAGATGAGGAATATCAGTCAGAGGTATTGGAGTCTGATGAAGAATGTAGCGCCCAAATCATCGGTGACAAGGAGACTGACAGTCTCGCCCATGATGTTCAAAGCGTGTCCCCTCAATCCGGCAAGAGAAAACGCTTGGCAGGAGAACTCGACTCCCGGAAGAGGCAGAGACAAGAGGACGAGCTCTTCGGAATCGAGCCCACAAAAGACATGGCCGGGGGGCAACCTGAGACTCTGTCGTCTGTCGGGATTGGTCTTGGCGAGGAGGAAGCGACAAGCAAATTGCCAGGAGACCAGGATCCTGGCCTGACTCCGACTAAAGCTTCTCTGCCAGATGATCTCTTCCCTGGTGAACAGTGGAAGACTGCGGTCGAGGGACACAAAACAGAGATCGACTGGGGAGTGTCTACAGACGAGCCACGTGCGACTGTGGAAGATGACGAAAGAATCATCCTGGATTTGGATGGCTGGCAACACCTGGTCAAGGATGATGAAGACATGCGCTACCTACGGGAGATTTTGCTTGAGCAGTCTGCATCCGTTATCAGAAATATTGCAGCATGGGCATGGCGACAGAAGGAGATTAAAGCTCTCAATCAAGTGGAAGCAAGAGGACCGACACATGACGCCATTGGCATCACCGGCTATTACGTTTCGAATTACTCGGGCGCTGCACGAACTGAGGGGCGGAAGAGGATTCTCAATTCCGAAAAATCGAAATACCTGCCTCATCGGATCAAGGTTCAGAAAGCTCGCGAGGAACGTGAGGCCAAAGCCAAGGACGACCCCCAGGCTGCCGCCGCCGAGGCTGCAAGAATTGCTGCAGCAAAGACCATTTCCAAGTCAACTTCACGGTCTACTCGCGTCAACAACCGCCGGCTTATCGCCGACATCAATGCGCAGAAGCAGGCTCTTCCAACTTCTGTCGGAGAAGGCGACGCCCTTCGGTTCAATCAGCTAAAGAAGCGAAAGAAGCCCGTTCGGTTTGCGCGGTCTGCTATTCACAACTGGGGACTATACGCCGAGGAGAATATCTCTGCCAACGACATGATCATTGAATACGTCGGCGAGAAAGTACGCCAGCAGGTGGCCGATATGCGAGAAAGGCGGTATCTCAAGAGTGGCATTGGTAGCAGCTATCTATTCCGAATCGACGAGAACACTGTGATCGACGCTACTAAGCGAGGTGGCATCGCCCGGTTCATCAACCACAGCTGCACGCCCAACTGTACCGCCAAGATCATCAAGGTCGATGGCAGCAAACGCATTGTGATCTACGCGCTCAGGGACATTGAAAGAGGTACGTGAATATGCCCATCTCAGGACTCGAAGACATGCTGACAATTTCCACAGATGAGGAGCTTACGTACGATTACAAATTTGAAAGAGAATGGGGCAGTGATGACCGCATTCCCTGTCTGTGCGGTTCCGTTGGCTGCAAAGGATTTCTCAACTAAAGTTCTACGGCCACGAGCAGCTTCTTCTCTTTGGAGTCTCTTCTTACTCTGCGCGGCGTTGATCGGGTGGGGCGTTTCTTGGGATGGGAGCATAAAGACCTGTATTAATGGAACTCGTGATTTGAAGCGCTAAAGCCCTCATGTACAATACAAAATTCCAGGATTTCAAGAAGCCGGCGTTGGTCCACAAGGCCACGGACCTTTAACCTTGACCTTTATATAGTCCAAGTAATCGTGTATTCTGTGAACCGACGTCGGTCTTTCTTTCTTGATTCCTCGCCATGTAATCAGACAGCCTGAGAGGTTGATTGATCTTCACGGATGGAAGATTGAGGGGAGGGATGGCCTCTCGCTTTTGTTGGGTGGGCCGGGGGAGGGGTATCAGTGTGCGGGATTTGCCCATGTATGGAAGTACTCAAACTGCAAGGAAGGAGTGTCAGTCGGGACAAATGAACTGGGGGAGATGGATTTGCAGAGAGTCGCCTACCCAGATGACTTGGAAGCAGGAAGTTTGCAATTCCCTCCTTGAGCACATATTCATGGCTGCAGTTGCCACAGATCAACCTGCCTTCCATAACCTGGGTTTCCAATAATAGTCGGTGGAGATCCTTCAGTGTCTGTTCATCATCGAGTGCCTCACCCTCTGGTTTCGATTCCGGAAGACTTGGGAATCCCAGCTATATTCTTCCAGTCAGCTTGGTTTCCGTATATATTACCTGCTGATGAACGGTACCTCATTTGCAGTGACACGAAGAGCTTCCCAGTCGATGCGGGGAAGGACATTGCGGATGAACTCTGGTTGGAAATCCAACTCCTGCATTTCGAGCTCGGCATCATGGAAGTGAAGTGGGAAGGCGCTCGGAGATGTCTTGCATTCTTTGACCGAGCAGGTCACGAAATTGGCCGTAATGACCTTCATATTTTTCTTTGCGATTCTGGTCCTCAGTGGGATGGCTTGATGTAGCAAAAATTGAATTTGATAGAGTATCCCATGAACTTTGTAACAGTAATCGGTGGTTTAGTGTAGCCTGCTGGAAGATCTGAGCTGCAACAGAAGAAATGCAATGCCACGCGAAAAAAAAGCACTTGCTTGGCCCCCCGCTGTCATGTGACGATCTTATCGATAAGACAACAGACTACACTCCAGACAACGATACACCTCCTTAAGTAAAGGAATTACTAATGTTTGACATTTTGCTATGACTGAATCCTTTATCAGCATAAGAAAGGTATAAACGTGGATAAAAGCCAGGGAGGAAAAGTGAAGGTGGGGAAGGGGGGGGGGGGGACCTCGTAGACAACCAGTTTCGTATTATGTTTAGGGGAAATGTCGATGTCTCTTCACGTTTATAGATTGATTTATTAATCACGAACATTCATATGGATAGGGAATCATCGGGCTAAGTGCGAACATCTACGAGAAAATCGCTGCCCGGCACGCCTAAACACGGAGTTTGACCTGTACATCCACCATATCTAGATCTGCAATGTCATGGTCACGAAGACGAGTATCAGGATCCATTCGGTCCCCATCAAATAGGAGCGAGACATCTCGATCAGCGGGAATATTCTGTCTGTTGCGATATACCGAGATAAGCTTAGACACCAGAGTCTTTGGTCTTGCTCTTATCCTGACATCACTCAGTCCGGAACTGCGGAGAGTCAACTTCATCGGCTCCGTTAGGCCATCTTCAGGGTTTGGAGGGGCATGTGATGCTTCATCCTCGTCTGGCGAGAGACCTGGTCGATTTAGAAGGAGTGGGTCATCGGTCACGGCTTCCATGTGAATACGCAACTCTCTTGGGCCTGCGATTGGGTCATCATCCAGCTCCGAGAGTGTCAGCTTACTCTCCATTTTGATCCCTAAGCTTCTGCAGGTCGTGACATCGAACAGACGTCGACCACGCCATGTGAGGTGGACAGACGGCTGCATCTCTTTAGTAATTTCTTGGCGCTTGCACCATTCGATTCGAACATCCCTAAGACCTTGGGACATTTTTCGATGAACAAGCAAAGGCTTCGTATTTGGCATTTGGGAGGTAATGAGAATTTGAACGATTGGGTCTTCCCTAGGAGGGGTCGAGGGCTGTGCGGGCCGAGGAGTTGCAGCTGCATTGAACAGGCGTGGAGTGTCCTTGTGGGCGGTATCATTGCACTCAAAATCCATGTTCTGGGATGGGAGGTGAGTAGGCGGTTTAGGGGACACGGCTTTATCGGGAAGAGGGGTGGGGAGAGTGGAAAGATCGTCCTCCGAGCGACCATGGCGGCAATGGGTGGAAGTAGTGTTTAATGTTTCGTCTTCGGTTTCAAAATAATCCCCTCGCTGAGTTCGACAATTTCCTGGTAGATTAAGCGGCTGGTGAGGTTCTTCTGGCCCTGATTCTGGGGTGTATTGAATTGTGTCCGCAGCATCTGCCGCCGTATTCTCCGACTCGTTTGCAAGTCGAGGCCGCTTCGAATGTCTGCCGCCAGTCCCATGAAGGTTTTCCTCAATATTCCCGTGCTTTTCTGATTCAGTCTTCGCCTTTTCATGCGCTTCTCGATTTGCGGCCACAATGTCGCCATATGTTTGTCCTGACCGTCGATAGAATTCCGCTCCCGTATCCCCTGCATTGGCTGCCCATGCGGGCTTTTTGAAGAATGACCGCATTGTAACAGCGATTGCAACGTCAGGCTTGATTGACTGGGACGTGAAAATTAGAGGCGAAATGTTTGCAAACTTAAAGAGAGAGAAAGACAAGAAAAGAAAAGAGGGAGCTGTCGCGTCTGCGGCCCCACCAAATGCGCCTTCACCGCCCACGGGCTCTTATTGAGCTCAGCGCGCAGACAAATCATCCCCCAACCCTCTTGTACAACCTTGATACTCTGGTTTTGCCGTCACTCACTTTCCTGAAACTGTCGAAATCATAAATTATTTCCATTTGGTTTGCCCTGTGAGGTCGAATAGCAACATGGAGAACGGTTCATCCTCAGAAGGAAAAGACCCTTCTGCCTTTCTCGGCGAGATCATTGGTGCTCCGGTGATTGTAAAGCTGAATTCTGGCGTGGTTTACAAAGGTTCGTCCTCTTCCAACCAATTCCTGACCGGCCTGCTTATGACATTTCAGGTGAGCTGCAGTCAGTTGATGGCTACATGAACATCGCCCTTGAGAAGACCGAGGAGTTTGTGAATGGAAAACTCCGACGCAGCTATGGCGATGCCTTCGTGCGAGGCAATAATGGTTTGTCGCTAAATTCTAAACCCATGTGCCACATGCTCACAGCAGACTCAGTGCTTTACATCTCGGCAAGCTGATACAATTGCATCTCCACACGTTCGACCCGCATGCAAGAAGGGGCTGTGAATGATGACCCGGACTATCCTGCTCTTACCTTTCGATCGAGCGTCATCTTCGATTCATTGTGATTCCAAGGCTTAGGCGTCGGTTCTAGGAGTGTGGTACAGGTGAAAAAAAAAAGGAAGCACTTGGATTTTCTGCATATACCGTTCTATGGAAGCCTCCTCGCCACTTTGATTCTATTTCTATCATGGACCGTGATATCTCGATCTTGTCGATTATGCGGTATGTGATGTAGAGTCATTGGATATTGGGCATACAAAACGCGATACCTACCTGTGCCTGGAATAGCCCCTCCGTCTGGCTTCAGATTGGTGGGGGACTAGAGTATATCAGATATTTAATGACCACAAGTCTAGAAACGGGAATTTCCGTGACGCCGAATCGATCCATAGACGATATATAGTAGGTCGTAGCAGACAACAGAAACACCCTGCTGGTCCACTCGGAGGGGCGAGTTAGGTAAGCCTGATAATGGCGGGGCTGCTCTTCCAGAGAAAAGACACTCCATGGATTACACTTCCATCTCACCTTCAAGTTCCCACTTTTCGTGATGTTGCAGGCAATCAAGTACAGTCAGGGTCACTTAGAGATCCTGGATCAGTTGCAACTGCCTTTTGTTGAGAAGTATATTCCCATTCGCTCTGCAGAAGATGGCTGGCATGCTATCAAGGACATGAAGGTTCGGGGCGCACCAGCCATTGCCATTGTGGCAATGCTTGCGCTTGCTTCGGAGCTGCAATCACTTGGAGTTGATGGCAAGACCCCCGAGGCAGCTGAAGAGACGCGAGCCTACATCGTGAAGCAGCTGGAGTATCTATTGACAAGCAGACCCACCGCTGTGAACTTAAGTGATGCGGCTCGCAAGCTAGGATCTCTCGTCGAGACTCGGGCGAATCAACCGGGTGCCAATGGACATGACATTGTAAAGGTTTTCATCCAGGCCGCCGAGGAGATGATGGTGAAAGATTTGGATGACAACCAGAAGATTGGACACAACGGTGCAGAGTGGATTATGGCCAATGCAGCAAGGCCCGGGGCCTCGAGTGTCGCCGTCCTAACACACTGTAACACCGGGTAAGTTCCATGTGGTCAGGATTCGTTTCGGGGGCCCGGCTAACGGAAAGTAGCTCTCTTGCGACTTCTGGTTACGGTACAGCTTTGGGAGTGGTCCGATCACTGGCATCAAAGTCTACTCTACGACATGCCTATTGCACCGAAACACGGCCCTACAATCAAGGTTCTCGTCTGACTGCCTTTGAACTGGTTCATGATAAAATTCCCGCTACTCTCATCACGGATTCAATGGCGGCAGCCTTGCTTGCCGATCCAAGTGCGGGCGTGAGTGCCATTGTGGTCGGTGCGGACAGGGTGGCAGCCAATGGAGACACCGCCAACAAAATTGGCACATATGGACTGGCGGTGCTGGCAAAGCACCACGGAGTCAAGTTCCTTGTCGCAGCTCCTCTCACAACCATCGACTTGGCGACAAAGTCAGGAAACGACATCATCATTGAGCAGCGCGCAGCATCCGAGGTCACCAGCATCAAGGGCCCTCGAGAAGGCGCCGATACCGTCGGAGGTGTGGTATTTGACACCGTTCGCATCGCTGCACCGGGGATCAATGTCTGGAATCCGGCATTCGATATCACTCCTTCGGCTCTGATCGATGGAGTCATTACAGAGGTTGGAGTGGTTGAGAAGGGCCCCGACGGCCAGTTTGATATGGACGGCCTATTCAAGGTTTCCGCTCCTCCGGTTTGAGGTTGACTCCCCGCTCTGTGCTCTGTTCTTTATTCCGAGTTTGAACACCCCCCTGAGCAGATGATTGACCCTCGAAGAATGCGAGTAGCTCGTCAACTTTGCCCTCCAGAGCGTTGAGATGGTTCTCTAGGGCTGACGCCGTGGTCTCCCCCCTGTTATGATGTCAGATTGCGAACTAGTCTTTATGTTTTATGTGATATACTTTGCAATGTCTGCCAATGTCTGTCATATGTAGTTAGCTTCTGTGTAATAATTCCTACGCCCTCAGGATGGCAGGTTCGCAATACGGGCACCTCCGCGCCCGGGACGGCCCTGGTGCAGGAAGTGGAACGGCCAAGTAGAAGGGAAGAGAGGAAGGCACAGTGAAGGTTCTTCAACTTACCTTGGCGATATCAAACTCGTCGGGGCCGTTTGCTGGCATATTGTCGGTATGATATCGTGGCGAGAGGTCTGCAGCGGTGATGAATGCTGAACCGCGAGAGCTCCGACAAATGTGAAGTGTGAAATAGCCCCGCTTTCCGCACTACCTAAGCATTGGCTACTGCTCGTTTTCTCTTTTATTGTTCTTCCGAATCAGATTACATTAGGATATGAGCGACGCGACTGTGGACAAATGTTCTTCTAAGAAGAACCAGAATTATCATAATTGTATAATGCAGGAAGACGAAGGGATGGGGTTGGAGTTGAGGTACAAAAAACGAAACACAAAAATGAATGAGCGACGCAGGGATCGAACCTGCAATTTCTTGAGAATGCCTTGGGATATACCCTCGCCGAAATCAAGCGCCTTACCATTAGGCCAGCCGCCCAGTGATTATCAAATTGAGCCTTCTTAATCAATTATTAACTTAATTTCACTTTTTATTATCCCAGCTTTGAATCGAAGCTTTTCCGGATTAATTTAATGATGTCAAAGTCTCCGTCCGCTAATTGGACCTCCTATTTTTGCTGGTTTTAGTAGCTTAGATCACAGTGATTCCTAAATGTTCGCCCTCGCATACTACTTGGATATTGTCAAAAGTTCGCCAGTGCCCTACGCTGCATCAACCTAGATCCTAGGATTTTTAGTCTGCATAAACCTGATCAGCTCTTGAAACGTCAAGATGACTTCGCGCAAGCGCAACGTAATTGTCATTTCATTCACGCATCTGTCAGCCGTAAGACCGATTTTGCTGCAGACCTCTGTAGGGCAGCCGGGTAAGCGCAAGCGCATATAGGGCATGACACTGCCGTCGATCACAGACCACCTACGCGGGTAGCCTAGAAAGTGACCGGCAGAGCTCGGAACTGGCCGAGTAGGTTTGTCATTAACACGAATGTGGCCGCTTTGATTGCTACGTCTGGCTTCGTAAGCCAGTCTTTCCAATTTTTCTCCCTCGATAGGCTGAGAGTCCGACGCCGTAATTTTGCGAAACGGGGGCAGGTTAGTAGCACATACTACGTATCCTAGTTCCCAAGGGTTCGGGGAACAGGGGACATGTGTAGGGTCTATATACGTTAGTCGCCCATTGCTGCTTCCAACGATTGTGCGCGTGTTCGCGGAGAGTAATGCGACAGCAGGAGACGAGGGCTACCGCCACATTTAAGCGAGGTGTGGCCGTGGAGTTTGCACCGGAGTTCACGAGCCCATCGTCACGCTCGTTCCCTGGCACTCCCTCAGGTCCTGGTACTCAGCGAATGCGGATATGGCAGCCTAAGTCTCTAAGCTGTTGTATTAGGTCGGCGATCTCGCAGACTATACGCTGACCTGAGCTTCGCCGCCGGCGTAAAGCGCAGCGTAATCACAGTTTCTATTATGATTATTATGATTATATTAATGACAATTGTAATTTTTATATTTTCCTTCATAGGCTTATCATTCGTAAGGCCAACTTACCAGCAGAGAACCATAACTCCCACAATGCAGTCGGGATAACTTAGAACTATACTACATATTCATGTTAAGACGCGCTGGTTTCTCATTAGGCTTTTTTGCTCCTTGTTATACCATATGTTAATATCCGTCTCGCTTAATAAGCATTCCATTTGAAATGAAAATAATGAACTGAATGACGTATTTCCCTGTCTTTCCCGCCTCTCTATCAATTGTCACGACCCCGTTTCTTCCCATTTTATTTTAGAACGGATTGGTATTAAAGATCCTATTAGTATAAAAGTTTACTAATCATATTATTGAACTTAAGAAGGGAATTCTATCTCTGTATGGGTTAGTTTACCCCCTTTAATAAACTAGGCTTATAGAACGAAGGAAAAAGTTAAATAGCAATCTTCCTAATAATTATATCTAACCCCATAAGAGCACTATAAGAGTATCGGACCATTTTGTATAGAAGAAGGAGATATTTTATATCTTCAACCTTAACCTTAATTAATCTATAATAGTAAGATTAATATATAAATTTTATATTATTAGATCTGGACTTAAGAAAGTAAGGAAAAGAAGACTATGTCTTAGATCTCATAGTAGCTATTCTAGAGGTATTTAAACAATTATGAAATATATTTTCTATTAGAATTAGATGAAGCTCTTACGTTTTATTATTAGAAGCTTAGTTAGATATTTTACTAGATCCAAAGTATATTAGCTCTTGTCTTAAAAACATTCAAAAATATTTAGGTCTTTCTTAAATTCTGCAATTTCTATTATAATTTATTAAAAATACTCCCTTATCATATTGCCCTTTGTAAGCTAATTTAAAAGGAGTCAGGATAGTGAGGAATTAATGAATAAATATAAGCCTAGTTATTTAATGTGTGGTGCGTTTTACCTAACGAAGGATAGTTTTTAATAAGCTTAACTATTTCGCTTCTCTAATCAAATATATCAGAACAAGACAAATATCTCTAACTTTAGTAGCTAACTGTAATACAATTTTAGCTATACTAAGGAATAATAATATCTTGCAATGTTTTAAATTACGGAAAAGCACCAATACAGAACTAAATTATATAACCTTAAACTTAAAACATTATTTAAATAAATATATAATACCGAATAGTTCTAACACTACGTATGAAGAAATGATTTCCTTATTAGCGTCCTGAAGTATTTAAATCTCCAGGGCTTTACAAAGCAACTTAAGACTAATAGGTATTATATAGAATAATACTCAAAGCTTAGTACTACTTGTCTTTATAATTGAACACTGTATTAGAAAAATGTATATCATAGAGAGCTTATCAAGATAGCTAAATAGAAGTATTATCTTAATTTATATTTAGAACCTCTATCCTTAAAAGAGTATTAAAGAGTTTAAAGAGTTTAAAGATAAAATTTGAGTATCTTTAGCTACTAAATTATAATGTGATAACACGGCCTTGTATGGGGATACGAACGGTCACATTACCCTACTTTTGTTGCTATACGGCACTGCCCCCCGGGCATCTTTCTATCCTTTCGTACACTTACTTAGCAATATATATAGAGCTTCTTTAATAGCTAGTCATTTTTTCTTATAAATTGGGTAATTCAGCTCTATATTTTATAACTTTTTTCTATTAAAAGCTATAGAGTAAGAATAATAAGTTATATTTACTTAGAGCAAAACTATACTAATAGCTTACTCTAACGAGTTATGTTTAGTCTAAAAAGGCTTATTATAATTTTAAATAAATTTAATAGGACAGGTGAGTTCGTTATAGCCTCCTTTACTTCAAAGAAGTAGTTTTACCGCTCTTTACCCCGCCAAATATATAAGTCATCGACTCAGTTATTTTATCATTGACAATGTTCTAGTCTGTTCTTTTTGTCATTGATTCAATTAAGTAAAAAAGACAGACCTTTCACTCTCTTCAAATATTCTACTGTCCCTTTCTATCTGCTTAGAAAGACCTTCTTCTTAGTCCTTTGTTTAAGGATTGTGGATTGTGCTCATTTGGAGTATATAAGCCTTTTGCACTCTATGTTATTTTTCTTCTTTTTGCCTTTATCCAATCAAGCCTATCCTTGGTTGGATAGTTCTACGGTCCGTGGTGGGGAAGCATCTACAAAAGCGTACTCCGCGCCACGAAAAGCTTCGTGGTATCCGCCTCCCTTCGCGGCCGACATCTCTTACTAATCTCTGCCGTTTATAGCCCTAGTTAGCGATTTATCGAGGTATCGGTCACTTTTAGTGCGTAACTTCCTTATATCGCTAGTTCCCAGGTATATACTTTTTTATTTGAATAACTAGCGACTAGAAATGATTAGGAAAGACTTAAAGATTCTTTAATATCGCATACGTAAGCGATCTCGATTAAATATTCGCTTTAGGTGATCATTTTATATGAAAGAAGGCATATCTAATAGTAATACTTCCGTTCCCGGCCGACCGTAGTAGGTCGGCCAGTTAAGGACATACTACTAGATAAGATTGTGGAGGTAAAACGATATATATAGGACTATTATTTTAAGAATAGTACTAAAATAACTATTAAAGATTATATAAGATATTAATACTTCTGAATAACTATAATCTAACGTATTTCCTAGTAAGCCCGCCACCCCTAAACGACTATAGTAAATATAATAATTGTTAACTCTGTATCTCACTACTACTAAGAAATTTAAGGTGCCTTCTTAGTAAGTAAGATATAGTATAACTAATATATATAGTATTTGATATTATAAAGTTAATTGCCTTACGAGATAGGATAGGATATTAATTTTATAATATTTTTAGTGAACTTTTTAGTAAAGCGATATATGAACTAAGGAATTTCTACGATATTAATAGAGCTTATTTAAAACCTAGGCCAGTAGCTATAGCCAAAATTTGAAGTTTAAATACGAAAGGGTTATTAAGATATAGGACTAGAAATTATTTTACTTACTATAATTTTTGGGAGTGGTAGGCTTCTAGGATGGCGGGCTTGCTAGGAGTTACGTTATAGTAAGCGCTTAGCTTATTAGGTCGCTAAAATTTAGTAATATAACTTAGAAATCTAGTATTATAGACGGTTAGAAGTTATTATATCTAATATAATTAGTTAGAGGCCTAATTTCTTAGATACTTTATATAATATTTTAGAGACCTAAATGATATACGATATATTACTAAATATAATATATATATTTATAGAAGTACCTAAGTAGAAGTAATTGTAGCTATAAAATAATATCTTAATAATTATACCCTTTTAGTTAAGAAATTAATTATTGAAAAGGGGATGGCTCAATGGCTGTCTGGCAATGCAGACTGGGCACCAGCAACACACAGACACACACACACTTTTAAGGACTCTAGAAGGCGTAGTGGACACGCTCTGTAGGTGGATATCGCTTTATCCTTGAAGCTGAATTATAAAGTAAAGAAGCCGAAAGGTGCAGTCATATATCGAATAGTCGTCCTCCCGTGTGCGTATCTATGTAGGAGAGAAGAATGCAGATAGATCAAGGCATGGAAGACACCTTAGGCACACTATATACTGTGTCACCGCTTT